TGGTTTGTGTGTTGTTTTTGATTGATTTGCCTGCTCATTTGGACATGTTATGTCCTTGTACAAACATCTTTCTTTCAGCTTATGCTCATGTAAGGACCGAGCCTTTAGCGCGATATCGGCCACACTCGAGGAAAAAAAAAAAGGTCTGCAGTTTTTTTCCCGAGAGCGTCTGAGCGCAGGGTTCTTCTAATAGTGGGGGTCTGTAAAACACCTTCTCATCTTCACATCTTCTCCTCTTCACATCTTCTCATCCTCATATCTTCTCCTCATCTTCTCATCTTCACATCTTCTCATCTTCACATCTCCTGATCCTCACATCTTCTCCTCATCTTCTCATCTTCTCATCTTCTCCTCATCTTCTCATCTTCTCCTCATCTTCTCATCTTCACATCTTCTCACATCTTCTCACATCTTCTCATCTTCACATCTTCTCACATCTTCTCACATCTTCTCACATCTTCTCACATCTTCTCACATCTTCTCACATCTTCTCACATCTTCTCAGATCTTCTCACATCTTCTCAGATCTTCTCAGATCTTCTCAGATCTTCTCACATCTTCTCACATCTTCTCACATCTTCTCACATCTTCTCACATCTTCTCATCTTCACATCTTCTCATCTCACATCTTCTCCTCTTGCCCTCTTGCCCTCTTGCCCTCTCCTTCTTTTCTATTTTTCTTTTGGAGGCGGGAGCAGGGGCAGTGCCAACGAGACGGCACGAAACACAACCCTTTCGCACGAAATGAGGTTCGATCGCCAAAAACTGCGGTAAAATTGCGATTTCCACCGATCCCGCGCAACTCTTTCGCACGAAATGAGGTTCGATCGTCAAAAACAGCGGTAAAATTGCGATTTCAAGGTGTACCCCGCAACCCCATCGCACGAAATGAGGTTCGATCGCCAAAAACTGAGGTAAAAGTGCGATTTGCAAGTCGTCCGGCGCAACCCTTTCGCACGAAATGAGGTTCGATCGTCAAAAACTGAGGTAAAAGTGCGATTTTCAAGGTGTCCCGCGCAACCCTTTCGCACGAAATGAGGTTCGATCGTCAAAAGCTGCGGTAAAATTGCGATTTCAAGGTGTCCCGCGCAACCCTTTCGCACGAAATGAGGTTCGATCGCCAAAAACTGAGGTAAAAGTGCGATTTGCAAGTCGTCCGGCGCAACCCTTTCGCAATGAGGTTCGATCGTCAAAAAAATCGGTAAAATTGCGATCCCAAGGCCGTTGCAACCCTTTCGCACGAAATGGTGGTCGATCGCCAAAAACTGAGGTAAAATTGCATTTTTTTCTTTGTGTACAAAGCTTCTGTGTGCTGTGTGTGAAAGCTTCTGTGTGTAAAAAGCAACTGTGTAAAAGCGTTTGTGTAAAAGCGTCTGCTTAGTCCAACGGGGTTGTTGAAAAGGAGAAGACAGGCAGAGAAGAGGAGGAACGCTCGCAAGAGTTGGCGTCAACGCCAGCGTGAGGCGCTGGAGTTCTTCAGCGCCAAGAGGAGAGCAGAAGAACAGGCGCCGGCTGCAATGTACGAGATACACCGTGGCGCCCGACTCTCAGGTCAGAGGAAGATCGTCAAAAGGATGTACAATCCTACACTTAACCGGAATGAAGAAATTCCGGTGAACCCCAAAAGCCTCACCGATGGGTCGGGACCCTTTGTGAAATCCTTCACAGGATTTAGCAACAAGAACCCTAAGGGCCTAAGGGGTTAAAATGCGGCCATTGCGGCCAACGTGGACATCTCATATCGTCCTGGCCAGGGATTGAGAGGAGAGTGTCACTCACTCAAAACAGATTGACACTTGCGCCGCGAGGCCAACACAACCCAGACAGCGAGGTAGCTGCCGACGGGATCTCGCCGCATGACAGCGTGTCTCAAGTCGGCCTCACAGCCGAGACCCTGAGACTCCACAACAGGAGATTATGTGGGCACGGATGGGATGTTACAGCCCCGAAAACAGCCGAAAAGCCGAGCAGTGGCAAAGGGTGGGGCCATGGGGCCCGGGCCCCCTCCACCTGTGACACGGAAGAGGGAGGCCAGACAGGTCTTTGTGGGGTCGGACGCTGCTGTAGTAGCAGGCCCAAAGCCGCCACCACATTGACTACCACCCACATAGCGGTCTAACTGCTGACAGGTGTCACAAAGAATGAAACGAATTAGTGTCACCGCAAAAACCCTAAGAGTGAGTACTCTGCATTGAGAGGCCCCTCTTGTCAGAATGTGAACATCCAAACTAACATGAAACCGATCAAGCCGCTCAGATTCCTCTCAGATGGGCTTAATCAGCACATAGAAAAAGACAAGAAAAAAACGATTCCAGAGCAGCTTTTACACGCTGCAAAAAATCGCAATTTTACTTCAGTTTTTGACGTTCAGCCATCATATCGTGCGAAAGGGTTGCAGCCGGCGTTGGAAAATCGCAACTTTTGACGCTGGACAATCATCTTGCATGAAAGGGTTGTGCGTGACCTTGGAAAATCGCAATTTTACACAATTTTTTTCCCGCGAAACAGTTGTGCCGACGTGTCAAAATGGATAAAATCGCAATTTTACACCAATTCTTGAACGTTTGCATCTGACGTCTGACGTTAAAAAACCGCAGTTTTCCCACAGTTATTACCGTTTGACTTCCATGCCACGCTTGCATCAGAACTTTCAAAATCACAATTTTTACCCCAGTTTTTGACGGTTGGCTCTCATTTCGTGCGAAGAGGGTGCGCCGGGCCTCAGTAAATTTGCATTTTGCCACATGTTTGGATGTCCGACCTGCGCGATGTCTGCAGAGGGTTGCCAGTGCCCAAAAGAAATTCACATTCCACCACATGTTTGGGCGTCCGAAACGCACGATCTCCGCAGACGGGCAAAGAAGTTTCGCATTTCACCATACCACATGTTTGCCCATCCGGCACGCGCGATCTCCGCAGAGGGTTGCCCAAGGACAAACAAGACCCGCATTTCGACACACGTTTGGGTGTCCAACACGCCGCAGAGGGTAATGTTTCGTAAGCCACCACCTGGCTGTCCCTGCTGCCAGAGAGAAATAGAAGAACCGGAGAAGTCTGATTTTGCAGGAATTCATATACAATTTGATCACCTGGAAGTTAGCTGAACTCCTGTGTAGCAATTCCTGTGTAACAATTTCTGCGCAGGAGTCTTGTAGGAGTTCAAGTAGAAGTGGATCACCTGCAAGTCAACTCCTGTGTAGATGACATTTCTCAAGTTTTGTAGGAGTTACTGAGAAGTTGATCACCTGTAGTTGATGTAGGTGATGTTGTCTATGTTGTAGATGATGAGGATGATTTTGTAAGTGATGTAAGGTTAGATAGATTAGAAAATGTACGTGATGTAGAGGATGTATTGATATAGATGATGATGATGTAGGTTATGTATGCGTTGTAGATGATGTATGTCATGTAGATGAGGTTGATGGAAAAATTGTGTAGGTGATGTAGATGGTGTAGGTGAGATTGATGATGATGATGATGGTGATGATGGTGAAAATGATGATTATGATGATGTAGAGAAGATGGTGGAGAAAATGTAGGTGATGTGGGTGATGTAGAGGATGTAGTGATGTTGATGATGATGTAGGTCATGTATGTGTTGTAGATAAGGCATGTGATATAGATGTGGTTGAAGGAAAAAATGTGTAGGTGGTGTAGATAATGTAGGTGAGACAGACGTAGGTGATGATGATGGTGATGATGATGATGATGGTGATGATGGTGTAGATGTAGATGTAGATGTAGAGAAGATGGTGTAGAAAATGGTAAAGAAGATGTAGGTGATGTAAAGGACACCAGGGATGTGGATGATGTATGTTAGGTAAACGAAATGAAAAGTGAGGCGGACAACAGTTCTTTTGGAAAAACCGTTCGCACGAGCTTCGGGAATATTGGCCCTTCAGCTGCCACAGTACTGCAAACGCTTTTGGAAAAATGTTTTTTCATAAAGTGTTTGTGCTTTGATTGCGCCTTGCACGCCCGACCTCTAGAGTAAGAAGGGCTGGGCAATAAACATACTTCACTCATTGCGTGTTTCGTAACTGTTTTTGTTTCTGGCTGTTTGGGATACTCTGTGGGTTTATTCTTCAAGTCGGCCAGGATTTGGCCATTGAACTTGATGAAATTATGGATATCCCTTGTGCCGCCTCATGTACGAGGGGGTCGCATGCCATCAGGTATGGGACTTTGTCAATACGGGATGAAAGTATCCAAAAAAAATCACCTGGCTCGGACAATTCAGCAAGTTCCAAAAAAGGGAGAGAAAGAGGGACGGTTTCCGGACCTCGGATGTCGCCACAGTTGAAAGACGTTTTGAATGCAAAAATTTCCTTGGATTTTTGTAAGGACCCATAAAGAATTAATAAAATGGTTTATATTAACGCGTTGTATAAACTTGGGTAAAGAAGAAGTCCGCCTTGAACATTTCAGTGAACATAAAACATCATGGTGTTTGACGTTAGGTTCGGTAAAGATTGGTTCGGCCTGTTGAGAAAGTATGAACTACAAAATGTTATGGTGTGAGTTTGACTTAAAACCCAATGTAAATTTAGTTCACGATGACATTCAAAAGACCCAAACTGCCTTCAAAATTGGGACAGGGACATGAGCGGAATGTGAATTTCCAAAAATGCAAAGAATCAATTCGACCATTTTGAAGTAGATGGAACGAGTGGACCTGGATCAAATGCCATACGATATGTGATTGAAATTCCATGCGTTGATGGATGTGATCTTGTTGTGTAAAATCTGAAGTTGTGCGAAACAAAAGGACAACATTGTTTTTTGTTGTGATACATGTAGCATCAACATGCCCATGATGTGAAGCGGGAAAACATGGTAATTTTCCTGAACAACATTTGACCCTTTCGTTTCCAGATGACAAATTCAATTTTCAATTTGGACTTGAAGGACGCATTTGTTGCAAATTCAATGGAGACAAACCATTTTTTGTCATATGACATATTCACAAAACTGCCTGTTTGCGTGTTTTGACGTGCATCATGCAGCCGATACAACGCATGCCAACCATGCCGTTGGCACCGATTTCACGAACTTGGCGATCGCAACAGGTCTTGCGGAAGTGGCAAGTGAATGGGTTGTTGAATGGGAATGGGCCGGGTTCCGTGGTCAGTTCAGCCCTTTCCCTTCCCTCTGCGGCATTCATCGCGTCCATTGCATCCATCGCTGTCCCCAAATCTGTCCAGCGACAGTCAAACAAATCTGATGGGTTCCAGCTCCGAGAAATTTTCAAAGATGTTGATTTTCCTGAAGAATTCGGTGGACGGCAAAGGATTGAATATGCACTTTGGCTGGCATGGAGAAGAATGGGAAATCCTAAACCACCAGCGAAAGAGGTCAAGGAATGCTTTGCCTTCTTTAATGCTTGTTCCAAACAACTTGGGCGGCGACAGATTCTGGTCGATGCAGCAGGCATGGTTTGTTTTCAGAGAAAAAAACAAGTGAATAATTGGAACACAAAGCAAACTGCAATACCCCTGATGTTTCTTGGTGCCATTTTGTACCATTTTGAGCTGATGTTGCAGGAGGCCATGGTGGAATCGCGTTGGTTTTTCGAGCTTTTCGCAAAGTGGAGAGGGCGGTGGTTGTGGACCTCTACGAGCCCCAGAGTTTTGAGAATCTCCGGGCTGCATGGCTGCCAGATGAATCTCCAGAAGTGGTGCAATTTCGTGCTGGTGACATCAGCGAAACTGGTTGGTTGGCCTCTTTTTTGGAGAAGGAAGAAGTGGATGCGAGCCAAGTGATGGTGGTGGCTTGCCATGCTTGCAGTCTGCTTTCAGATGAGTTGATACGTGAATGCGTGGAGTGCAAGGTGGAATTTGCCATCATGCCATGTTGTCAGGGAGAGGAAAGTCGCAAGGGCATGATGATGCTGAATACTGCGAAGAACCTGAACATACCGCATGGGACACTGATCGATATTGCCCGACTTGGCGTTATTGAAGCAAGCCCGGGATACAAAGCAACCATGAAACGTATTGATGAAAATATCACACCCCAAAATCGCATCTTGATTGGTCTTCGTGAAACAACTGAAGATATTGAGAGACGACAATCTGACAAACAACGTTTTTTGCAGAAGATGGCGAGAAAGTACAGACACGTTGCGTGGCGCCCAGGCCAAAAAAATCCTCACAATTTAGATGTTTTATCGTCCTGACAAGATAAAAAAACTGCACAACAAATGGTATCCTTACTTCAAAAATGCAATGGTATGGAATTTATTACTCTCAAATGCATTGAGCATGTTTCTAGAGTGTGTGTTGGGAAGCGCGAAGCTGCTACACAAGAACAAACTCCCTTTCTTTGTGGCTCAAGCCGAATCAACATGCCTGGCATCCAAGATGTCTTACAGTTGAGTTGTTATGAGGATTCTGTTCGCACAATAGTTGCAGATACAAAAACATGGGAACCCCTGATCATCTCAGTTTGATATAACCGCTTTCCTGACATGAACAACTCTGATGAAGTCCTGCATTTGAACTTTGGCAGCCTTCAGCATGCAGCTTTTGATATCCACGATGACAACCTTCTGGTTGCTCTCGTGGCAATTTGGCCATCAAAGGTATGGTTTCCCAGTATTTCCCAGTACATGCAAGTTTTCTTCCACATTCTTGCTGGAAAATTCCTAGCAGCAGTGACTTGAGTTTCAATCTCTGGGTCTGGGAGTGGTGCATCGCTGCATCGTTTTTTGTCGAGCTCAAAGACCGGAACGGAACTGTAACGCTGGAACCTGCTGTTGGGTTGCAGAGCTGGCTTACTTCGTTTATCATGGCATTTTTGTTGTGTAAGCTCAAATGACATGGAATATCATTTTTGTGTTGTCTCGGAGTTGTCTCGTTGTCCCTGGAATCCATGATTTCAATCGGGTTTCCGAGTCGAGTGCTCTGAGGCCAGACAAATGGCAGCAGTTGATATTCAGGCCTGGTTTGCTTGTGGCAGTGCCTTGTGCGTTTGCATCATGGCAGTGTCTTGAACCTCGCAGAGCTTTAGGCGTTTGAAGCCATCGACAAAGCAGAAGAGGTCTCCGGGCGTGGATTATCTTGGGCTCAAGGTCTCATTATCCTTCCAAATTTTTCAAATTTGCTGAGCTTTGCTGAGTGTCGGTGATGAGATACATTGAGATACTTTCAGGCTTCTGAGTGGTTTGAGATGGTTTGAGACTCCAAGGATCCACCAGACGATGAACATGAACATGTGGAAGTGCCGCGGGTGTCACCGAGCTGCAAAATAGTTCCACTATTGCACAGTGCCGCTGCAACAGCTGCATACTTGTCCTCCATTCTGCTCCTTCCTCTTCATTAAGGAGGAGTTGTGAAGGGGTCAGTGATCAACGGCCCTAACTTCCACTTGTCAGGTTGGTGGTTTTAAGTTTTTAAGCATTCTTTATTTTCAACCATGTTTGGGATGATGATTGGATTTGATCAATATTTATGGACTATACATCACAATGACTAGTACTATTACTGTACTACCGCTGTATTACTGCACATTATCAATACCCATCTCTCTGGGGTTTAAACTACCGGCCAGCTGTCATTTGCCATGACGAATTCTGAGGTCTCAGCCCAATAGCCGTGTACAGTCCAACTGCGAGACCGTCCGTGACTCAGTGTGCGAGCAATTGGAGCTGTGGGCTTCACAGATGTGTGAAGACAGGAGAGCCCCAACATCTCATGGTTGATAAAAGATCATAAAAATCCTTTTCCCCATATTTCCCCATAAAAGTGATTTGAAATGGCCAGATTTTTGGGGGACCAACGGACACCACCGAAACGTGGTTTTTCCCGACAGCATCGCTCCAGTGCTCCAGGCGTCCAGTGGATGGTGGGGAGCTCAGAAAGGGTCTGTTCGAAACGAGCCAAGCCGCAGAGCCGTGGAAGACTGATGACTTGGCCCAATGGCCAGGAGCTGGGCGGAAGCACTGTTTTTCAAGGCCATGGTATGCCATGGTTTGACTCTGTTTGAAGTTAAACCATGAAAAAAGCCATGTTAAAACACTGAAAAAATGGCAGTTGAAGGAGCCGTAAACCCTAGTTTGAGCATGAGCCATTGAGCAGTGGAAGGCCAACTGCGTCTCCGCGAAGGGTACCTTCTGTGTCGCACTCTTGGCATCTCTTTGCATTAGGAGAGCGACCTCCTGGATACTAGATGAAATTGGTTAGTTATATACCCCGAAAATGGCATGTTGCGATACCCAAAACTTTCGCAAAACTCATTTGTTCCCAGGCCTTAAACTTTGACCATTTTGACCCGTAGCCATGATGGTCATCATGTGGTCATTGAGGCCACGCACACAGAGGACCTGTGGCGCAAAAGTTTCGGCCTCAGATGCAACCAGGAGAATCACCTACCGATGATAAGTAAAACTGGTAAAAGCCGATGTACCGAGATATGGTCCCACAACAATGAGATGTACTGATTAGTACCACTTTATACAATGAATTGTAGCATTTGTACCGTAGTCCCCAAGCGGATCATCGCAGCGCCAAACTTGAGGTTCAAATGCTGCATCTTGGCGATGGGACTTGGAGCAGTGGGATCAGGGTTGCCCTAAGTCCTTGGATCTTTCAGGTCTGGGATTACGGGCATTGGTTGCAACACTTCGAAGATCTTCGAAGCTGAAAAAGACAAGTTCAGTTGCGCTTACTTGCTCTTACTTGCACTTACTTGCACTATTTGCACGACATCACAGCTTTCAGCTTCCTTTCAGAAGAGAGACATCCCGACTCGTGAGTCTCGTGAGTGGATAGTCTGGTGATCTGCCCAGGCACCTCTTCCATCGGTCGCCTTAGAAGGATCCAAATCGGATGGCAGCCACTAGTGCATTGGGACGCCCACAATTCCACTCCCAGAGTGTTTCGAAAGTCTAACTGAATCTAACTTGAAAGCTGTGAAATTGGTGAATTTCTAACTTGGTCTAACTTTCGCTAATTCACCGTGCCATCTGTGATTCTTTTGCCTTGCAGGACCAGCAGACTTGCCAAAGTCTCAAGCTGTTGTCGGAGCCTCGGACGCCCGTTTTTGGCTCCGAGTTTTCGATCGCTGGAACCTGTGAGGCGATACTACCGCTGCAAAGGAAGAGGTGAAGAATTCCCAACCTGGACTCCCAGTTCCACTGCTTACAGTAGAATCAGTAGAGTTCAATAGTGGAAATCACTGAAGGTCATTGAAAAATATTGAAAATCCGTCAAACATGAGGGATTTTCTTGGGGGGTCCCCAATTGTACTGGAGATATCTGGGATTTTGAAGTTTTGCCGGCTCTCATGGAAGGCCTTCGGGGGAATCAACGGAATCAACCACAGGGTCCAATTCCGTGCCGAAGGAGATGTCCAAGGCGTGAAGTTGGGTACAGAACGACATAGAACGACATGGGATTGGAATTTTCCCATAGGCATTTACCGTTTGGGCAAAGTATGTTCTCTTTACTTCTTCATCTTGAACGGGACTTCAATTTTTGCTTAGGAGACAATTCTTTTAGCAGTGTGTCATAGTGTGTCAATGTTCTTTTGGTATTTGTTGGCCTGAGAAATGGCACTATTTTGTTGCTAGCCAGAGTTCTGCTTGGAAAGTGCTTTGAGTACCAGTGCACAGCAAAGCAGCAGAACACGCAAATGAATGACTTGCAGACAACAATGGTTTCACTGTTGAGCATTGTCCCCTTCATTTTCAATGGTATTCGAACTTGTGCACGGACTGATGAAGTTCTGGACATATGGCACTTTTGAGCTTGATGGCTCAAGCATGCTCAAGCAACACATGGCTTTGCAGAATCTTACAAATTCAGAATTCAGCTGTTGTAAGGAATGTGTGCCTGTAAAGCTGACACAATTGTGAAACATGATGTATCCAAACTCAGCTTGAACCATATCTCATCGATGGATCCACACAATGCCAAAGACATCCAGCGTATCTTCGGTGTGATGGCAATCCGTAGCATGGCCAGCCATGCTCTTTCGACCTCGCTTGTATTTTGTGCGTTTCTAAGCTACTGCTGCCTGGATTTTGTGCTTCCTCGAAGTCAACTCTCCACGTTTCGAAGCTCTGATTTGGACGCCTTAAGGCGCCACGCCATCGCCCGAGAATCTCTGCTACCTCCGGATGTCCCAGCAGATGCACGCTGGGACTTGTGGCCTGCCTTGCCCATAGCTCCATATGAACGTCGACGCACCATTCTGCAGGAGTACCTTCCAGGGGAGCTTTGGGGTCTCGAACAGAAGCTGGGTCTTCTCTATGTGCACGTGCCCATCCGCATGACAGTTCTTCGCCTGAACGACGGAGGCTTATTGGTTCACGGTGCCGTGGCACCAACTCCCGAGTGTATCTCCATGTTGCGGCAGCTGGAAGCTACGCATGGCAAAGTGCGGTTCTTGATTTTACCAACTGTCGCTGTTGAGCACAAAACCTTTGCTGGGCCTCTGGCTCGTCAACTTCCAGAGGCTGAGGTTTGGTATGCTCCAGGTGGGTGCCCAAACATTTGTTTTTAAAGAGATTGCCTGAAAATGGTTCAATTTTGGAGTGAAACAAGCAGGGGCTGGGATGCTGTTGATGTGTATCCAGGTCAATATTCGGTACCATTTCAGCTGCCTTTGGAATTTCTGGGCTTTCCTTTGTCTCGCCTCCATGAACTGCCACGAAGTAGCAAGGGTGCGGACTTGCCATGGGGCTCTGAATTAGAGCACGAAGTGCCCTCGGTGGACTTAGTCTGCGTATTTGGTCTTTAAACGATTTATGTGTGACTTATCCAAGCTCTGTGAGATGAGCTAGTAGGAAAGGTCGATTGCTATCTTTGCTGAAGTCATAGAAGCAATACTGCAGTCAATGGATGTTGTAGCAAAATTTCCACAAGGAAGTGTACATTAATTGACTTGAGGGTCACGGGTGCGCTGTAATTTGCCCATATCCTTTTCATGACCTTGCAAGCAATGGATTTTCCTGGCAGCTCAAGCCGATTTCTTTCCAAGCACCTTTATTATATGTAATACACATGTGATATATATATATATACATAATATATATATACATAATATATATATATATGTATTGTGTATATATATATATATATGTATTGTATATATATATGTTCGATTTTCTTCATGAAGAGGTCAGCATCGACCACTCCCAATGGCATTTCAGCATGTCACGTGAGGTGCTGGGCCCCGTGGGCAAGGACCCCTCCACTGGGGCTTTCTGCGAAGTGGCCATGTTTGTGCCACGACTTCGGTTGCTGCTACTGACAGATTTGCTGATCTCAATTCCAAGGTCGCCTCCTGATATTCTACTGGAGGCCAGCAGAATTCTCGTTCAAACCAAAGAATGGGGCAGAATGGGGTTCTATAATTTTGAAAAGCTGGTTGACTGAGGTTAAGCTAAATTGTAGCATTTCAGGCTCCACTTTAAATTCAGTACAAAAATCCTATCTCCACCTATATCATGGCTACAATGGCTACAAAGTCTCCCTGGAGGATCCTCGACCTTTACTCTTCCATGCCAGAGATGGTCCGCTTGAGCCGATCGAATCTGATTCCCAAGCCTTGCAACGAGGATGGCAGAGGCTGGGTACCCTGGAATTCAGGCGATTTCATTCGCTAAAATGGGTTGCCCTGTAGTCCAGGATGCAGGGGTTTCATTTAACATCGGCTGAATCAGCTGGCTTGATTTGGGTGTTCAAATGGCAACTGCCAGGATTGTGATCTTCTCCCTTTTCTTCCAGTCGGGCGCCATCAACGTCCAAGGCGTTGGCGAAGCGTTTCAGGATGCGTCCAAGTCCTTGGCGCCCGAGTTGGGATGGGCAGGTCTCCTGCCCTGGACCTATCGAGAGGACTGGCAACAGGCCTTTGAAGCTGTCAGTGGCGGTGTGCTGGTGCCGCCCATTTTACAAGCGCTGGTGCTGAATCGAGGGGAGCGTGATGCGCAGGTCTTGCGGAAGTTTGTGGAAGACGTTCCTGGCTCTTTCTGGTTCTTGCAAAGTGTCGTTTGTTTTTTTTCCCATTGAAAACTGGGATGGCACAATGACATCAATCTTTTTCGGTAGTCCGTTTTGAGGGAGGGCGCCTAGATCGCCAGTCCACTGGTACGATCCAGGAATTTAGCTAGGGATCACTTGAATTTGTCCAATTTGTTCAACATTTCAGCATATTTTAACATCATTCTGCTCTCAAGTTCTACCGTGGATGAGAGAACCTTGGATCCAGGTTAGCCGCTGGCCCTTCGAACGGATGCAGTCCTTGCACTTCGATGGCTTGACGCCCTGCGGACCTGGGGAGTGGACCAGCGCCTTTCGACGCTTCCTGGACGAACCCGTTCTGCCCTTTGGCACCCTGGGACCTGCGCCAAGGGGGAAGGATGCATGGCCACCAGGGCAGTTTGGTGAGTTTGTTGAAGGGATTCTTATTAGATTTATTAGCTGAATACTACTGAATGAAGGATAGTCCATTTGGGGAAGCAACACTAAGGACTTGGAGTTCTTACGAGACTTTGGACAGCAGCTCGAAAACAGTGGTGTTATTAACCCGCTGTTGCAGAAGCGCCAAAGCATTGTGTGACCCGGAGTGAGTCCAGTGAGTCCTTGAATCGGGACTGGCAACAGAATTTTATCAATGAACTGCGTGAACTCCGATCCCAAGCACACGACTCAGGGGCAAAGCCATGATTTGTGATGAGTTTTATTATAGATCCAATAGACTACACAGGGCACAGACCATGCTTTTAGTGGAGTGTAGTGGAGTGGAAAATCAGATCCGTCTCGTTTTCTAAATTTTCTGGGCTCCGGCCCCACCTTCCAAGACGCCATCTGGAAAATTGGGCCACGGAAGAAGGGCATATTGAGGGACTGGCAAGTGGTGGGAGATGGTGGGAACTTCAGCGCAACCATGTACATGTACCATCATGTACCTATATATTATATACATATGTGTATATATATAATAATAACTATATATATACACATATACACACACATGGCTTGTGATGTTTATGATGTCCATGGTGCAGAACTTTGGGCTCATAGGCGTGCGGTCACTAGCGGCCCTTCCACTGGTGGATCGTGTGCTTAGGCCCTTAGGCTTTGTCGTGGCCCGACCGGGAGCCATACTCCAAGCCTTTCGCCTGGCCAAGCTGCAGGTTCCTCATTTTCTTTTCCGTTGAGGTTTGGGTCACAGTCAAGTGGCTGGTAATTTGCTGGGGCGGAAAGAGGCGAGAGCCGGAGAGGCCATATCTGGACAGAAAACCCCTCTACAGGCTCTGTTGATGAGCTACCGACCTTCAACTGCCTTTGAAGTCGAGATTGAGGACTTGAGGGCTGAACTGGACGATTTGAGAGGTGAGGTGATTCGCTTGAAGCGTGAGATAAGGGAGCTCAGGCGGGCAGTTGCCGCATCTTCTGAACTGGGCGGCGGAGATCGTAGTGATTCAAGAGAGGTGAGCTACTCCGACAGCAGAGCTCCTTCTCAGAGGTCCCCGCATTTCTCGCCTCAGCAATCCCCTGTGCCAGATAGGGCACCATCTGTGGCTGAAACCAACGGACCCACTACACCTTCAAATCCGGGCACTCCTTTGACCTGGATTGAGCGTGAGGAGATCTGTGACGAGATTGGGCGGTTTATTGCCCGCAGCTTGGAAGGTACCCATCGAGGCTCCAGTGGCCGTGACAAGCTTCCTTTTTCGAGCCGAATCTGGCTTGTGGCAAGGGATTTTGAGGGACAGATCTACACACCTGTGCGAGTTTTTCGCACTTGGACTTCAGCAAAGCGCCTGGTGAAACCCAACAACCTGGACCCGGGTGACAGCGTGTTTGTTGGGCTCCCCTCGGAGCGAGAGGCTAAGCGGGTCGTGCACAGTGCGCGGCTCCATTGGCCCACCATCGTTGAGCAATGACCTTGTTCCGCCAGCCGCCTTGGCCGGTGGAGCGAGACCCTCACGTCTTTGCTGAGGGTGCGGTGGAAGAGTGTTATCCCATTGGCCTCTGGATAGTTGATCCCGAGGCTGGCTGTCCCAGTGTGCAAGTAATTCAGATTTGCGTTTTTGAAGGAAAGCTTTTGGTTGCCATCCCCTTTGCTGCTTGGAATCGCGCTGTGTCGAAGCGCATCATCCCTGCGGGTGCCTTGTCGAAGCCTACGTTGATTGAAGTGCAGGCCGCAGATTTGGAGAACCCTTCAGTTCCGCTGGACGACCAGTTCCTTAAGCTATGGGTCGGATTTCTACGACCAGAGTATGCAGACTTGCTGGAGATTGTGGAGGAGGCGGACTGCGACTTCTGCTTCACTGTGGGCGAAGTTCAAGCTCGGCCCTATGCTCCAGGGCTGGTGGGTTTGGCTCAGGAGCACTTCGCATTCTTCTCGGCGGACGGTGTCGACGGAGCCCCTCTCAGCGGCGGCCACCACAACGACAGCGAGCTGCTCGAGGAGGGCGATGCTGGTTCCCCTCTTAATGCCCGCACTGGTCGCTTGGAGGAAGCCCTTCACGACATCACCAAGGAGATGAAGAAGTTGTCATCTGTGAAGCCGCAGACTGTGCCGAAGCGGAAGGCAAAGTCGAAGTCGCCGGCTGGAGTGTCAGCAAAACGGCGTGCTGGGCCGACTTCCGAGTCCCTGGACATCAAGGCCAAGTTCCCTATATGCTCGATGCTGGAGTAGTGCATGCAGCCATTCAAGCCGGAGTTCCAGAGGAAAACCTCCAGCAGATGCAGCAGCTCATGGCTCGTGGGAAGCCTGCTATGAAGGTGAAGGACATGAATCCGAACCTGGCGGTGGACGACGCTCTTTCAGAGGATGACGTTGTCCCGGCCGAAGAAGGCCTGCAAGGATCTGGCTTGGGAGAAGAGTGCGACCCGCTTTCGACGTCGCTTGAGAAGCTCACAGCTATTGTCGAAATCTTGTCGGAGGAGAAGAAGAAGAAGGCAGCATCAAGCAGCCTTGACAATGCCCTCGATGGTTCCTACGGATTGTCCGGAGATGCCTCTGCAGTGCAAGCTTCTGGCAAGAAGGCGGCTGCAGCCAGGAGGAGCCTACGAGTTGCATTCGAACGCAGCCCTCAAGAGATCTACGCTTTGATCGAGCGGCTCATGCAAGAGGACCTTAGCTCGCAGACGTTGGGGCCCGGACAGCATCCAGTAGGCCTCAATGCGAGGGCCTGGACCGAGTTTCGGTCGAGGATTGGAAACTACAGGACCAACGTTTACTGCTCTTGGAGTGCAGCTGGGATCCTCGACTCGCTGACAGCTGGCGACACTGCGAAGGCAAGAGCGAGGGCCTGTTTGCTTCTCTTGATGCTCGACCAGGCCTCCATCGACTCTGGATCTTGGACTTTGGCGGGCGAGCTCTCCCTGGAAGGGGCTCCCCCCTTCTCCTCCTTCGCAAAGCATACGCAGCCTGCTGTGCGAGATGGCGAGAGCCCTTTTTCTCGCCTGTTGGATCCGAGGTGGGCAGAGCTGGCAATGATTCACTTGGAGGACACCGAGAAGTACCTCACCAAACGGAAAGCTTTGGGAAGGACGCCACAGCAGCAGGGCCAGAAAGAAAGCAGCACCGAGGAAGGCGCCATGATGGAGCCTCAGCGAAGACCGAAGGCAAAGCCGAAGGCAAAGAGCCTTGCAAGCACTGGGTCGGGCGACTGAATTGTTGTCCTGCCTTTGTTGCTGAAGAGCCTAGCGTGCGTGTGAGAAGGGCGCCTGGCTCCGATGCAACTACAATTAGGGTTCCTGCCGTTTTGTATTCTCTGCCCGGGTGGATATTGAAAACAAAAAATAGCCTGCAGAGCTTTTTGCATTACATCTTGACGATCCCCAAGGATCGAAGTGATCCTACATCAGTTGGTGGTGCAACCTGGCCTATGCCATTCCGAACCCGGAGGTGTTTTCTGCTGGTGATGGCATTGGTGATGCGGCTCCTTTGAGGTGACTTGTTTCTTTGCTGAGTGTTGTGCTGGAATGGGTTTGTTTGGATAAGGCGGCTGCAGCCTCTGTTTCACTATGTTTGGAGACACCCCTGACTTCAAGGCAGTGGTCAGTGGTCAAAATGTTTGTGCACTTTACAACTGATGGCAATACACCAGAATTTGTGGACGCAGATTCCATGGGGCGCGCTGCTTCAAAGATTGAGGGCTTCAAAGGAAGTCTGGCTGCTGCATCCCGTGCTGTGTCTTCTTTGCATGTTTCTTCGCACAGCTACTGGGCAGGTGGATCAAACCTTCTTCCACCTGCGCAGGACGACTCTGAATTGAAGTGCAGTGTGGATGTTGGCTGCGTTGATGCTGAGGTTGACTCCAATGTGAAGTCACTGATTGCGTCACGACTCTCCTTGCCTGAGCGGCCGTCTTTTTACTCACTGCCGTTTTGATGTGTGCACTGCTGGTTTGAACAACTTCCCGCTCAAGGGAAGGAGCTTGGATGATGTCGGTGTGCCTCCTCGAGTTCATGTCAGAGCCTCTGGTAGGGAAGGATCGAGCTGTTTCAGAAGATGGCGAACTGCGGCCTGCTACAGTCGCTGGCCTGCGAACATGGTCGACCGTGGGCAGAGCAAATGGTGCGCTGCAATGGCGAGCGCATCTGCCCTCAGCTCCCTTTGCGCTGGCCCACAGCATGTCTTGGTTTGTGATGGTGAAGGCCTTAAGGACTATTTCTTCCGGCTTGTTGTCAATGAGGAAAGAACTGCAGGTAACGTTTTGTCAGCTGAGCTCACCCTTGCTGAAGCCGAGCTGGTATTTGGTCAGACCCTCATCTCAGTTTCTGGCAAGATAGCTGTTGGTTTGTCGTCGCTTGCAATGGGTGACACCTGTGCGGGTGAGTATGCACAAGCTTCCCGCCATGGCCTTTTTGCTCCAGCGCGGGGCTGTTGCAACTGATGAGCTCATCACACCCCATGGCGCTATTCCTCTTGGCCTGCTGCAGATTGGTGCTGTGGTTGATTACCTGGTTATGCTGGAGCATGTCCTTCGCACCGACTATGACAACGGGCTTGGGGAGGATGAGCGCTATGTGAGCGGTTTGAGGCTGAAAGCGGCCTCTGATGGGTACGCGGCTGCAAAGCTTGTCAATAACCCCATGAAGCCCTGTCGAGGTGAAGCCTGCTCCAAATTTTGGGGCTTTTGCATAGACGGCAGCAAGGGGCTCCTTTGCGCCAGCCAACGCAGGTTATGGCCTTGCATTGTCATCACCGTACGTGTGGAGGCTCTTGGGCTATGTACGGTTGGACTGCTTGATAGCTTAGCTGGATTTTGGGTTTCGTTGTTAGGAGTGCGGAGACGGCTCTACAGTGCCATGGAGCTGTTTTCTGAACCCCTTGCCACTGAGCTCACCATGAGAGCAGTCACATGCCTGTCGCCAAACATGTTGGCGGAGCTGACCTCCTTGGATGTTTTGGGCACACTAGGGGACGATGACCTGCGAGCTGGATTTGCTGACTTTGTGATCGCTACTGATGCGAACACTCAATGGATGGCTGCTTTCACGCCTTCGATGGCGCCTGAAATAACCCATGAGCTTGCAAGGCATAGCTTGCGAAAAGGGATCTGGGCGAAACTGTTCCCTCGTGGAAATGCTCTGCTGAGAGAACACGGCATTTTGGCCGAACATGATGAGGTGCCCAAGGATGGCTTCAGGTCACACCCACTTTGGGACCTGATCGCCAGAGCTTGGCCCTACCGTGAGTGCTGGTGGCGAAGAATTAGGAGGAAGCGCCACAAAAATGTGAGTGAGCCTGATAGCTTTCTGACTGAATAGAGGTGGTTGTCATATCGGGAGCGCAGCCTGCGCATCCCATTATGGCCCTGACTCTCAAGTTGCGCTTGGTTGCATTGTGAAAGGGCTGCTGCTTCACCAAAGTTGAACCAGCTCATGCGTAAAGGGATGTGCTATCCCATTTGAGCAGACTTGTACTCGCTTCCAATGTACTACAACACTGCTTCGAACAGGGCCGATGGTCCTACTAGGGATGCACCTCCACCTTCACCTGATATGCCCCTTCCTGAGTGGTGGAATGAGCTGCGCTAGGGACGCTTTGAGGCTTTTGACCGCTGGATGGCGACAGTTGGAGCTCTTGGTGGTGCCAGTGACTTGCCTCTTTGCTGCCTTTGTGGCGCCGCTGAACTGAAGCTCAAGACTGCGAAAAGGGTGCGCACTCACTTCTGGCGTGCGGAAAAGGTATCCGATGCTGCCTTGGCAGGCAGCTTGAGAAGGGAGCCCACGCCTGCGAGTGATTGCGGCATTGGAGCTCTCGAACCCACAACCTCTTTACTAGTGGCCTGCAGGGTTAGTCCTGATGCTCGAACACTACATCCAAGGGCTGTAGCTTTGTTGGTGAACCTGCCAAAAACTCAGTTCCCATTGTTTGTTTTATGCCCGGTTCACTGGCTTCGTGACCCCTGGCGCACTGGATTTGTTTTCTGGCACCTATGGCGTGGCTCGTTGACTTATCGCTCAAGGAGCTCCCTGGGTTCTATGCTTTGAGATCTACCACAGTGATGCTGAAGGTCTTTTGAAGCCGGAAGTTTGCCACCTGGCGTTTGACCTTGTGCGGCTACATGCAGTACTTGCTTGCGCGGCCGCGCCTGTGTGCTCCAGCTTCTCTGTGGCTGTCACGCCACCGGTGCGAAGCGCCAAGCTTCCACGTGGCATGCCAGGGCTACGCCTTACTATGAGGCAGAAGGTGAAGGATGCCAACTTTCACAACGATTTCCTTGCTGACCTCGTGTGCGAGTTGGAGACCGAAGGCGTGGGCTACGCGATTGAGAATCCTGACCTCTGTTTGTGGTGGAGGCAAATGAGATGGAAGAAATGGAGGTCTACTACCTCAGAGCATGGTTTTCGGCTTTGCTTCTGCCGGTTTGGCACCCCTTGGCAGAAGGCCACACGGATCGCGAATACGCGATTGGTTGGCCGAACGATGCCGTGCTGCTGCTAGCGGGCGCATGTTAGGCTGCGTGGAATGCACCCTGTGAGGCTACTCCCTGGACGTTGGTTGCTCAACCTTTTCCACGAGGGCTTTCAAGGCTGCTTGCTTTGGCTTTTGCTCTGAGAGCTGGATGGAAGTGCTATGAACGGCTCAACGTTCCAGCTTGCTCAAGGTGCGCTAGTTTGCGGCCAGGTGAGTCCATGAACCCTGGGCCCAGGAGGGGCAGGCTGCCTATACGTCTTGCACCACTGTCGGCGACACAGCTGTCACTACGCAGACCCTTGAACTTGAAGCCCGACAGCTGCGCCTTTTCTGCTTGTGGTGCGAGAACGGTTTGAAAGATGTGGACTTGGCTGACCTCTTCTCCAAGGTTCCTTCATTCCTCACTTGAACTTCAAGAGTCGCATGCGCCAGCCGGCAAAGGTACAACATATGAAGATTGGGAATTCAGCAGCTTGCCGACTGCTGATCAAGATCTTCACGACCTACTTTGGCCCATGCTGTTGGGAAGTCAGACAACCCTTGAGTCTTACTTGTAAGAAGTGGCGGCGCTGAACACTTTTGCTCAGCTGCCGAATGCTGTCCGAAAGAGCATTTTGCTCACGGCCTCCTGCTTTGCATTTTTGTCCGCTGGTGACTGCAACGCTGCAGGGAAATGACAAACTTCGTTCGTGAAACTCGTCCACACGCACCTGCTTGACGGTCCTCCCCAATTGCGGTGTTGCCCAACTACTTGGCAGCCGACGGCATTGCATTGGTTGGTCTACGTGGCGTCTACTTCGCCTACCAGCCCTTTGTTGCATTCTGCTCTGCTGCTGCTTTGGGCGAAGCCACCTCTGAGCATGTTTGGGTGATGGAAAAACTTGCGTTGCAGCAGCACCTGCCTTCCTTTTGCATGGCACTGAAATGGCAGAATCAACATGGCTTGTGATGTTTATGATGTCCATGGTGCAGAACTTTGGGCCCCTCATACCGCCCTCCCTTGGGCAAAGCCTTCTGCCTGTGGCCTTGCTTGGTGTTGCCCAACTACTTGGCAGCCGACGGCATTGCATTGGTTGGTCTACGTGGCGTCTACTTCGCCTACCAGCCCTTTGTTGCATTCTGCTCTGCTGCTGCTTTGGGCGAAGCCACCTCTGAGCATGTTTGGGTGATGGAAAAACTTGCGTTGCAGCAGCACCTGCCTTCCTTTTGCATGGCACTGAAATGGCAGAATCAACATATATATATATACACATATACATATATATACATGATAATTTTTGCACTTCCGGGGCTACGTGCAGCTTGGGAGGCTGAGCAGCTGTTCGACAAAGTTAAAGAACAGAAGGGGGCCTTGGACCGAGAGGCCCATGACTTCACACGTGAGCGAATTTTATCACCTGCAAGTGATGGAGCAAACCAGCCTTAAAGTTTGGGTTTGGAAATGAGGCATACCCCCAACTCACATCAGCATTCTCAGTTTATGGCCATCTTTCATGATGTTTCATGGGGAATCGCACGATTCTCCAGTGGATTCGGGGGTTCCAATTTTTTTTCCATACTCTAATGTCTGAAGCTCCAGGTGGCGTCAGCTCTCGCCAAGGCCCAGGCGTGCAAAGCTGGTTGCAACCGTGGCATTAGCAACGAATGCGGATTTCGAATTCCCTGGGAGCAACAGATGTTGGTCACTTTTTAGGCCGAAAACGTGTGATTTTTTGGGCCCAATTTCCAACGGAACCCAACTGGTGCGATGCATCGCTTGTTGCTGCCCAGGAAGGCCGACAACCATCTCCAGCAAATCATCGGACCCTGAAATTCTACCCGTGGCTCGGCTTTGAAGCATTGAACATATTGAAATATATTGAATACACTGAGGGCTGAAGGTTGTTGCAAGTAAACCTTGCATTTCAAACGCTTTTGTACTTTACTAATGATATTTACTCGTCGCTAATTTCGTTGATGTTGCGGCAGTGTTTTAAGTGCAGTTGATACACTTCTGATCATGCTAGCTCGACCGATGCATGATGTGTTTTTCTTCGTGGCATTTCCGATAAACACCAGAGGTTAAATGGACATGGGGATGTATGGGGTGGCTGCCCATCATTCAATTGGTTTCCTTTCCCTTCAATCTAAAGGCTGCTAGGTCGGCTTTCCCGTTCTCGGTGCCTAAGGCAGCCGGCTGATGATCGATCAGCGAGATTGGTTGACCACCTCAGGGGTTATCCCAGATAGCCGTTTTCATGTTCCATTGTTGCATGGATAATGATGTGTACATTCTTTAGCAATCCCGGCTTCAGACTTGGTGATTTACTCTTGCACTGCAATCTACTGCAGGTCGATGTCATCGAGCACGGCTACGAGGTGGAGGGTTTGTTGGGTGTCAACAGCTCGTGGAAAATGGATGAGAATGGAAGGTTTACAGCTTTACATTTGGGCGTTTCTTAAAATGATCCCCAAGTCGCCATGGGTTTCAATACTCAACTGGTCGATTTTTGGATTTGGGGTACCTATTTTAGAAAACATCCAACTGATCCTTTGACGCGACGGGTGCACCAGGTGCTCATCGTCCGGAGAGAACCGTCTCCGACGCCCAAGCCATTTGCTCAGCTACAAAGCCGGCATTTTCCCATGGATTTTCCATGTATCTTCTAGCTGTAAGTGAAACAAAGCATCAAGTTTTAACGGAGAAATCCAGCTGACACATAGGCCGGATGAATCATGAGTGAGAAGGATGGACACTGCATACAGAACATGAGGTTGTTGTGTGAATTCCCATCAACAAAACTAGATGCACTTGCTGAAGACAACGAGGATAGGAGACAAGCTCATGGATTTTGTTGCCCAACTTCCAGCCGTGTGAGTCTTGTGGGGTTCTCAGCAGGTGTCCAGCGGATATGTTGCAAACACCGAGAAGCAACCATTCAGGACGGGTCATTCACTTCTGGGAACGCCTCAATGTAAAGCTTAAAGGCTTTGCCGCAGTTCTGAACGTTTGGGACCCATCAATCCATGATTTTCATCAACATACACCAACCTTTTGAGGGAGATGAGGGTACCAAATTTCGAGAAATGCCCAAATGCAGCCCGGTGGTTGAGGCTTCTGCACTGATGCACAAAGTTATTGATCCGATTGTTATTGTTCGACGACCAAATTTGCTGCTCCCATGGTCTGCAGAAAAAAACTGTTCCCAGGAGAGCTCCTGATTCCGGTGGCTGCATCGCCGGTCAGTGGTGAAAAAGAGGCCCGAGCCATGGCTGCAGACATGGCTTCAGTCATCGCTTGGATGTGGAGGGCATGCAATTTCAACGGATCCTGATTGGAGCTGTTGAGATCTGTTGAGATCCCAGAGCTATTTGGAGATGCAGAATATGTTGAGTAGATTGGAAGATGTGTTGTTTGAACGACAGTCAAGTGCATTCTTTTGTAGTTGTTCTGAAATCAAAACAGGCCTTCAAGTTGCTGCTGTTGAGAATGAAGTTTGAGTGCATCGTTCTCCAAAGCTGGTCTTTGCAAAGTCTGTCAGGCTACGCCTGTTTCGGATGCTTCACTTTAACCGCAAAATGCTATGTCCAGCTGGTCAAAACTGCAATGAGAAGGGGTCTATACTGCTGCAGTGACGTTTCGGGCATACAGACCTCGTCCATATTTGGTTTCACTCTAAGCCAAGTCCCGAGAGGGGGGTTTCTTTGCAGCCCAGGGTAGGCCGCATGAATTTACAGATGGGTAGAATTCCACTTTGAGATGATTTGATGCAGGTTGTCGACTCGCCAACGCCTGCAAAATACTAATTTGGTCCGATAGTCCCTTTGCTTGGGAGCATGCAGAGCATGCTCTTGGGTAGAGCAGTCAATGCGATGAACCAAAAACGGCACCTGCTTCCAGTTCGCAACAAAGCTTGACTTTGATGTTGGTGCAGGTCTACCGGCTTTGTTGCAGTGCTTGGCATCTTCAGAGCATGGCAATGGATCGGTGTTTACCGCAGCTACAAATCAAGACCGAGTCATACAGGGCCCTTGAACAGCTAGAAGCAGCCAGTAAGCCTCAGTAAGCCATCGCCTTACACCTTCAGCCATGTGTTTTGCTTGCTATCAATGATGAAGCATGATTTTGCCGGGCTCCACGAGCGTTTTTGCTGGCTTTTGGGTGGAGTGAGAATCTCTCTTGCCTTAGTCACCTTAGTCCCATGCCAAAGAATGTATTCTTGTGCTCTCAGAGCCCGATTTGCTGTCTAATTCATGCCATTTGTGTGCGAAGCTGGGGCATTGTATTGCAATTTCTTTGCTGACCCTTTTTCTGTCCCAAAAAAGGGGCACATCATACCGTCCAAGTGCTGCAAGTGCTGCCCAGGTGCCGGCGCCGCGGCGCCACCTCACCTGTTCACGTGCCCTAGGGCCTAGGGCTGGTTCGCAGCTCGACTTGATATCTTGAGAAACTATGAGAAACTCATCAATCGCCCGTTATTGCATGTCCAATGGTAAGTAGTTCCAGTGTGCCTTTGAAACAAGTATCCATGGATGAGTTGATGAGATTTGATGAGTTGAAGTTAACAGGGAAGGCTCTCTCCAGCCTTGAAGCGGGAGGTACCAAGCCTTCTGCGGTTTGCCGCCCGCTGCGCCCGATGGTCTGAGACCAAGCGATCGGGGAGACCATAGAAGACCATGGGGCCGGTGACTGTTTGAGGCACACAACAAGGCTGGAGTGGTGATCAAGAACACCTTTCTCGAGGTGACGAGCTGGCCCACTGTCAACACTGTGACATTGAGAAGCATTGAATGCTGATGGATGATGGATGATGGATGATGGATGATAGCATCTGCATCCTGCATCCAGGTGGGAGATCAAATCTCAAATTTTCATGACTGGTGCGGAACTTGGAGATTCCTTGGCCCATTTTCGGAAGATGTGACATGCTCGCATGGATTCACATGGCCGCCCAGGCGAAGGCAGATGTCAGAGCCCGCGCGACGCTGATCTGACTGATTTACCCATTGACCCATTGGCAATTCCCAGGGCTGGGTAGTACCCTCTGGTAAACTAACATAGCTATGGAAAATCATCATGTTTAATGGGTAAATCAAGTACTTCTATGGCCATTTTCAATAGTGTTTGTGATGCTTCTGATGCTTGTGCCGTCACCTCGGCGCGTATTGCCGAGGTGAAAATTTACACCAGTGTAGATCCCGATGAGGTGAGCCACCGGAGATGGCAGTTGAACCATGAAAAACCATCATTGGTTGATCATGGGGAGATTTTCTTATGATTTAAGCGTCAAAAGTGGGTTTTATCAGAGTTTTGTTGTCATGTTTGGAACCAAGAAAACATGGGGATGTAGTCTGATATATAGTTGATGAATGACGGTCACTTCGATTGGGTAGCATAGTGGGTTGGACGACCTGGTTTTGAGCGACTGCAAAAACACCAGTTCTCCAATCAGTTTGATGGTATGGAGATATGCTTGCACTTGCCACAGGACTACGATGAAGCCGAAGAGGGTGAGGCAGAGGTACGTCACCAGCTGGCAGGGGGCAAGCTGGCGCAGTGAACTGTGAACTGTTCTCAATCTTCCAATCTTCCACGCCTGCCTTGAAAAAGCCGTTGAAAAGTCATGCGAGAGAGATTTTTGACATCGACTCCAGCTGATTCGTTTGTCGAAAGTGGCAGGTTCCCGAAGAGATGCCTCCGCTGCCCTTTGCTATGGCTCCACCTTCGACCTCCTCGACACATCCAGGGCAGGGGTCTCCCGTCATGGTGTCATTTTAAGGATCCGTTGTTGCCCAGGGTCAAGGGATAACAAGCCTTCGGTTTTCATTCCTGGCTCGATATTTCGTTTTGTCTTGGACTGTGTGCTTTGGTCGAGACCCCCCAATAAGAAGTGATACGACAAACTGTTTTGTTGAACAGCAGACAGCTCTTCAGTGAACTAATGATGCCACCCGAGCTGAAACTTTCAATGTGAAATTTATATTTTTCTTTGGAGTGCTTGATGTGATGCACATCGATGCACTGTCCATTAATTTGAGGTCAGGGCACCTTCAACCGACTATGGGTGTGTTGGATCCTGGTGCTTTGCCACAATCCCCTGGCTTTGAGGCACGGACTATGCCGGTCGGTGAAAGTATGCTACATGTTTTGGGGTGAAAAATGGTGAAAAGGATTCTTTTAGCAGCTATTTTTCCATATTTTTTCCACGGAATTACTGTGCCCTGCCCCGGCAGGCTTCGCCACCACCATATGTGCCACGGCAAAGCAGCCAGGCCGGAGTAGAACGATAACGGGTAGGTCCAGGCAGACATTTGGACCCAAAATGAACCGATTGGAGCCAGTCAGCCAGTCTAGCAAGTCTAGTGAATTTACTCAGATTGAGAATTCGTTTTTACAAAGCCAACCCCGGGCCATCATCTAGTCATATTCTAGTCATTTGCAGGTCAAGGAGCAGAGTGCAAATAAGGTGTCGCGCCAGGGACCAGTTCAACGCTTAGTGTGATGCCACAAGGTCACAGAGGACCTTGAAACAGCTGGAAAAGATCCCGAATGGTATCCAATCCCTTTCCTGTAATACTGTACTATTGACTGTCTCCTGGAAACCTTCACTTTGGGGTTCCAGAAATTGTGGGGAACTATGTCCACATGTTTTTTTCCACTGAGGGCATCAACGCGTTGAAGAACAATGACATCACCAGCAAGGCGCGCAGATGCGCGCAGCACAATGTGCGACATCGACGGCTCTCTTGGAATGGCACCGCCCAGGAACCACCTTGGAATGATGTAACAACGGTGATGATGAGAAACCTGCCCAACAAGTCAGCGTCTTAGCACGGCCTTGTGGATCTTGTGGACCTGGGCGACCTGCTGGGTCTCGAAAATGAAGTGCTGCATGAGCTCTTGAGACAAAGCCATAAGATCACACGAGTGAACCACATGACGCTTTCCGTCTAGCTCATGCAGTCTTCATCCGTTATTCCTTTATCATTGTTTGGAATAGGTATATACCAATCTGCCAATCTGAGCCACTCCCACTTGCAAGTTGTCTGGCACCTCCAAAACTATGGTCATAGCATGTCAGTTTTGGCAAGTAATGATGCCACTTCCAAGCGGTTGGTTGCAACATGGTAAGGACCCCAGTTACTCCAGAGGTCCCCAGGTGTCCATTGGTGATCTGTGTGAGGTACAGACAACAGATGCTGTTGGACGAATTGGCGGACGCTGGTTTCCGAGTGCAGGTGCTTTGCAGCTCTTTGCTGCAGGAATGATTGGGAGCACGTCTAGACTTTGGGGATCCGGAGTTTCCCACATGACTCGACTCCCAAAATGTCGTGCCACATAAAAGGGTGGGCCAAAGTTTGTCGCTTTGCCAGTCCGACTTTGACTTTTTCTACCTTCCGATGGACCACAGCCGCTGGGCGAAAGCATTTTTCTGGACAGCTGGACCAGGGACGTTTACCAGCCTTTTTTTAACGGAAGAACTTTATGGACAGCATTGAACAGCCAACAGCCACAACTCAAACGATTGCTATGAAAGGCAGTTTTTCGGGAATTTTGGGGGTGACATGGATGGCGAGCTAGCAGCAAGTCCACGAAGTCTGGATGTGGGTCTGTCAGTCAACACAAAGGCAATGCTGCAAATCTTGGCTATTGCTCAAGCCTCAGGTTGGCCTAAGTGTTTCCACGGGTTTTGTGATCATATAGGGGGCAGAGTGGCAAAGAGAGAGGGGAACAAGGACACAGCCATAGCTAAAGATCCCTGATTGTGACAGAGTGGTACAGTAAGCAGCTGGTTGCATCTTGCACAGACCACAAATCACCGCGAGAATCGTTGAAGGAAGCTCCATCGCATCCAAACTTGGAATCCCCTAATCACTAATCGACTGCTGCTTGAATCCAAAATTCTGACGGGCCATTTGTTTTTTTGGGCACAGGGTATTTCAGGGTATCCATATAAGTATATACGGTATACCCGTAACGTGGCTCTTTTATGAGGGAAAATGACGAGTAACCAATAGTTTTGAGAGTTATCATTTGCCTAGAGAAATTATTTTATAGATTTTTTTTTTTGTGATTTCGATATGGTTTTGTTATGGTTTTGTTATGGTTTCCTTATGGTTGATTTTATGTTTTTTTTGCCTGTCCTGAAAACAGTTATGATTTCGATATGGTTTTGTTATGGTCCTGGAGTGCTTCATTTTTTTCTTATGAAATTTGTTATGGCTGGTCGTATATTTTTTTGTAAAAAAATCAATTTGTTATTTTAATGGACATTTCAGAATTGAAAAAATCCAGAAAATATTTATCTTTAAACATATAATTAAATCTAAATCAACTGCAAAAAATGCTTTTAGATTTTAGGCTGAAAAAAATCCTTGCCTGATCAGTACCATCATTCAAAATCTACTAGTTTTGTCTTTCAGTTTTGCTTGATGTTTTAAGATTTTTTGGTTTTTAGAAGCTAAACTAAGTATAATTATAAAAAGGAACTAGTAACTAGTAGAGCGAAACGAAGAGAATGATATTGAAATCGATTTTCACTTTTGGTTGGTCCACAAAGCCATAGGTCCATAGGTCCTAAGGCGGTCCTAAGGTGCCTCTTCACAGATTCATTAGATTCATTAGATTTGTTCAAAGTTTTCTATGAGATGTATTTTCTTCTTTCCTGTCCTATCTGACGTTTTTACTTGGCATATATTCTTGGGTTCTGGTGTGTAGCTTCTGTTGATCAAGCAGCTAGCAGCTAGCACCTAGCAGCTTAGCAGCTAGTAACAGGCAACTAGCTAGCTGCTAGCAGTAACTAGTAGCTAGCAGCTTGATCACACAACTCGATTCTTTTTTGTTGTCATGTATTCTATTCTATTCAATTCTATTTTGCCTGATGTCATATCTGACATCCGGCATTACTTTTTCATCATAAACAAACATTTTGATCTGAATCTATTACTATCTATTCTACTCAACTCAAGTTTACACATTCTACTCAATCATTCTGATTCTTATCTCTTTTCTGTCGTCAGCGTATCGGCTTATCCTTCCTGTTTATCAGCTCTGCGATATTTTCACAAAATCTCCAGAGAGTACCCTTGTCACACTTGCAATCTCATCTAGTCTGCTAGTCATGCTGGCAGTTCAAGACATGTCAAATGTCACAGTTTCCTTAGCCCTGCCTTACCGATATATCCTTTGGAAGATCACATGAAACTGTTTTCCCAATAGCCCAATAAGCCCAAAAGCAATGTAAGTCATTGTACACTGTGTATGGATCCATTCGCAAGGTCCAGTCGAATTGCCTCCATAGCCATCGTCATAGTCATAGTCATAGTTCAAGTTCAGATAGTCACTTAGTCAAGGCAGTTAGTCTGTCATAGCTGTCATAGCTTATGTCGGTCCATGACATCATCAAGACAGTTCGGATAAAGTCAAGTCATCATCAGTAGTAACAGTTGTTATAGTAGTGAGTGCATGGCACACAAACACCGGGACAGAAGTTTTGAAAAAGGGACACGACGCTATAATATGAATAGGAAAAGGATTGCCTGTAGGTAGGAATGGCTTGTGCATGGGAATAGCGATGAGATGAAGCTTGCAACAGTGCAAAGACACGACGACATGAACTGGTAAATGGAATGTGGAAAGAGTGACTAAACCCTAAACTCAGTTTGCAGCAACATTGGAAACCTCTTCTTCTTGCCAGCTTCACCCCCAAAATAGAAAAACTTAAATTCAAACTGGACTCTGTAGGTCTGTAGCATGCTGCAACGTGCCTGGAGATCAAAAAAAATCAGAAAGAAACCAAAGTTTGAAATCGGAGAGTTCCTCAGTGGTTCCACTGTCCGGCGACGGGATGGGAGGTGTGGCCGGGGTCCGGCGACGGGGGTGGGAGGTGTGGTCGGGGTCCGGCGACGGGGGTGGAAGGTGTGGGCGGAGGGAGGTGTGGCCGGGGTCCGGCGACGGGGGTGCATGGGAGGTGTGGCCGGGGATTGGTTCACATGTCCCCCTGCAAACTAGACACCACTCAACTAGGAGCAAAGTGCCCCAAACCAGACAGCATACACCGTCCTAAGACCATAACGAAATCATATCCAAAAAACGGAGGCACTCCAAAACCATAAGAAAACCATAACCTTTGGCATATCAAAATCATATCAAAATCATATCGAAATCATATCGAAATCATATCAAAATCATAAAAAACATATGTTTCGTTTTTTTTTAATGATTTTGATATGATTTTGTTATGGTTGATTTTATGGTTTTGATATGATTTTGATATGGTTTTGATATGGTTGATTTTTCATGCTCTGATTTTGTCACAGAAACCTTACGTTTTCAGCCACCCACACCACAACAAAAAGGCCCTATCTCCGATCCCAAGTTGCACTATGAAAATTCTGCTGGGCCCTCCGTTTCTACAGTGTGTGAGGCAGCACTGGAAATCCATAACAGTGAACAAATATGGAACCTTGCTCCCCTTGCAGCAGTTGCATTCTCTATCCTGGAATATGGACGGCTGTGATCTTAAGTCACAAGCACAGAAAAATCAAATCATATATCTCTGTACCTGTGGTTTGCGTTTGACTCGCATCATCCCCGTTAGGCCATGTAGGCTCTTTCTGGGAAGTCTTGGCACATCGCTCTGAGAAGCCTGAGAAGGGAAAAAAGGTGCTGGGCAGTTGACTCGCATGTCTTTGATTTTAACCTTGGGCCTAACTTGCCCTTTTTCAGAGCAGAACGGGGCAGAGTGGTATTGAAAACTGACTAGTGCGTGACTAATGGCTAGTGACTAACGTGAACAGTGACAGCGTGGGATGAAACAGTAAAAGTGGGGGCCACAATGCGCCAACAGCGAACTGATGAAGCAATGATTGGCACATGTTTGGCTCCGCTAGAATCTGAACTGGTATCGGTGACGCATCCGCGCTTTGTGTGAAAACTCGTATATAATGTATTATGACAAAGAGAGTTGCACTTTTGAAAGTTCAATGTGAACTTTCCTAGGGTCTTAGAAGCCAAAAACCTTCAAACCTGTGTTTGTCTCAAAACCTTGCATGGCACATGTTTGGAGTTTATGCGTCGCGTAGGCGGGCGTAAATGCGAGCGATGCGCATGTACTTGAAACAAAATTTTACACCTGGAAAACCAAAAGCATGTTTTCCTGCTTTACAGCTTTCCTGTTGCGTATGTGGCGTATGTCGTGTTTTTATTTTAAATTAAACATATTTAAAAACCAGACAAAGTTGTTGAGCTAAGCTAAACAGCTCAGCTAAGCTAAACCAGCTCAGCTAAACAAAGTTTTTGAGCTCCTATGCCTATGCCCATGGCCGAAGGCCTATGCTCTATGGCATTAATCAATCATTAATCATTAATCACATAGGCTTGGGGCACAACCATTCAGAAACCCATGGCTTCCTTTGTGACGGCCGCTGTTCTGGGTGGTTACCATTGCTATCTCAGAAGGAAGGAGGGCTGACATAAAAACGACAGTTTAAGTGTAAACCCTACTGAACCCATGTGCTGTGTGTGTGTGTAGCAGTGTCAGCGTAGTCCGTGATTGAACCATGGTGTCCAATGTTAAGGATTCCGTGTCTATTTGGCGGCTAGCCGCCTTTAGTCAGTCAGTTTAGTCAAGAAAAGCATCACGGCTCTCTTGCCTTAGTGACCCAATCTGGAAGCTCTTTAAAATTTTTAATTATACATATGAGTGTTTCGATAGTTAGTTAGTTAATTAACTTTTTTCATTTGGTTTCCACTTATCGTCTTTGAACTACAACTAAGACTTGTTGATTTAAAAATTTGGTTTTCTTATCCGATACCCTTGACTGTTTTCACCTGCCCTTGCAGATTTTCAATGTTAAATGATATTTTTGAAAAATGTTTGACTTTTAATTGTTATTCATTAGGCATTCCTTACACTTCTTCTTTCATTTCAACTTATAACTCTTTTCTCTTTAGCTGACATATAAATAGTAAAAATATCTTTTTACTTGTTTCTTATATTTCAATTTATATTTTTCGTGGCCTCAAATATAAGATAATATTAGTAAAATTCTCGTCATACTTTTCTTATATTTCAGTTTACTTCTTCTTACTTTAATTCAAATATGCATTTTCCAATAATATACAAAAATATATAGTAATGTTCTCTTGACATTTTTTCCTTTTTACATTTATATATTTATTTTTTCTTTAATAAATTTAGTAATAGTAAATTTTTGTACATATATAATATATTAATAATAATGATATTTAATAGAAATATACATATATATACATATATCTAGAATCTAGAAAAAATCAAAATATGCAAGCTGGAGGCATGTCCACACCATAAAAGAAACATATTGAAATTCATATCGCTTTGATGAGGTGGTTTCAGACCATAAAAAAACCATATTTTCCACCATATCGAAACCATAACAAAATCATAACAAAATCATATCGAAATCGCAAAAAAAATAAACCTAAAAAAAATTTTCTAAGCCAAAAGATAACTCTCAACAATAGTTATTTTGGGTTTTCCATGGTTTTCCCCTAAATTTTCAACCCCTATCCACAAGGATCACTAGGTTGAACCCCCAGCCTGCTGGCTGCTGCTGAGGTTTTATTAACTTCACGGAGCCGGCCTTGGCGAACTCCTTCGCCGCAGCCTTCCAGGGCAAGAAGATGCGACGCTTCAACTCCCACAAAACGGTGGTGGTGTGCTCCTTAGAGCTGCAAATATTTGGAGTGAATAGTAATGACTTGCTGAAGAATCAACATCCAACCCACCATCCACATGATAGTGTATATATATAATATATATATATATATATTATACACGTATTTATCCACTTCTTGTGAAGTACTTTGCTCAAGGGAATCGTTGGATCTGTTGTGAGGTGATGCCCGCCTCCATTCAGGGATATGACAGGAATTACAAGTGCGCCAAGTTTTGGTCAACTCACGGTTTGTCGATGGGCTCAAAGCCTAAGAAAGGCAAACTCACATCGACTTGCTTGTAGGTACTACTCCTCGACTAGAGTCGCACAGGCTGAGGAGAACCGAAACATCCCATAGTTGTTTCGCATGTCAAAGAATAGTGGGAATGATTCTCTCTCCAGTGACAAGCGAGTTGATCCACTTGCGCGAGTTGATTTTCGACGTGCCCTGCGCACGCGGGTCGCGCCTTGCCAGGATCCGGCTTACCGGCCTCTCTTCCTCAGACATCCTGACGACTCTCAGGACCTGGATGAAATTGATGTTGAAAACGTGTTGAATCTGCAACAAGTTGCAACAAATGGCGTTTTCTCATTTTCTGAGATTTTAACATTTTGGGAAGAGATATTCTCTGACAATGAAACTGGATGGTTTTTTGCCTAGGCGCGTTTAAACACTACCAACATTACAAACATTTTTTCAAAAATGATATAAATTGGACTTTTAGCAGGGTAAGAAAGCAGCAAGAAATACGCTGACGATTTTTTTCATTTTCCACACTCTCGGTTGAAAGGACAGAAAAGGTGCTGGTCGAGGCCTGGAATCTGGTGGAAGATCTTGCTGGAAGCCTTCAAGCTCAACCCTAAACATTGGTTGGACAAAGTGAAGTATAATGTTTTTGCATATCTTCAGTATTGATCTAGTCTTGTCAGGAATTTCCATCAACATGATTTCCAGATAATCCCATAATTCGCATCGATGTTTTCCCAGGGGGCAAAGGCGGAGACAAAGGGCGTGGCAAGAAGGGCTCCAAGGCGAGCCATATTTTGTGGGTAGAAGTTAGGAAATCTGACAGATCGGATGGTCGGATGGATTTGACGGATAGAGTTGGTGTATGGGAATGGCTCATATGGCTGGAAACTTGGGTGTTTCAAGCTGTCGAAATTAGGTGATCTCTTCTTGTTGAAATCAGCTTCCGTCCCACGAATTTTTCCGGATGATTTGGACCTGGCAGGGCTCCAAAGGACCTCAAGATGGGAAGGGAGTGGAGGCCAGCTGCTGTACTGCTCACAAATGCAGAAGTTTGTGCAGGGGATGGAGATCTCAAACAAACCTTTTGTATCCTTTTGTGTTTCTGTTTCTGTTTCTTTCTGTTTTCAATTTTTTTCCATAGTTTTACACTCATCCGGAATGTTGGACCATTGGGCTTCAGGCTTTTGGACGCCTTGCCTTTATGGGCCTGGAAGACCCTAATTCACAGGCCCGGGAGGTCTGCGCCATGCCATTTTTTGTTTTCCGAGTCGCAGCGTCAATGGTGGAGAGAATCGGATGCAGGGAGAGTGGTCTATGGCGACGGATCAGATGCCGTGGCAGCCGCAAATGATGCTGTAGACCCAGCTTTGCTGATGCAGCTGAGCATGACGAAACCCATTGGATTTATCGGAAAACTATGCATGGAAGTCCAGAGAGAAAAGCCAAGTGACTTTCTCACTCAAGTGAATTTGCATTGCTGCAGCTTCACTTCTACTCCTGCCATAGGTGTTGTTGTTTCAGTATGCAAAAAAACGCAGTCTGAGCAAGTGGAAACTATAATTTTGAACCTCAAGTGCCCAATCTCTTAGGGCTTCAAGGATTGTATTACAAACTTCGAAGGATATCAAGGGGCCGCCAGGCATAGGTATTGAGGCACCAACGCAAAAGCCTAACATGTCCGAATTTTTCATCCACAATTCCATCTCCTGATTGAGATAGACCAACCCTTTTTTTTTTCCGGGTGGCATCCTCACCTTTCAGAAGATTCCTGGATTCCCAAGGCCAGCTCAGTTTCCGGGCTGCGGCGGCTGCGCAGCCCCCTGCGCAGCTCCATGCGGGGGTCGAAGCGGCAACACTGTGACCTGTGGTGACCTCAACCAATCCGCAAGTGTATTTTAATTTTGCTGATTCTGTATGATTTTGTTGGGATTCTGTTGGGATTTTCTTGGGATTTGGTTGGGATTTTGGGACAAAAGCAACAGCTTGAGCTTTTGACTGGTGCTATGGATGCTATGGATGCTTCGTTTCAGGCACAAACTGTGGCAACGCATGCTCTGCAGAACACAGGCAAGGCCTTGCCCCAACTCTGCACTGTTGAGCTGTGCAACCTCCTTGGCTTCCAGCATCCCATGGCATGGTTGTCCCATTTTATCTTTATGGAGGTTCTGTTCGGGCTGTGGGAATCCCGTTGCGACCTCAGATCGGCGAAGCACGTCTTAGGACTCCCTTCGTGTTTTCATGGATTTTTTTTGGAAGGATTTTCAATCTATGGGTCTTTCTAAAGATTCGGAAACCCCAAAAAAGACTTCAGTTTCCATTTTGTTTCCTTCTTCAAACAGATCAATTTGGTGGGTTCCTGAGTTCTCCCTAGTTTAAGCTACCGGCGTTGTTAACGGACCCGCAGGTTTTGCTGTATTTTTGCTGTCGCATTGCCCGTCAGTTAGAAGTTGTGCACGTCAGTTAGAAGTTGTGCACTTCAGTTAGAAGTTGTGCACTTCAGTTAGAAGTTGTGCCCGTCAGTTAGAAGTTGTGCACGTCAGTTAGAAGTTGCGCACGTCAGTTAGAAGTTGTACACGTCAGTTAGAAGTTGTGCACGAAAGATAGTGTGATTTTCTTGGGGAACCAGGTGGGGTGGGGGGGTGGGGGGGGCAAGGGGTACGCTGTAACATGTCTCTTGTCACTTGCCACACGCTCTTGATGCTACGCTGTAACATGTCTCTTGTCATTTGCTGCACGCTCTTGGTGCTACGCTGAACCCATGATTAGAGAAAAAGAAAAGGGCGAAACGCCGTCTTTCATTCTGTTTTCCAAATCCACATTTGAAAATTATTTGGCCCAATAGGATTCAATGACCAATGAATTAAATTCCTAGCGCGTAACGTGGGACGAAAACACCATTTCTAATTCAAGGAAAAGCAACAAAATCGTCACGGCGCCACAGTTTTAAACAAATCAATGAAGAATGGCTGTAATCAAAATCATAAAAAAAGGGTCCGCTATCAGCGCCGGTACCTAGTTTAAGAAACACCTCTCAGGAGTTTGCATACAGACCTGGAACATTTTCTTCTTGAAGTTGATTTTGGAGTTGGAACGTCGGCTGGCAAGCCAGACTTGAGGTGAAAGCCGGAACAGGTGGTCTCGGTGCAGGTTGGGAACGACATCTTTTCTCAGCAGATGATGTTGATTTGGGTTTGTCGGAAAACTGGCTGCCCGAAAATGGCCATCTCAACTTGAGGAAAAACCACATTTTACACATATTTCCAAGGGCCACGGCATCTTTGGACAACGCCGTCTGTAAGCTGGTGTTTCAATCCGCGCAGGTGGTCCAACTGCCATGGGAAAAGGTGGTCCTTGTGCAGGACCGCCCATGAATGGGGCCATGATGCCATCGATGGCTGGTTGCCCTGTTTGGGGCTGCTGCCCCTGCTTCGCGCTCAGTGCCACTGTCGTGCTGCCGCTGCCAGTGCTGTGGGGCACCTGGAGAGGGCAAAAATCTAAGGTCCGATGAATATGCGAGCGGATGCTCCAACGTTCATGCCAGTTATGGGAGAGGTGCAGCACCGAAACCTGAGAGTTTTGGAGATCTTTGAAGCATTTCTATGCCTTTCTGGGAAGTACAGAAGTGATTGTTCGAGAATTTTGAAGTACCTGAATGCTGTTAGGATGATGGCAACCAGCAGCAGACGACTCCCCAGATGACCGACTCGGTGAACACGGAGCTTGATGTGATGCGTGGACGTTGGACACTTAAGTAACTTAAGACACTGTTTGATTGGCTGTTTTTTGATTGAAACGCCAGTTGTTTTTGGCACTCTATTTTGAAATCTATATATGGTGTTTTGACAAGGACGTCACAGATTAGGGTTTTGTGGTAGTTGCTGTTGAATCAGTTGAATCCAAAGTGGCATTCACGGGCGTTTTGACCATTGCCTGAGGTTTAATGTTGATTGCTGCACTCAAGGACTCTCCAACTGTGCGAGTATCTTTCGGGTGTGATCACAAGCTGCAGAGAAGTGAGGATATGAGTCATCCAGTTGTCCAAGATTGATACTGTAGCCAGTTTTTATTGTCCAGATGTTGTTTGCCACACACGAGTCTCTTCTACCATCTTTTACCCAAATTTGAAAGATCCGACGATTGCATTTGGCGACGTAGGATATCGAGCAGAGAGACTCCGAGAACGCTCGTGGAAAAGACGAGAATGTCGTTTGAGAACTCAGTCGCCCGTGGACATCATGGATTGCATGGAAGTGAGATTTCATGAACATTTCATGAACATTTCATCCTTCAGTGAACTTCAGTCCTTGGAACTTGTGGTGTTTCCATTGAGGCTTGGTTGGCCTGAAGCAAAGAAGGCATGACGGTTGAGATGGAGCTTCACGAAGCGACATCCCAAGTGACATCCCCTTTGGGCAACATGGCTGCCATGGCTTTGTCAAATTCGTCCAGAATCTCGGGGATTGGCTAAGTCGACAAAACATATTGGCAACACATAAGTGCAAGCGCGAAAAGTAACATGTTTTGATAAGTTAGTTGTTCTTTTTGGGGACAACGCCACAGTTTTCAAGTCTCTTTTTGGGGTCCCAACAAGGTCTGACCAAAGTGTTCGGCGTCCCTTTCTGGGCGTGGCTAGGCCTTGCTGTTAACACGATCGCATGGCGGTGTTTCAGAGGTGCCAGGGGATGGTGGATGGCCCCCCCGAGTCGACAGGGAATATTGTAATCGTTGTATTTGCTATTTGGGTTTGATCAAAATTGAAGGATGTGGGGATTCTCCATTATTTTTTTGGGATGATCCTCTGCATGACATTTTTTGGGATCCTCTTTTCAGACAACCCCCGTCCTCGTCCGACTTTCATTCGACACTGGGTTGGGACTGCTGGAGGCGAGGGAAACAACCTTGCTGGAAACTGAAAACTTGCTGTCGCAGTCTGAGCTAAAGTCAGTGATCACTCTGGTTTGCATCCCATAGCAAAGCCAAAAATCACGATACGTCCTTCAGACCGGATAGGACCAGGAGCGAAATTTCAATACATGAATTCATTGCAGTGATTGAAGTTGAAGTTGAGAGCCGTTGCCACAATTGGTTGTGGCTACTCGTGAGCTTGTGATGAGGTGGGATTTGTGTGATGACAAAGAACGATATCTAAAATTCCTAAATGCGACACAGACTGCCAGCAGGTTCATGCCGAGCTACTCCAAAGGGGCAAACAGACTCTAGTTCAATTGCAGGACAAGAGCACATTTTTTTGCATGGCTTTGTCTGAAAGTCGGGTACCACCAACTTCCATGGATCATCATATCATATGTTTCCATTCATATTGCCATCAGTTACAGGGCATATCTTTTATTTTGGCCCTGCCTAGATTTTTTTTGTTGGTGAACTCCCCATCGATGGTGAAGCCCTCTATGTTTGATGGTGAAGTCCCACCTTCGGACCTTCGGAGATGGATCGATATGAACCTGGATTTGTTCAGCTACGGCTGTGTCCACACAGCTTGAGAATCTGTTGAATCTCTTGATATGCTTCCAAACATTGGGTGTGGGCCCCCAACTGCCCAATTTATGGCCATGAAACATGGGAAGGATGATGATGATTGAATGGGTTTGGGGTTACCACCCATTTTGAAACCCAGAAAATACCGGTGATGATGTCAGTGTGGACACAACAAGCTTCTTTGAGCTTGTGCGACGCTGGCTGTGGGCAAAACCCAACACAGCCTCAGCGGACACGACTTTCTTAAACAGAGGATGGCCAAGACCCTGTGGTGTGCAACAACCAACAACTGCATGTCGCCACTTGCGGGTGCAGTTGGGGTTGTAAATGGGTATAACCAAGGGACCCTGATGATAACAAAAGTTGGGATATAACCCCCGCAGCTATAATTATGGTTATATTATCCACTTACAACCCCAATTGCATCCGCAAAGAGACCGTGGTCATGTTTGTTTCCATGTTTCTGGCCAGCCAGTCCTCTGGCAGTCGAGATTCTCCACATTCTCCATGAAACATCAGCCGCATAAATGAGGCGCAGGACCAAGTTTCTATTGAGCGCTTCCTGTCAGCGGCAGTGTATGAGCTGCAAGATTGGTTCTTCGCTCAAATGGCACCAAACAAGATTTCTATAGATTTCTGAGGTATGTGATTTGAACATATTTGAAATCCATTATTGAAAAGAGGGTTTTTGCCAAGTCTTTTGAGTCATCGAATCATTGCAGCTCGTTCACAGGTTCTCCAATTGGCGTGGCGTGGTGCGGTGGGAGCCAGGACTTTTGAATGCCCCCACGCGGCTGCAGCCCGCGGCCGTACCACCGTCGACTACGAGGGATATTTTCAGATCTCTGTGCCTGTGCTTCCCAGCAAGTCGAGATCCGACCATAGAGAATGACCCTCGACCTGCACGGTTTCATGGATGGTTCCTCGATTGAAAACTGCGGTTGTTGTGAAATGCTGGTGGGATCAATCAGACTTGCTGGCGTGCACTAGATCTGCTCCGGTTGAACTGGAGCAGTCCATTTCACGAAGGTGCCATAGTCAGGTTGCCGCTTGTAGCCCAGGACTGCACAGCAGGCTCAATCTTAGTCAAGTTCGAAGCGGGGAGCTTGCAGTCAAATCCTTCGAGGACTTGTGGGTTACGCGGGCTCGATCTCTTTTGATTGCACAGCTACAGCACATCGGCTTTGAGGCCCCCCGATACGGCATCCGAGTTGTGGATCGAAAGGGGCAGTTTGGGACAGGCTGCACAACAATGGCGGCATTAGCCGGTGACCATTTCTAAATGTTGAATCTGACATTTGCATCAGATCTGATACGTTGTGAATCAGTTGGTTACCTGGTCAGAAGGTCTTTTCAACTTACCAAATCTTACAAAAATGTTGGGTCTCCTTGGGACCTTGGTTGGGTAGCTTGAATGCAGTCGACGAAGAATCGCGGATAAGCCTGGCAAAAGACCGTCAAAAAGAGCTGGGCCCTGGGCGTTGGAATTCTTGTATTTTTTGCTTCAAACCCTGGTAAAATGTATTGAATCTGGTCATTTTTGCGGCCATTTGGAGGGGTTGTGTTGTGGGTCAAGAATGAAACTTTATGCCAGCATGTTTTTGCTTTGACAATGGAGAGATTGGAGACCAGTTTCTTTGGATTTGCTGGTTCAATGCCACCCGCCAACAGACCATCTGACATCATTAAAATTGAAATCAAGCCTGATTTGTGGGTCATTTTTCCACTTCTTTCCACCACACAGTTCTTTACAGCAATCATTTGGGAAAAGGTCTCGTTCCATTCTTGTGCATCTTGTGGATTTGCCGGCTGGGTCCCGGCGCTCCACTCCCATGGCAAGCAAATTGACTGGGCCACGTGTACCGTCTGAATCTGAGACGAATCGGTCGAGTCCCATCCAGCGTTTGAAGATACGTCTTTCCTAATCATATAAAGCAACTGTTGATGTAATCTCATTCTGGGACACGTCCACTAGATTGTAGGTTTCTGCGGAAAGCATAGCTGGGACTGGAGTGTGTTGGACCAATTTTGTCCGCCTGGCATGAGATGGGAACATCAGTCAGTGCTTCCATATGGTGACAGCATTCATTTCTTGTCCAGAAATTTGTCTGCAAGACTTCAACCTTTAATTTAGACAAGCAGAATCAGCCCCTAGTCACCCTAGTCACTAGTTCCCCAAAGTTACTGCTTGTGGCTAGCTCTAATCATCTTGGATGTAGCTTCTGCTACCAAGGCCAAAGGGCTCACGACAGCTGAAACCACCTGGTGAAGCCCGTTCAGCGCCGAAGGTTTCCCAAGTGCAGCGACAAGTCGACGAGGTGGGAATGGTTGAAGCGAGGAGCGAAAGATATCCAATCATGGCCATGGAAAGTACGTCAAAGCCAATTTTGACCTGGAAAACGCGTACATTTTGGATCTTTCCTTGCTATATTGTCACTTGGCTCTCAAATTGCAAAGTGAGCTATTGTAGTAGAGGAAACTGGAAACCTATAGTTTTAAGGGGTCCTCATCTTTAACTATCGCCATTAGGGTCTTGACCGGGGTCTTGGTTGTGACAGGTGAAGAGCCTGGAGAAGCGGGCCGGCGACTTGGTACGTAGCAATGATCTGCGCAGTGCTCTGCAGACGCAACTTGGCTCACCATGCCTGGGATGAGTTTTTCGAAGTGACAAGTTGCGGTTTGGTTCCTCGTTGTTGTGAAGATTACCCACATCATCCCACATCGAAATTGCCACAACCACTGCCTCTTTCTGTTTCAGCCAGATGGGTTGGGATTGACAGACACGGAACTGTTTCTGAAACTTGGTGCCCCACACACCCACACATATAATATATTATATAATGTATACAGTATACATGTTATATTATATATATGTATAGCATAATGAAAATGATGACTGAAGATGACATCGTGACATCGAAGCAAAACCATGGCTTCTGGTGGTTTTGCGAAGCAGTTGCGGAACATGTGCATGTACCCAATCCGCCAAGGTACGAAGAATGCAAGGCAGAAATTCAAGAAGCCTTAGAAGGTCTTCCAAAGGACCTGAACGTTTTTCAACACCTAAGTGCAGCAGAATTGTGTGTTTCAATCAGTGCAGCAAGAAGCTGTGCGTTTTTGTTGTAGTTGACCCCATGTGTTCATGGTTTCGGAAAGTGCAGGATGATATCTGCTACTCCACTCTTGTGGAAAGCAAGAATAGCGTGGAGGAGAAGATCTCCAAATGCAAGTTGCGGACCCAGCGGACTCGGCGGACTCTAGGCACCTCACAGGGTAGTCGATGCAGAGATTAAACAACGATGAAAAATTCTGAGGCAATTCCTGCCATTCGAGTACTTCCTCAAAGCTCCAAAGTGATTAGCGGATGGATCCCTTGGCATCCATGTCTGAAGCTTAGTAGATGAGAATAGATGAGAAATGCACATTCTGATAGTGTATATACTGTATATATACTGTATTCATGTTGCACCAGATTGCACCAAATCTGGTGTCAAAGGTCCAACTGAGATCTCTTCCAAATTTCAGCGACGCGCCCAGTCAAAGGTCCAAAAAGTGTGCAGCGCTCTTGAACATATACCTGCGGTGTGATCTGTGCGATTTGTTGCAGCCAGCTGTGCCTGGAAGCAACCGGAAGGGGATCATCAGAACATGGTAATTTTCAAGAAACATAGGGAGACATAAAGATAAACCACGGGATTCTGTCAGCCACCAATTCATTTGGAGAGATTAAATGTGACTCAAAAGCAATCGGAAAGAAAGAATGATGTGCGAAACAGTAGTGCACAAATAGCAAAGGTTCGAATGGTATTATTTTCTTAAGAACCATAGTGTTGATCACAGGCCTTAACCTCTGCAACCTGTGCCTGGCTATCATGCAAATGCATCAGCAATAAGAGGAAAAAAGTCCTTGCAGCAACGATGCAGGCTTGCATCAGCGAAATAGCACAAATCGCACTAGCTCATGATGTTTTCCTTGACAGTTCTAGTTCTAGTCTTGTCTTTGGCCACCATACACATGTCTATCAGACCACGGATGTTTGGATAGGAAAGATCACTGCTCCAACAACCAGCAATTCCAGGAACTGATGCTCAAATTCTGCAGAATTTGATTTGCTCAAGGACTGAATTGCGTCTGTGAAAGCAGCTGCTTCCATCCTTGCGGAATGTTTGTGACAGGCCCATGATCGGTGATCCATCAGCAGTTTCCCCCTTGCCACTTTTGATGAGCTGTGCAGGTGCGCGCGGAAACACTGTGATTGGCTATGTACAAAGTGGGGCCCCGGTGGTGCCTAGGCTGAGTATTCCTGGGATCGTTCGCCTAGCTGCCTAGCTTTTGGCTCACGTGTGCCAGAGCAAACAGGATACAAAGTTCTGACTTGACTGGAAAACTCATGAGGCCAAACAATCGCATCACATTGCACCCTAAAAAAAAATCATCGAGGAACCAACACTTGTCCATGAAGACACATATCACATATCGTATATCATATCGTTATCCAGATTCATTTCGTGGGTTCCTTAATTATAACGTTTTCAAAGCAGTAGTTTAGTTGGATTTGCTCTGTCGCGTCTTGCCCAGTGAGGTTTTGGTTCAAAATAGCCATCCAAGGATGCCCACAATTGTCCAGTCATGGTGAGTCAGGGGGATTTGCCAGTCCTTGTGATAGCCTGTTCCACAGCTTCCCTGAGGAGAAGTCGAGTGTTCTCAATGTGACTCGATCTGAGAGCCTCGATGGACGGGGCGAGGGTTGGAAGATTTTTGTATGAAGCCCCAGCTTGACTGAGCAAAACTTTCAAAGCATGAATGGTATTTATCAACAAGATATGACATCATGTATAGTTATGGGCTATATATAGTAACTATAGTATAGTCAGCTTAGATATGTACAGTATGTACTTCTTGAAAAGGGAAACCTCTGCGCATGTAGGAGCTTACTTGATTGGCGCACAGAGGCAGGTTTTCCGTACTGGAACAGTGCCATGATTCAAGGCCACTGTTCACAGCAAGGCAGTAGGACCAGTAGGACCAGTAGGACCAGTAGGACTTGAGATTTGACACCTGGCTATGGAGGCGCAGCACCAGTATGCTGAACATGGTGCAGCTCAGCTGAAAAGTGGGGATTCTGGAAGATATCTGGAAGATATGCCATGGTAGCCGTAGGGCGCACAGAGGGGCGTAAGGCTCTGAATTTGAGGCTTCTCTGCTTATCTCTGCTTGGTGATTCTTCTTGTATATCAACTTCTTGAGTTACTTGCTACCGCTGGTGACTTGTGGGTGTAACTTTTGGCAGTCTCTGTTGATAGGAAAACCGTCCTCTTTTTCGGAGCTTCCAAGAGCTGCACGTCTCGGCAGGACTGTGGAAGATAGGAAGTCCTCCGATGGATTTGAGGATGATGAGGGTGACCGACCTGGGCCCAACTTCAAAATTGGTTGTCGCAGAAAACTGCGCCGAGCTAAGATGTCCTTTGACGTAGCACGGTGAGACAACAGTTGACCACTGAAGAGCTGGAGATATGAGGACTTGCCTGCTACATTGGGCGGTGATCCCGCCTTCTCTTTGATGAATTTTGATGACAGGTGTCTTTGAGCGTTCGAAAGTTACAACACCTGAGGCACTTGCCTTGATAGTGCTCCACCAGCAGTGGCCTTGGCTTTGGCACAAAGTGCAGTTTGATTTGCGGTCGCCGAAGTTTGCAGAACATCGATGCTAGTCTTGGCTCACTATGTTGATGTAGTGGTAACAATAAGGTTGACGGAAATAAAATAGTAAAGCTTTTCACCATAATGAAGAACAGACCTCCGGATATCTTACCTGTACCTCATTCGGCAACTTTCTTCTTGGAAGTGCGCATCAGTTGCTGGAGGTCACTTCCCATGTCAGTTGTCCCTGACAATGGTAGCACAGGAGCCGCCTTTTTTGCTGGCAGCTCAATAGTATCTGTGGATGGCTGAAAACCCTGAAGCAGCCAATCCTTGCAAAATGCTTTTCCGGAGCATCTTGTAAAACACTCATTCGATTTTTTAGCTATTGGGATCTTCTAGGACCATTAGGAGAGAAAGGGAAATGAGCTAGAGCTCCTATTGGGCACTATTGGGTTCTTCACACCAGCCGATGATAGCCTGAATGAGCATTTTTTTTTGGCCAACCAGTCCTGTTTCCCATAGCAGGATTGGTGGTTGTTCCGATCAGCGTATTCAACTATCTATCAGCTATCAACTTGGGATGAAAAACCATCTCTGGGACAATGTTTCCAGCTTTGCAAGATGCCGTGCACTGATAGTACAGTCGCTCGGTCACGGGTGATAAAAACAGCTGAAAATTCGCTCGTGGGCCGAACGATTTATGAACAGCTGATGAGTTCAATCGGGAAATCGAGTCATGTGATGATCAGTCTTGTCTCTTTTCACACGTGTCATTGAGTTATTTCGTGAATATATCCTAGGCCAACATCAGTTTTCTATGTGCAGGGATTCCACAGTATCTGTTTTGAAGTAAGTGGCTAGGGGGTTAGGGGCTCAATTGAGATCCCATCTACTGGATCGTTTTTTTGAGTGTTGTCCCTGATAGTGGGCTTGTTGGGGCTTTCGATCAAATGCTTGGCACCGTTTTCAGAAAAAGACGTCCCAACATTTCTCAACTGCCTCCGCGCTCTTCATCCCTGCTTCAAGCTTGAGTTTTGAATGCCAAGTGGCTCTGTTTTTATTGCAGTAGTGCACTTGCAATTTTTGCAACCGATTTTTACAGAGAAACGATGCAGCTTCCGTTTTGCAATTCCCACACGACTCGATTTTCCTTTCACCATCTTTCACCTATGGATGTTTGGCATGCAATGAGCCAATCTGGACCTGGGCGAAGATTCATCTTCATTCCAAAAGATGGGGCGTGGCAAATTTTGACCCTGAGAAAATGGTTGGTTGATGTTGGTTGATGTTGGTTGATGTTGGTTGATGTTGGTTGTAGCTTTTGCGTCCTTTGAGTTTGAGGCTCCAAATCCACATGTCCAACTTGTGCTGTGAAGGCCACGCACGCTGTCAAGACATATTTGCAGTAGATAGCAGATAGCATGTGTCCGTTGGTGCCGCAGCCATTTGAGCTGAAGCATATGGATAACGGGTTATCTCATTGATTTACTTGTACTGGCCATGGACGTACCTATTGTTTGCATGGTCCATGCAAGTGCGACCATGTTGACTCAGATGTGTGAAGGTACGAGTTTGTTTCATCTGATCATAGGTTGTGCACAGAGTTGGTCAGGTTTGAGTGCTGAGGGTGCTTGGACAACCTGATAATGATACACATCCACGTAATTTGACAACCTCTCCAGTAGTACCTGCCATGGATTTAGAGTCTGCATCAGCAGCTTTTACAAAGTTTGAAAGCCAAAGCCTGGCGGAGCTTCTGGCGGAAGATGTGGAACTAGAGGCCTGCCTTCTTTGATGCTTATCTCTCAAATGTTTGAACAAATCAATGTTTTTAAAGAGTTTGTATGTTTAATTTAGCCCTGGTTCCATCTCATCCCAGAACCTCACACTTGTTGCCTCCAGGATGCTCAAGCCATCCTCCTCCAGCAGTGGGAATCCATGGAAGACTCTACCCGCGCCCGCTGGTCCAACCCCGACGGCCCGGTGCCCGCAGCCGAGCCGCCGGCGCCGGCGGCGGCGGCACCAAACGATGCGGCCACGCCGTCACGGCGCCGGGCGCCGGAGGCTTCAGGGCGGAGGGCGAAGAAACCGAGGGTGGCGGCAAGCCGAGTGAAGGATACAGCTGCTGATGCTGGTGGTGCTGGTGTTGCTGATGGGGATGCAGCTGGCAGGTGGTTTAGACCTGGCCAAGCTGTGGTAACCTGTGAATCCAGTGAGGATGAGGAGCATGATGAGGGGACGGATGAAGAGGACACGGGCCAATTGAAGGGATGTGTGGGAAGAGGTGATGTAGCAATGTAGCATGAAGTGCCCACAGTCCTTTTTTCGCATGATTTTCTCTCTCTCTCTCTCTCAAGATGCAAAAAAAACCATTGGAGAAGTGACCAAGACAAACCATCACAAAGGTCCTTCTTCTACAAAAAATATCATTCATTTTCCTTTACTGTGGATCTTTTTTGCCAGCCAAAATGTGCTCGTGATGTGTTTGGTGACCTTGCAGCGCGAAGGACGCAGTTGGAAAGCAGCGAGCTTTCAACAGATCTGCCGTCGTCCAAGGTGGAAAGCACCCAGACTGGCTCACTGAGCCGGCTGCAGTGGCAGAGATTTCATTGCCACCGTTGTCATCTGCAGAGGTCGTCTATTTGCCCCCAGAAGTGGCTGAACAGCGCCTTGACTCTGAACGTTCGTCGCGTTTCAAATTTGGTTTCCTTCTGTAAGTTGATTTCCCCCTGTTCTCGGTCTTGGCCAATTTTATGACTTTCAATCTGAGTTCGACAGTTTCAAAATTGCGAGAAGGGGCACCGCATTGTGCAACTTCTATCAGACCCTCCAGGCGTTTGCTGAGCAGCCCGCAATTGGAAAGCGTGGCCTATGCCGCGCGACGATTCCAAACACACTTGCCATCTGGGGTTCGCGCTGGCTACTACCTGGGGGATGGCACTGGCTGTGGAAAGGGTCGTGTGATTGCGGCCTTGGTCTGGCATTTGTGGAACAGCGGGGCGAAGCGCCATGTTTGGCTCAGTGCCAGCAACGATTTATTGGCAGATGCGACCCGTGACTTTCAGGACATCGGAGCTGATCTTCCCCTTTGCAACTTGTCTTTCCACAGCTATGGCCCTATTCTTGGGGGTGGCGGCTTAGATGCGGAAGGCAATGGCATCATCTTCGCCAGCTACCACTTATTGGTGTCCAGTAAAACCTCCGCGGATGCGGTGTCGCCTGAGACGTCCCGCTTGGGTCAATTGATCGATTGGATGCGACGAGGGAAAGGTGGTGCCTGCGGCCTCATTGCTCTGGATGAAGCACATCGAACCAAGAATGTGGCTGCCAAGGGATCAGGCCAGGGATCTTTCATCAGCAAGTTGCATTCAGAATCACGAGTAGGATGCTCAATTGTGTTGCTTGAAAGGAACACCATGGGGAAAATGGACAAGCAACAATGTAGTGAAGTGGCACCCCCGTCACACCCATCATTTTTGGACATGTTTTCCCAAGTCCCAAATTTGCACAGGAAGCTCCGCTCAGTTGGGCTCCAAATCCGGGCTGTGTGCCCTGGAATTACAACGTGCCTGTCCCATGGCCGCGGTGCTATATGCCAGTGCCACCGGTGCCACCGAGCTACGACACTTGGGCTACTTGGAGCGCCTGGGGCTTTGGGGTCCTGGACGACCCCATCAAAGCTTTGAAGAACTGCGCAACGCGCTGGAGGGAGGTGGGGATGGGGGTATGGGCTGTGGTGCCACAAGGTCACCAGAAGATTTACCATAAACACATGGGGCACATGGGGTTCCAACAAATGAGGTTCCAACTTTCCAACCCCAAGAAAGGGACTCTTGGCGAGTGAATGGGACAGCGAAATCAGGAGGCTTGGCTGCTATGGAGCTTCTGGCCATGACGATGAGAGCTGAAGGGATGCTCTCATGTCGCTCCTTGTCTTTCAAAGGACCGGATGGGGCGATGATGATTATAACATATTATAACTTATAACGTATTGAAACACATTGAAACATATTGAAACATATTGAAACCAGCGCTTTTGAAACGAGGTTTCTTTTTGGTGATGCATTAAACTGTACGCAAGCTTGTCAAACGTATACAGGCCAGAGTTTTCCCCAAGTCTTGTGTGGTCCACAGGAGCTTCCTTTCGTTTGGTGCCTGTCACACTCGAGGGTCTTGCCAATGTCTACTCAAAGGCAGGAGACTGAGAAGGTTTCCTTGATGAAAACACTCCCAAACTCTGTCATGATACCAATGATACCTCGTAAAAGCAATTTCCAGTTTAGTTCAGAGCCACCTTCCACGCATGTGAGTTACAGTTCCATATTAGTTGTCAGGTGGTACTGTATCAAGTTGCAACTCCATCGATGTGAATCTTTGTGTCCATAGCCCCAGGCCTGCGAATTCTGGCAAAAGAGTTTGCAGCTGATTCAGAGACTACTGAAAGCCAAAACTCGAGAGGTGAAGCAAAAGCGCTTAAAGCATTCTACTGAACTCAAGGAGAATTCCTTACACATGAGATATTTCTGGAATGCGCAACAGCAGTTTTTCCGACAACTACTGAAACTCGGCAGTAAAGGGCTTGGCGGGGCTTGGCGAGTGTCGTGGGCCGATGGGCTGCAGCGGAAATTTCCATCGGCTCAGGATCTGCACCAAAGTTGACACGGCCGTATCCTTGGCAACCTCGGCACAACTCAGGCGGAGTGATATGAGGAGTGCCAATGAATCCTTTCTTCCCACTGAGTCCAAAAATTACTTTGTATCTTGTATCTACATAATACTAAGACTATACCAAGACTATACTAAGACTATACCAAGTAGTGAACTATAGTGTACTGATCTCAACCCACTGTTGGAGCGACATAAAATTGACATCGCATGGAGCTTCAGGGGCGAGTCGGTGGTCATCGCCATGTGGTCCACCGGTGAGTCGGTCACCGAAGCCGTGGCGGAGCGCCACGGGGAGCGCGCCGCGCAGCTGGCGGGCTTCGCCTCGGCACCCAAGGAGGTGGGATACCAAGGGAACACCATGGGAGTTGACACCAAAAATCCCAAGAGGATTTTGGGGAATTTGGTTTTTTTTGGATTTTGGTGAACCAACTTGAACTTTCGAAAGCAATTTTGGTGTCAACACTTGGGTACTAAGTGTATACCCTATTTCTGGAGATATCCTTATCATGTCTTCTGCTTAGATTCTATGATTTGGAGGCAAAACCAGTCTGATTCATTGGATCCAGTTGTTGTGCCTTTACCTCGCAAACATCCCAATGATTGGCAAGCTCTAGGGTTTCTTCGAGGGAAGTGGTTTATTGGCAAACCTCCAACAGCTCAATCCACCTGGCACCCCAGCAGCAGCGTTTTCTGCCGTGGCAACAGTCAGGTCGCCTTGCGAATGCTGAAAGAACTCAGGAGCTGCTTGAAAGCTTTTGAGGCCTCAAAGACAGGCTATTGAATTCCTGAAACCTGCTGGTGAGACTGAAGGGGTCTTGAAATCCGGGTTCCCCAAGCATTTATAACACACACACACAAACGTGATGTCACCGTGATGTCGTGATTAACGAATCAAGACATCGCAAAGACAGGAGCTTGGCATCCTCACTGACATCTGAGCCTCTTGCTCTCAAGGAGCCAAAGCTCAGAAATTGAACGTTCAGAACGTGTTGGTTTCTGCAGAAAAAGTGACCTTCGTCGGGTTGACAGCCTGGATGGATACTGTAGATGACTTCAGGTACCATTGAGTAGATTTGAATGGCTGCCCTGTTTGCATGTTTGCTTCCAGCTTTCCAGGACCTTTTTCCCTTGGACGACGCGTTGGAGCGGTTGCAACTGCCAGCCAATCCATTGGATGAGATCATGAAGAAGCTGGGTGGCCCGCGGAAGGCGCCCAGCATTGGATGGTCGTGTTATCCACAGGGTTTGCCCGATCCCTGGGGAGGTAGCTGAGCTCACGGGTCGAAGCCGCCGCTTGGTCTACAACGAGCTGACCAACGAGACCCGCTTCGAGGATCGTGGTGAAGGAGCGAACTTGGAGGACCCGAGTTAAAGACAAAAAACGGAGGATGAACTGGGGATATTTGATATATTGGGATTGATTTGAGTGAGAAACAAGGGGACACAACTGTTTTTCTGGTCCCATTTTGTCCAACCGAATCATGTCGTCCCGATGGAGCCTTTGTCCAACCGGAATTTCGGAATGGATTCTGGGCTGCGCCCCACAGGGAATGATTTCCTGACACCACAATACGAAACTCAATCTCACATGTTGTCGTTTGACGCAACTTTTCAAACTATCCTGCAGCTTGCAGAAGCATATCAGGCTTGTGGAAATAGAACAGAAGGAAAGACTTCCCCCATTGAGGAATATTTAGGATCCCAAATATGGTTGGTTAATGTTGGTTATATCCTAGACCTTTGCTCCAGGAGTTGAGGGCCTTCCAGATGGGTCAGAAGCATGTGGCCATTGTGACGGAGGTTGGCTTGAGATATGCACTGCTCTTGGCACCCGGAGCACCAATTCTTGCAGGCAGCCAGTGCTGGAATCAGTCTACATTGCGACAGGCCTGAAATGTCATGTCATTGATGCAGCAGTGCAGTTGCTGCGAGTGATATCAGATGGTCAGGCGTTTGCCTGAAGCCGCACAAAGGCCGGTTTGTTTTTGCCACAACATCAACTTGCGGTTTTGTGCACTTGGGTAGAAGCCATGGCCCCAGGCCACGCTACATGATCTCCATCGAGATGCCCTGGGAGGCTGCGAGTGCGGCGGCGAGTGATGATGATGATGATGATGATGATGATGATGATGATGATGATGATGATGATGATGATGTATAATGGTGCTTTAACATGCTTTATGATCATTTCATTTCTATTTTAAAAGTAATTTCGGAGAAGATCTGCTGACGATGAGTATTCCACAACCACATCAGCTTTGTGTCGGCTTTACGAAGCTGAAGTGCTCCGCTGCAACATTCACAAGTTGACCACCAGAGGGTTCACTCGGGGTCCCCATTTCTACGAGGTTGATTTGATGTTCCCCCGATATGTTCCCGCAACTTGACCAAACAAGTATTGTACGCAAAAGTAGAGCTAGAACATGTTTGCAGCGCTGTCAGTTTCTTTTTGGTCCAAATTGTCAATAAGATGTGGTTCCAACCGCAAACCAGACTGAAGCATATCACCATTCTTTTCAAAACTTGCCTTGCCAATTTCCTTCAGAGATGGCTTCCTAACGCCGCCATGGCCGCTGCTTGGCAGCAGCTTCGGTTGCTGCGGCATCGAGACCTGCTCCTGGGGTCGCTGCTACGAGCCTTTGAGCGAGACCAGTTGGAGTGCCGGGTCCTGCAGTCCAAGGCACCTGATGAAAGGTTGATCAATGGGAAGATATTGGGTGATCCACGTGATCAAGGGGTATACTGATGTCAACAGTATAGCCATCAGACTGGCTTCACATAGTTGCCCCTTCAACAAGCGACCTCTCACAATACGTTCTAATGCGCTGGTTTAGATCATCCGATTGGTCCTGGGAGGCCTTTCAGCCCCATTTGAATCGGTGGGCAGAGCTCTTGGTGGCCAAGGGTGGACATGGTGGAAAGGTGGATCCGCACGAGGTTCCACCTGAAGTACTGCAACATGCTGAGAAAAGTTCAGCTGAAGTGAAATGGGTCTTAAGGCGTGGGCCAAGCTGCAGATTGCGAATCAAGTTGGTTTAGTTGTAGCTGCAGTAGCAACTAGTAACTAGCATGCAATTATCTAGGGTACATCGGAATCATCCCTATCATCTTACCTTTCTGACGTTTCTGATGTCTTTTTGACCGGATTCTTCCAACACTCCTCTGCATCCATGAAGCCTCAACTGCCTGCAGGCGCCTGGCAAGTTCCGAGTCTCACCATCGAGGTCCACCCCATTTCCCTTCGGTGCTGCTGCAGCGTGGCCCGCAGTATCCCTTTCAACCCTTTGAGCTCACCTACCTGCGCTCCGTGGTTGGAAGCATTCGGGGCACTGAGCTCAACCAACCCGTGGACCTGCCGGAGGTGTCGGAGGAACAGAGAGCGGAAGCCTTGAAGATGTACAAAGGAGATTGGAATTGTAAAATCATGCAAGTTGCAGCTAGCTTTGAGCGATCGGCAAAGGGATTGTGAAGTTGAAAACATGTGTGCCTTCTCAGAGAACTTCTGTGGCAAAAGCAGTGCTTCACTATAGTTTCAAACATTTTCAAACTTTGGTCATCCTAATGCCTTTGTACTAGCAGGGATTCTAGTTATTTCATGTGATTTCTCGCAGCATCTCGGACATTGGGGATGCATCGGGGATACATCGAGGATGCCCTGCCATTCACATCCTGCCAGGACATGTGCCCCGGGATCTTTGGGCTGAGGGGTGCCTGGATGACGACGACCTCATGGATCATACGAAGCCTCCCAAGTGACCAGTTGCGACCAGCGCCCGGTGTCTGGAAAAAGGAAGCGCTGGTGGGGATGATTCCTCGATAGGCCAGCATGTTCAACGGATTTATTGCTTAGATACGCTTAAAAACAATACCATGTCTTTCCTGAACTTCTAGATTCAATATTTATGGAAGTCAACTAAGTAAAACATCTTTGAACATCTTTGAACCATGTTGAAACATTGTTGGTCAATTTTGATCCATTGCAACCTGTCACAACATGTGGGTTTGGAACTACACCACTTCTGCGCGGGAGGCAGACAAGGCCATCCAGCAACTGGGGCGAGTCCATCGGAGCAATCAGAAGGCGTGGAATCACGGGATTTTATATCTGAAAATGGTGTGTACCCCTAAACAACAATTTAAATGGCAAAGTTGTTGATGATAAACCACTAAATCTTGGAGTACCCTATATTCAGACAAAGCCATATGGGTGTTTCTTAAAGACTGATGATTTTACCCATGAAAATTGTTGATTGACGGGCACTTTAAGCATCAACATGTGAATTTGGGGTTTCCCAACAAATGGACAGATTGATACTTAACCAATAAAAATGGGGGCATAAACCAATAATGGGGATATATTGGAGATACAATGGCATAAAACCAAGAATCTGATGTTTGGGTGTGTCAATGGGGCCAAGTTGTCATCCTAGTTCTTGGTCATTTTTGATAAGGGGAAACCAATGGTTTACTATTGGATAGATTTGGATAGCAATGGAAATGACTTGAGAAGCACTCATAATATGGGTAGGGCTCGAACTTGGGGTGCCAATGGACTCACACATTTGGGCTTTTGTCGCGTCGAATTCATCTTTTTTTGGGTCCAATATCTAATTCGATCATTTGATCCAACTATATTTGATTGGTATACAACATATTTTCATCATCAAATGGGATGATGATCTCCAAAGATGGATTTTCATGGGTGTGGATGGGTAACTGTCCAATGACTGGACGTCCAGCCAGTGATGACAACCTCCTGCGTCACATGTTGAAGGTCCCGCCCCGTTTCGCCTTCGTGGTCACTGACTTGGGTGGTGAGGCAGGAGGAAAGATCGCATGCTACGAGCGATTGCTGGAGCAAGTGGTGCAGGATTTGGGCCATTTGGGCCGTATGACACTGGGGGCATCTATTAATGTGCTTAAAACGAGTTAAAACATGGTAAAACAATAATAAACAATCCCCAAAATCACCATAAATGGGTGGTATAAACGATCAAAAATGGGATGGTTTATTATTGTTTTAACCACATTCATTTGTCGACTTCTGTTGCTGCAGCCATGTGGATCAAAATAACTTCGAACCCGAAGCGGTTTATTGTTGTTGTGTTGTGATGCCCAGTCTGCACAGATGGACTGGAATTGTTTGTGTGATTGCCCTCGTTCTTCGGCCACAACTGCCATTTACATCTGTGCTGACTGCCCCTCCATCCACAGTTGCTCCAATCACTCAGGAGGACCTGGAAAATGGCGCCTATTTGGAGTTTAGAGAGTCCTGGATAACCCGAAAGAGACATAATCAACTGATGTGGCTGCCAAATTCAACAGAAGCTCAGCAGGGCCAGATCAGCGGTATTGGCCCCTTCTCTTCCATTTTGGTAGTGGGGGATTCCTATGCCGATGACGTGGACATGGGTTTCCACTGTTGGCCAACTCACTTGAGCCGTTCGTTACGACTGCCGCTGCTGAATGTCGCGCGTGGCGGCTCCGAGTCCAGTCATGTTCACGCACAACTGGAACGCGCACACAGCTACAGTCGGCAGCAGTTGAATTTCAAACCCCAGGAGGCTCTTCTGATACTACACACAGGTGGAAATGATGCCTTACATTCCTTACTGAAGCCCTGGTTGTTTGCTTTGTTGCTCTCGGATTTGTATTCCTTGAGAAACTCAGATGTTAGTCAAGACAAGCAAGAAACCCTTGAACTTGCATTTGCAACAAGGGTGTCACAGAGTATTCTGACAGAGCTAGATCTGATGCTTGGGACTGCTGCTTCTCTGGGCCATCGGAACGTGCTAATTAGCACTGTGCCCATTGTGCCATCCTTACCCTTGGCCCGGCTCTTAGTTCATCTTCTGGTACCAGGTTCCAATGCAACTTTCGTGACTCAAACTTTGAGGAGCATTGGTGGTAGCATCAATAAACAGCTCCAGACCAAGTGCATCAAGTTGGCCGAAAAGCACGGGCTTCATGGTTGGATCTTCGAAGAGGGCAAGTCACTGGATCGTTTGGCGCAGCAGTCTGATGCATCCAGCTTGGGTCCCCTTGCAGCCATGAAATTGGCTCTCAGTCGAGTCTATCGAACCATCCTGGATCTGACTGGCAGTCGTGACGCCAGTCGCCCTTTTCATCACTTCTGGCATGATGGTCATCATCCGGCCGCGGCAGCGCATCAACAGCTGGGAGCAGAAGTGATCGACCTGCTGAAGACTGCTCCGCAAAAGTGACGCTATCTTTCTCGGCCCAGAGTTGATGTTCGTCCCACAAATTTCCCCTCGGGTCATCATTTTTTACAAAACTCACCGGGTCCAGTGGATCAAAATATATACAGATCTTGTACCTTTTTTCCAGAGGGAAAATTGATGTTTTTTTATGTTTTTTTGGACTGTTCGACCAGTTCCCAGCAGCTGTGGATTAAGCGCCATCCGACAGGTCCGCTTCGTGTCCACTGTGGCTCGGCGATTGCGGATCCTGGGAGCTTGGACCTCGGCCACGGGATGCGCAGGCAGTGGAGCGTCCCAACCGAAATTATCAGGACGAAGGTAGATATCAAGATATCTATAGATATTGATATATCATGATATATCTATAGATATTGATATATCTATAGATATCAGGATATTGAAGTTAGATATCTCCTATCTTCAAATTTCAAACTCATCAGATCTCATCAGATCTCATCAGATCTCAGCCTGTAAGGAACTCACCAGGGAGGATTTCTTCCATCTGAGGCGATGATGCGCGGAGACAGGAACTCTGCGCATGGCGCGGTGCAAAGCCTGGCCAATTTCGACATCCAAAATCGCCGGGATGCCGTGATGCAACCGGAAATGTTTGGTTCCAAAGCCAGCAATGACAAAAAAACATTATGGAATTATATGGAATTTATGGACCAAACATTGATACTATGTAAATCTATGTAACATGTAATATGAGACATATATATATATATCATAGATGATCTACAATGTATATCTACAGCATATCTCAACATTGGCAATCCGGCCAATCCCGGCATCGAGGTTATGGCCGACAGTCCTTGGCACGGCTCTTTGAGCTGCTTCGCACGGGGCAGGAACCTGAGGTCCTGGGATGCGGGGCGACGCGGGGCGACGCGGGGCGACGCGGGGGAAATGGGCCCCAAAAATCCAGTGGTTTCTCTCGGTTTCTCGGTTTCTCATCATTTTCTTGGTTTTTGTTTATATTCAGAATAAATTCAAATGCCATACATTCGAGGTATACCCCCATTTTCGGGCACACTCACATGGTGGTTTGGTTTTGTGTCGTTTTCTTGGTATGGGACATGGCAAAAATAATGACGGTGTTTGGAGTTGGTGAGTTTACAACAGGAATTTAAGGCTGGGCCATGCGGGCGCCTTGGGCAGCTCCGGCACTTTCAACATAACCAGGTTGGTAGGTCTGCCTTGGACGCCTCCTTGACATTCCGCCAGGTGTCTTTCTCCTTTCTTCAATTCAGCCAGCGAAAAACCAAGGGCAACCGCTGGAAAAGTCATAAACTCAGCCTTAGAACCCATTGACCTTTGTTGATGTGCTAATCTAGCCCGGCATATAGAGAATTTTCCAAGTCAACAACGGGCATATCGCATTGCCATGTTGGTTTACAGGCTATCTGGGACACCCCAATGATCTGAATTTACGACTGAGGCTGGGCGGAATTCAAAAAGTCTGCACTCCAGGCGAGGAGGGATGATGAGGGATGGGTGAAACTCAGCTGGTTTTGGCTCGAAATTCTTGACGCTCATTTGTGATGGGTAATAGATACAATACCCTCCCAACATGGATGGTTAATAGTATGGTTTAATACAGTATGCTTTCATGTGGTTTAATACTAGAAAATGATCGCCGTCCTCAGCGAAATTGAGGCCTTGGATCTCATCGGCTTGCGACCGGACACGGAAGACAAGTACGAGGATGATCAAAGGATGGAGACAACCTAAGACAGTCCAGTGGTGAGAACCAGAGATACCTATAGATACCTGGTAGACAAGATTGAGATGGTTCAGTCTTTGGTTTTCGTCCTTTTAAAAAGGTTCTTTGTACGTCCAATAGTGGTTCTCCTCACCCTTCTCAGGTAGATCTGACCTGGTTAAAAAAAGTGACATCTCCAGCTGCTAGGAGTCCCTGGCCGAGTCCAAAAACCTCAATGTGTTTCTCAACAGGTCCTGCTCTCAGTGCCACACCCTGGGTAATTTCCAAACTGAGAGAGAGAGAGAGAGAGAGAGAGAGAGCGACGGCGCCCTTAAGGTTGCTGATGCTGGAGCCAGGCATTCAAAATGCACTTTTTGATGCCGTAGCCGAGTTATACGTCCACCTGGTAGGTTCCATGGCCGGGCAATTTGCTTGCAGTGTTGTTTTTTGGTGCAACTCAGATTGATATTGCAATATTGCACAAACTAGCACATCGATTTTTTGAAATGTTGAATGTATGACATTCAAGTGGCATAAGTTGGTTCAGTTGCATACAGGCCCTTTCCATTTTTGGGCTATGCATTGCTGGATCACTGGCCACCCATGAACAGCACGGCTGTGATTCAAGTCCTGAGACCTGGACCGAGCCTCCGGAGCCTATGATGGGGGACCGGAAGTTTTGGACAAGAGGCGACTGCGGTCGATTTGGTGGCCATTTTGAGGGTATGGTTTACCCAGTTTACCCACTGTTTCGCACAGCCGGATATTGCCATCTGATTTTAGGAGGAAACAGACATGTTTTGATTTCCCCTGAGGCGAGGCACCAAAGCTGAAGCCACTTGCTTAGCACTGATGAGTTTGAAGAGCAGTTGCTATGTTTCGCTTGGACAGCTACGGATAGGAAGTGAGAGTCCGTTCTTGTAATCAAAGATCATGCCATCTAGCAAAGCCGATTCTTGAATGACGCATGTACTAGCGAGTTATGCAGCTTGCAACAACGCACTGAGGTTCGTTTGGTTCGTCGCGAGGCATGCTGCACTCCAGTAGTTTCCATGTCGAGTCAAACAGCTTCGTTTCAATTTGCGCAGGTCCTCTTTGAGGATCCAATCACAGGAGCAGAAACTGTGTCTTGGTCGCAATTCTGTCAGCGGATGAAAACATATAAAAACAGTGGCAGATTATGATTGGTTTGGGTACCACCAGGTTGGCTGTTTCTCAAGCGGCCCGGCATCCCATGGCACGACAGGCCCATGCGGAGTTACGGCTGGACCGTGGCATGAGCTGGGAGAGGGCGAAGGAGGCGCGGGAAACGCGGGCAGCAGGGGGTCTCTATAATTTGGCCCCGCCAAAATCCGCAAAACTCGGAGATACTGCTGAATTTTGAAGGATGTCCAAGTTTCGGACCTGATGATCTGAGGGTGGAAGTGGTGGAATGTGACCACAATGTGGTGCTGAGTGTGTGGCTTCACTGCTTTGGAAGGCATCAAATTTCTGACCTGTTGCATCCTCAAATATGTCCCAACCATATTAGATTTGATAGACATCAAACACGGGCAAAAAACACCTGCATGTTGCGGAGGTGCTGGAGAGCAAAGGAAAGGGCAGAGAGATCGAGGGCTTCTACTGGTGCTCACACTCAGAGTCCCTGCGGTTAACACCCAGATGGGATGATACGGGGTGGATTGCTGAGACAAATTCATTCCGGGTCTACCTGACCAGCCTTCTGAACTTTGGCCAACCTGCGAAAAGGTGTCTGTTTGTGCATGCACGGAAGTGCAGTAGCAGCAGCTTATAAATTCTGACTAGTTTCTTTTCCGTGAGATTGTTTAATTTAGATTGGTCGTGCCCAAAATAGATTATGATAGGGACTAAATTACTGCCTATGATTAAATCTATTTAAATCTACATCATGATATCATAAAGGGATTACCAACCAACTTATTGTGGGAACCCATGGCATTCGCCGTCCCTAGATTGGTCTCGATCTCAGAGGTGCAGCAACGGCCCCAATCCAGTGGTCCTGGCCGTGCCCCGGCCTCGCTTCCGTGGCGTCCGCGCCGGGGCGGAGTCGGACGACGACAGCGATGCGGATTTGGACCTTCACTGGCCACAGGGACCACCAGCAGAGCATGATGCAGATCAGCAGGTCAGGGTGTTGATTCGTTGATTGTGTTGATGTTGATAGGGCAGTGATGGACTCCTGAAAATTTGTTGAAGCAGCAACTTCAAAATCTCGCATTGCCATGATCAGACAAATTCTCAGTTGTTTCAGATTCCTGTGGATTTTGTTGTCCTTTGGTCACCCTTAGCACTGTTGGCCAAGGGCCACTGGTTGCTGGTAATCTTCTGCAGGTCTCAAGTGCGACACTCCGCAGAGGCGACTTCTTCCTGAAGACTGGCAATTCGGAGTTGAGAACTGTGGAGTCTAGGCGAGGAAGGACAGTTTGTGAATGTACGAAAATATCCAGGCTATATTATATATATACACACACACTTATATATATTATATATGATATATGATCTATAAGTATATATTGTGTGTATATATATATAAATATATTGTTACATAGTCAATCGGTTCATAGTCAATGATCCAGTCCAAAGCCATCCAACAATCCAGCCACAGGTGGCGTGAGTTGCATGGAGCATCAGCCAGACACGCAGGACGATGGCAGGAGGAGCACGTGCTGACGGGCTCCATTTTGAGCACCTGGGCAGTGCTGGGGACGGCCATTCAAGCGGAGCGGACCACCAGGTGGGCTGCGGATTTGGGATCAAACAGAAGTCCATAGAAATCCTGTTGAGAAAACCACTGAATCTGAGTAGTTTTTGTTCGGTGGTTCATGATATTCATGATATTCATGATATTCATGATCTTGGTTTTTCAGCTGGGTTTGGTCATTGTTCGGTTCGAAGTTTGGGATGCGCTCCAGTATCTCCAGTGCTAGCGCTGCTAGGCTGAAGGTTCAGAAGATCCCATTGGTCAGAGCCAAGTTGGCTGATGGTGGCGCGATCGTTGGCGTAAAGGTGCACCATGATCGCTTGCAGGAGGTGAAATACGTCCTGTCTGCCCTGCACGAAGAGAGAAGCAGCAAAGGAAATAAGGCTTCTGACAGAATGGGTGTGGTTGGATGTGGTTGGGTGGGTGGGACCAACACGATTGTCTGACTGTATTCAAAGCACCGACTGAAGTCCAGGGTAGAAATGTTTCAATCCGCCCAAAGGAGGCCAACGAGCTCGACGTGCGAAAGCTGAGTGCTCAACTGGAAGCGTTTTTACGCACGCAGCCGAATCAAAGCGCTCAGTGGTCCGGTTGGGCAGGTGCTCATCAAGCTCTCATGGCAGAGGGTCTGTTAAGTGAAGGAGCTTCGGGGATGCTTTTGGCACAAGAAGCGTTTGAGGACTTGGATCGGAATGGCAAGATTGATGTCCAGGAAAACCAGGTGCAGCTGAGAGATAAGCCCAAAGGCTGTGGCTGGTACATCCCTCCCAAAAAACCCAAGGCTGGTCGTGGTCGGGGACGAGGTCGGCGCGGTCGTGCGTGAAGCTGGGGATGCGGCAAGCGGCGCTGAGGTCGTAGGATAGTGGGTGCTTTTGGTAGAACCGGGACTCGGTGAATCTCAAGTAGTTGACAGTGATACCCTCTAGTAACTAGTAACCACTCCCACCTTTTAATAGGAAATTCATCAAGGGGGGATTTCTCCATCGAAAGGTTTCGATTGCCATAAAGTAAGAAGTTTGTAGGATCCTGGCAAATCATGCAGTCTGAAAGCACCTTCCTCTGCAGTGCAATTGCACTTCAATTCGTGCACGAGGGCTGCTCATGGCTGCTTCCTGTTCTGGACAATTTTCAGTGACTCAAACGTGCCATCAGATCAGATGCAAAGTCGTTTGCAAATGTTTTTGTCAAGACCGAAGAGCAAACCTCACCACCAGGTTTTCTGGGTGCGAGAGAGAGAAGCAAATTGCAGCCGCAAAAAGGAGTATTCCGGACAGGATGTGAAGTTTGATAAATATGCATTGTGGTCGAACAACTGCATTCTCAGATAGGTGCCAGCACATCCATTTTTCGATATTGCTTGAAGTCAAGATTTCGACAATGCAAATTCATATTTGGGCTGCTTGCAGAAGCCCTGAACCTTTCTAGCAGTGGACGTTTTGTTGGAATTGCAACCATCACAGGCTCCTGGCAACCAGTTGGAACTCAAATTGCTTGGTGTTCTGCAACAGGGTACCTCAAATTCATTGCCGTTGCAAGCTGTTCAGTTTCTCAAATAGTTGTGGCCAAGACGACAGCAGGACAAAAAGATTTGTGTCACCATTTTGTCACTGTGTTCCTTTCCAAATGGTCCAGATATGTCCAGATGATTTGAATGCCGTGCCCAACCACGTAAACTTTCCAAAGCCCGAAACATCCGAAGCAACGAAGCAAAGTCCTGTACAACTTGAAGCCCTTGACAGCACCGAATGGGTGATGAATCTCGGGTTGAAAAGCGACCCAGGGAGGTCGATGGCAGTGATGGGGAAGAGCTGAAGAGGACCAAAACACACGAGGAAGAGTTTGATGAGCTGTTTCTTGGCTCTTTAGGGCTATTGATGGTATTGCAAATTGCTGCATTGCTTGCTGTAGATGGTGATAAGTTGGGATTCCAATTGAGTAAGCATCTTGGACCCCTGACTATTTTGGTCCTACCTTTCAATCCCCACATCTGAGAGAAAGGATTGCTGAAGAGTGGCCGAGAGACCGCCGATGTCACTGATGTGAGTGTATACCCATCATTCTGACCTTTTTGAGCAATTTCATTTCCACACAAACTCCCATCATTTTGCACCCGATCCACCGTTGAAGTGGTGGGTGCCATCGCCCACATCCCTTAGCTTGCCAACGGAAAGGGTTCCCCAAGCAGCTTTTAAGGTTTGAAGATGGATATTTTGATGAACCAGTTGAGACTCCAGAGGAAAGCGCCCGGAAAGAATTCGTCTCCGGCTTGTCTGAGAATGGCTTCCGAGTGACTGAGGAGGAGTTGTTGGACCTTCTGAGTGCCCTGAAGGACAAGGTTCCCAGCTGGGGTGTTGCGGTGGAACGACGTTGCCTGGGTTTGTTCCTGGGGTGCATCGCTAGATCTACCAGGTCCTGTCGCATAGCGTTTGTGGCCCAAGACGGTCTGAAGCTCATTGGCCAAGTGCTAAAGGAAGCAGTGGAGCGCTTGGAAGCCAATGAGAATCGAGAAGAAGCGGGAATGTTGGTATTAGCATGTCTGGCATGTTTGAAAGCCTTGCCACTTGGAAGGGCCTCTTTATGGGAGCACCGACAATCGATCGGTGGCTTGGCTTCCAGAAGTTTGCATTTCTATCCAGGCTAAGCACCTTCAAAGATTTGTTAATGAAGGCCTGAAACTTCCTGCAAATCTCAAGTAGACCAGTGCAGCAAACCACGGAAAGCATTCAATTTTTTAAAGATATTCCGGGTAGCAAACTGCCACCGTTCCCCTGCCAAATTAAGTAGATACAAAAGATATACAAAGATACGGTCAGAAAAGTCCCAATACCAGCTTGATGAATGTTACACAAACACTTTTCTATGAGTTTCTCAAACTAGAGAAGGAATCCAGATCCAAAAGACACCAACAAAACATGACCATACATTACTCAAGCATCAGCGTGAACCCAGTGAGTTTCGGATAAGATTTGCACTTGTTTACTTTATCACATGCGACGCCAGCTGCCCTTTCCTTGTGTAGGCTCCGCCGGTAAGGACAGGAAAAGTGTGCAGGATTGTTTGATATTGTGTATTGTGTTTGCGCGCGCAGATGCAACACACCATTGCAATAGCGACTTATATGAGAGCTCGCATGCCATGCCACCACCGCCAAGACACCCACCACCAATATGGTCTCAACGTTGGCCCAACATATCCCCACATGACTCAACATCTGCCCAACATGGGCCAAGATGAGGCCGACAGAGGCAAGACTGCACCCACATGTTCTGCCAATCACCCCCCGCCATCCCCCCCTAGGGCAAAGCTACATCAACTTCCTGCGCTGTTCCAGCGCTTTCCGTCATCCTTTCTATTTGGACCGTGTGAAAAGCAATGTTTTCTCTTCCAGTTCCTTGCAGAGCAGCATCTCAAGACAAGCCACTGGCAATTCAAAACTTGACCAATTGGACAAACCTTCCAATCATCATTGCTTGAACATGTACATGGACATGACATGAATCATCACCCCAGTGTCACCTGAGTACCCTTTTCCCCTGTGGATAGGTAAAACCTATGAATTGTGCAATGAACAGCCATAAACACCAGCTACTGGCTACATTTTTCGCTGTGAACACAAGGGCTTTCACATGTTTTTGAACAAATTTCATTCAGTTTTGCATCATTTTCCATCCATTTTTGACATATTTTGACATAGTTTTTGACATATTTCCCCCAGGTAAACCCTTCGACGGCTTGCACAAATGGTGCGCGAGTCAAAAGTCGGCGCTGGCCGCCGAGCTTCGAGCGCCCACGCTGGAGCTCTGTGCCCGCTGGCGCCGGCAACCGAAACCCGCCGCACAGGAGCAGAGCCCGGAGGACAAGGCCATGCGCCGACGCGTGGTGGACCTCATTTCACAGGGCTTGTCAGGTGGGGGAGTTTAGTTTGAGTTGCAAGAATTTGTAACTGTCTACACATTTTTGGATAGGAAAAGAATAGAGTAGATCCAACTTGCCTCATTTTCGGGCAGGGCAAACGAAGCTGCAGTTCACCGTGCTACATTTCTTTTAAGAATTTGGGGACTGGGAAATTGGGGAAATGACTAAAGTTGGATTCAAAATGCCCAGGTTTGGGCCACTCAGAGCTGCAAAATGATGTGACGATGTTGGGTTTCTTGCTTTAACCAGGCTGAAGAGATCTTGAAAGGTCACAGGGTTCGAAATGCCTAGGTCTTGGCGCTCCCTCACCCACCTCCCCACAGAAGTCTCCCGTGGGGCCGCTGCCATCGCCTGCGCAACTGCCGAATAATCTGGTGGCCGCTGAGGTGGGCAACCAAAATCCACAGATTGTAACCACCTCAAAAGGGGTACGAGGATTGACCCTCAAGTTATGAAGTGACCAATTCTATTGATGTTTGGGGATATTGATCTATTTAGACCCATTTGATGATTGGAATCCTGGTTGATCCCTCTTTTTTTTTTTTAAAGTCCTCAGCCAAGGTGGAAAACCTGCTTTGGGGCCGCTATGGCCGTGCCAAGGCACACGAATATCGTCACCATGCGCGGATGCTGCGGACCAACCTGTCCAATGCCGGGAATGCGGAGCTGCGTGCGCGAGTTCTCTCTGGGGAGCTCAAACCCGAGGTGCTGAAATTGACCCAAGAAGTTGAATCTGCTTGGGATTTTCATAGTTGATACATGTTGAATCAGGTTGATACTTATTCTGGCTATAAAGTGGGAAGTTGCGATTGTAGGTCAAAAAAATGAAGCAACAAACCATGAAGCACAGACTTTCTGTAAAGGGTTTGATCCCAATACAGTTGTTTCAGTGGTCTCTTGCTGCCTGCGGAAGTGTTGATGAAACAAATCCGAGTGGTTGGTTCCCAATTTCGCAAGCTCGGCGGAGTTGTTCCATTGTGAGTCTCTCAGGAGCTCGTTTCGATGGATTCCAACGCCTTGGCTCCGGAAGACATGCGGAAGCGGCGCCAGGAAGCTCAAGAAAAGGTGCCAAGGGTCCAGGGCAGTGAAATCTTGTTCGGATGCCGCTATGAATTGAAATTCATGTTGCTATGTGTCAGACTTGGAACCCCAGATCCATCCACTTTCCACCGTAGCAAGTTGTTGAAATTATTGATGTTGTAAACCAGACCAATTGTGAAGGGGCTAGACATTGGCCACCTATGGCCACCTATGGCAGCCACTTTGTTCACAGCTGTGCAGGCCATGAAGGAATCGATCGTAGAGGAGTTGGTCCCTCTGCGCGGGGATGGAGTGTCGGACAACGACCACTTCTTTGACCGGGGAGCTGACCAAAACACTGCCCCTGCGGTGTGGGTGAGCCCTTCCAAAGAAAAGAACCGGGAAGAGAAGGAGAAGAAGGACGGGAGGTTTAGGTAGAATCATGGAAACAATTGGTCGCTTCTTGAGCTTGAATTTCTATTTTTGAAGCCAGGAGTTCGGGAACTTTTGGTATTTTTGTTGAATAGAATGTATATATGAAAAGAATTGAAATGATATCAGATCAAATCCAGACAGGAAGGCTTGGAGTCATCACAGGTGCCAGGCTCAGGACCCTCCGAATTCATCCCCTAAGGAGCAGGAGGCGGCCGCACTGCCCATGCTCCCACCCCCCACTCCCTTCACCATGACCGTCCCGGCGCCCGCTCCCGTGGATGTGAGCACTATCGAGATCATGCCGACCCCGGGACCGGATGACGATGACGAAGACGAGTTGAGCGTCCTCCGTTTCTTATCAGCAGCGCCATAAGCCTGCGCCCAGAGACTCTGAGTTAAAAGAGGTCGCCTTGAAAAAAAGGGTGTGTGTGGAGCTACGATCAGCTGCGAAGATTTTTAGTCAACAAGTGAGTTGGCCGTGGGCCTCAATTTCAGGATGAAGGGAATTGGACATGGTTGCATCATTTTGAGGATGGGCTGGCCCTGCATGGAATGCAGCTTTTCGATACTCAAGGCATCTCAAGGCCATTCTCCATCCAAGGAAAGGTGACAGCTTGACATACCTTGAGACCTCAAGAAAGTTTGGACATAGTCGACCAGAAAGTCGGGCAAAACTAATCATCTTCCGCATTTCAGTGTTTTCAGTGTAAGCATGATGCTTCATGTCCATGTTATTGTGTGAAGGTTCGAACTCCCCAAAGCCAAGCAAAATCATTGGGATGCACCCCAACTTTGCTTAGACCTCAGTATGGACGTGAGCCTTCCCTTGCCCTGGCGATGTCTTCCCCACGTTGGGGCGGTTGGGGTCTGCCCAAGCCGTCCGCGCACCAGCCGTTGGGCATACAGCGGGGACTGGCAGCGGCAGGCCACCACCGTGAGCGGCACATTGGCGGCGCTGCTGCAGAGCCTGCGACGTGCCACGTTGGGCGAGCGGCAACGGCGGCTGCGCAGCGCCACCTTGGTGCAGCTGCGGATCATCTCCACCGGGCTGCGGCTGAGGATGTCCGACTCCAGACCTGTCCTGGTGCAGAGAATTGAGGAGAAACGAAAGAGGGGGAAGTTGTAACATCTGACATCATCTGACATGGAGACAATCTTGAGACAATCTTGAAACTTGAAACCAAAGGCAATCTAGTCTTGAGAACGACCCCAGTGTAGGATGCCTTGGCAGAAGATGATCGGAGGGCACAGCAACCGCTGGGGCACGCGATCCTCAACCGACCATTTCCTGAGAAAAAGAGCCGGAAGTTCCAGAGGATGATCGCTGAGAGGCTCAAGGCTGTAGAGCTGAAAAGCCACCCCGGCTAGCTTGGAACATCTTGGAACTGTTCAAAGACAAGGGCCCAAGTTTTCCCACAAGGACCCTTTTTTTTTGGGACCAAGTTGTGGATTTTTGGGATCAATTTATTTTGATCCAGATTTTTTTTTGGATACCGTGTTACATTCAAACGGCATGATTTTGCCAGGCTTTTGTCGTTTGCTGCGTCTCAGCACAGCCGGCCGGAAGGTGTGGATCGCGGTTTAGATTAGGTCCAGTATCGATTTTTGCTGTGACATTTGTCAAACTTATTCTGGGAATGGGTCAAAATTATCACCACCCCAAAATGGACGGAGATATGCAATGCACCAATTGACCAATTTTATCGTTTCAAACAGGACTACCCAAAACAAACTAAACATCTAGCCTTAAAGAATTTGCACACAGCTTCTGAGAAAAAGGGTAGTATATTTTTCCGGATTCCTAACCACAGATTAACCTATTCATCCAATATATATAACATATTCATCCAACATATTCATCCATATTCATCCATATTCATCCATATTCATCCATATTCATCTAACATATTCTAAAATCAGACCTCAGCCTTGACTGCAGGCGCACCTGGCGAGTGAGATCACCAGCGAGTTGTTGGAGCGGCATCATCTTCCAGGTGGAATTTCTATGTGGGTACAGTACTGGGCAGATGGTCCAGTATTATATTGTTAGTATGTATGTTTATATATTTATATATGTATACAATTATTATGAATAAATAAATTAAACACACACACATATGCATTTCAAGTACGATGGGGAGCCTGCTTGCAACTTCTGCTCAAGTAAATGGTGGTTTGGCTTGATAACTTTTGGGGTTGGGTATCTTTGGCTTCCGAGATCTCACGCCTCACTGCCTGTCCAGTCCATTGTTCTGGCTCGTGCATCCCTTGGCTTTTCACTGGCCTTCTTCTTGGATTTTTGGTTGCTCTTTGCATCTTTGGACTTTTCCTTCTGTGGTGGTCTTTGGACTTGGATTTCAGACCATCACAGCGCACTACCCGTCCTGCAAGGGTTCCTGTGAGACCACGCCTGGCGAGGTACTTGGATGAGTGAGTGCCCACTGACAGCCAAAGAAATCCGTGAAATCATTACGAGACTGGAAGCACTTGAGAAGTGGGTTTCAGACAGAGAGCCTTCTAGCTCTGCGAGCCAAGAGAAAGGAAAGGGTTTTAGAAAGGGTGGTGTGGCCGATCGTGGACGGGCTGCTTCACAATCAATCCCTGTCTCTCCCTTTCCTGCCATTCCTCCGATTGCAGCTGGGTGGCGCCTTGTGAAAGAAGCTGGACAGTCCTTTCGCTCAGTGTACGGACCAGTTCCCTATCGTGGCCTTGAAGACGGCCCTGGCCCTTTGCCAGATTGGGTTCGGGATCAGAGTGACTTTGTTAGCCAAGATTCCAGAGCTGCTGAGAAGCGCATTTCCTTGGCCTTCTCTGCTGGATTTTGGGCCAGGATTGCGATCGAGACCAATACAGACAATCTGCATCCCTTGGTGATTTCGGAGCCTGCCACACACATCGTGGTACTCAGGGCTTCTGGTCTTGGAGGGTACGTTAGATTCAGCAGTTGGGGAGATTTTGAGGCTTTCCGTGAGAAGGTTCCTGAGACTGAGCTGGTTGCCCACGGCTTTGCGACAGAGACTGAATTGAGTATCTTTTGCTTCAGCGCACGCATTGCAGTGCCAGCGCTGTTCACCAGATGCTGAAAAAGGATAGAATAAAACCAGCCTCCAAAGGTGACCCGAGCTTGCTTGTTTTGTCACTGCCCTCTACGGTCGCCACTTTGGAGGAGGAGCTGGATGTTTATGCCTTGCCACTTGAATTCAGAAAGGACGGAATGTTGATCGTTGTTCCTTCTCAGGTCATCAGTCCGAGTGTTGTGCAAGAAGGATTGACAGGTGCCGAAGATGCACTTTTTGGTCCTAGTTCATCGTTTCAAGCTGCATTGATGGAGGAGGCAGATGGCCTTTCTCTGGTTGAATTAGGTGTTTCAGCTGAGGTTGTAGTGGTAGACGTTACTGACGACATTTTGGATCTATGCCGTGAGTATGACCCTGTGACAGACTCTACAGCAGCGATTCATGGATTCTCTTTTGATTTTCCTGCTGGTCTTCCAGACTGCAATGTGCTTCTAGGTCAGGTGAAAGAGTGGATTGCCTCCCGTCATGAGGATCGCGTGGGTTTTTACTCAGCTCAAGAAGACCTGGTGGACCCTGCCACTCCGAAACCTGCCCCAGGTGCGCCAGCCAAAAAGGCGCCTGCAAAGCAGCGTGTGACCAACTCAATGATAGCAGAGCAGCTTTCAAGCTTGTCAGCGCAGATGCTACTTCTCTCTCAAAGGCAAGACAAATTGGAGAAATCAAAAAGCGGTTTTGCAGAAGATGTTGGAGGTCGGGCACATGGCCATGCTTTTACGGCTGCCCAGAAGCTGCCTTCGGTTTCAGCAGCCCTGCCGAATCCGAGTGGGATCTCCCAGACAATGGCGGCAAAGGCGATGGGACTTGTAGGCCCGCCGCCGAAGACTGCGAAGAATGTTTTGCCAGCTCCAGAAATGGACCTTGCTGCCATGGACGAGCCGCTGGATATACTCCAGGCCAGACCAGAAGAAGTGGGAGGAATCGCCACTGCGCTTGCACAGCAGAGCACAGCAATCACTGCGTTGGTCGCGCATTTGGCGTCCCAGGCACCAGATGCTCTTGGCGACCTGGCCTCACTAGGCCCTTCGTCGAGTACTACAAAAGGAGTTCAAAGAAGAGAGAAGATTCAGAACGAGTTGGCAGCAGATTCCAGCACGTATTACCTTCAGATGATGCAACAACTCCATCGGAGACTCCACCCATCAAAGCCTATCCCTCAAAAGGAAGAAGATTTGGGAGATCTCTCTGTGCTTACTTACCTGGAAAGAAATGGAGGCTACAGGAATCATCGAGAGATGGGTCTTATCGCCTGGATTCTGGGTCATGCTTTGGATTCAGCAGCGGCTGGAAACATGATGCGGACGAGAGAGATTTTAGCTCTCATGATGGTGGCAGTGGAGCAGGCGGTTGTCGACAGGGGAGATTGGTCTCTAGCCTATATGCTTACCCTCCTGGAGGAGCCTCCGAATCAGCTCTACCAAGATCGGGCTGTCAATTTGGCCCACAGCTCGAAGCCTTTCGGTCCTCTGGTTCCTCCTCAGTGGACTGCAGTGTGCCTGTCGTATCTGAAGGACTTGGAGGTGCTGTCAACGAAGAAGGGCGAAACGCAGAAGAAGCCAGCAAAAGCAGCTGCAAGTACAGACCCAGCAGCACCAGCAGAACCAGAGAAGGAGGCCTCTCCCAAGAGAAAGCCCCGGTTTCCCAAGAAGCCGAAGGCGAAGTCGGCCCCGGATGCATGAATGCGGACCAGGTTCTTTCCTCCTCCCATATCCTTGAGGAGTTCCATGCGGAGCAGGATGAACCTTGTTTTTTGGGTGATGGCCTTGACGGCGAACCAGTTCCCGGTCACCCTCACAATGCAAAAAACCTTAAAAAGAATTTGCGTGGTGCACCAAGGACGAAGTCTCCTTTGGCAAAGCATGTTAGCAATCAGGCTGTGGACACCTTGGATTTCAATAAGTGGTGTGCATTTTTGGCCGTTTCAATTTTGAGAACCAGATCACCTTTTGCTAAGTTCCTTCACTCCACCTTGCATTTGCAACGAGGTATCGAAACCTCGGCATCGCCAGTGTTTCCCTTGCCCATTCCTTTCCCTGGTGTGTTTGCAAGGATGCCCTCAGGTCTCTCTGCCAAAAAGCGATGTAGGATCCATTTCAGACGTGCTTGTCATGTGGTGGTGATGGCATTGAACTTTTGGTGGGCAGGAAGCAGTTTCATTTCATTGGAACTTCTGAGGAGGACCCCTTCGAAGAGCCAGCAGGATTTACTGCATCGGTTGTCAGGTCTTTTACTGGCTGATGGCCCCCCTGAAGCCTTTGAGGTTCTCAAGAGTGGCCGTAGATTTCCTCAATTAGTTGCAAGATTGTGTGACCTCTCAGACATGCTTGCGAAGCTTGGTGTAGGGTCCGGGCCTTATGAGAAGACGTTTTCCGGGCATTCAGTTCCTTTGGATCTTTCGCGCTTTCAAGAGTTGGAGCCCTATAAGTCTTTGGATGCGAGCCGGCTCAAAGTGGTTGGTCATGGTGAACTGGATGCTACGCCATTTCTCTCTCCTGAATTGTGCATGGCCTATAGGTATCCAGACTCACTTTTGCTGAATATCATACCTAAGCCCTATGAGTATCCGGCAGTGATGGACGAGCCTGATGAGGTTGTGTCTCTAGCGCGCCTTTGGGATGCGCGGGGTTTGCTTCATATTCATGATGTTGATATTCAGAAGGAACGTCGTTTTGAGCTGGTGAGGGTTTTCAACTGTTTGAAAAGCGCGGAAGTCGACCGTCAGATTGGTGACCGTCGTGGAAGAAATGCTGTGGAAGCCAGAGTAGTCGGTCCCTCTCGCCATCTTCCTACTGGGCCTGACCTGTTGGATTTTTCCATTGAGCCTGACAGGGAGCGCATTTCGGTTGTCTGCACCGATCGCAGGGATTTTTACCATCAGTTTTCAACGACCTCGAACAGGACAATTTCGAATACTGTTGGGCCAGTCCTATCTCTGCGGGATTTTGTTGACACTACAGCGTATTAAGACTTTTGCGACAGAGCAAAGCGCAATCGGCGCAGCAGAACTGCTGTAGGGGATGGGCTAGGTTTTTCAGACCGCCAGCAGTTCTCAAAGGTTAGTGCGGGTTGTTGCATGGCTGCCTTCAAGAGTATCTTCCAAGGTGATCATGCAGGTGTTGAGATAGCAACTTCAGCGCATGAGGGTATTTTGCAAGAAGCTGGTCTTTTGACTGAATCGAGCAGGCTCCTTTCGAGCAGACCGTTTTGGGGCGACCAGCTTTGTGAAGGCCTGGTGATTGACGACTATTTTGCTATTTCAAAAATGCCTAAAGGAATCTTGGTGGATGATCCTGCACTGTCTTGCCTAAACAGAAGCAAGGAGAAGCACAGGAACTTGAATGTTTTGGGCTCCGATGACAAAGACGTCAAGGGCGCCTGTGAAGCCAAGGTAATTGGAGCATATGTAAATGGTGCTCCTAGAGCTGCAGATAGGGGGCATGTTCTGCTGTCGGCACCTCCTTCTAAGAGGTATGCACTCTCATGGCTGACTTTGCAACTGTGCCAATTGTCCTATACAACTGACTCACTGCATTTGTGCCTGGTTGGTGGGTGGACTTCGGTGGCTATGTTCCGTAGGCCTTTCATGTCCCTTCTGCAGAAGAGCTTCCAGGTGGTCAACATGGAGAGTTTTGAGATTAATAATCCTAAGCTCGTAGGGCTCCCTAGGCCAGTAGTTACTGAGCTTGTACTGATGGCAGCCCTGGCGCCCCTCATGACTTCAGACCTTGCAGCCACCTTTTGTGACCGTATTTATGCTACTGATGCCTCCCTTGCGAAAGGAGCAATTGTGAGTGCTCCTATTTGTCCAGCACTTGCAAAATGCACCTGGCGAATTTGCAGGTCCAAAGGTGGGTATTCGAAGCTTCTTTCCCCTGCTCAGTCTGTTTTGGTTAGATGCCTGGACTTTGAGGAGAATGAGATTCCAAAGGTAGAGCCGGTGTCTAGGCCTTTGGCTTATCGTTTTGACTTCATAGAGATCTATGCAGGTGCGGCCACTGTCACGAAGCATGTCGCAGATATGGGTTTTTCAGTGGGGTGTCCCATTGACATCTCTTTCAGTGAGGAGCTCAACATGAAGTACATACATGTGTTGGAGTGGATTTTGCACTTGATCTCGAATCACTTCTTGAAAGCTTTCATGATTGAACCACCATGCACTACCTTTTCAGTCATGCGTGTGCCTCCCTTGAGATCAAAAGAGCAGCCTTTTGGGTTTTCTCTTGAGGATGATCAAACGACAGATGGGAATGAGCTGGCGTATAGATCGTTTGAGGTCATGCATGGAGGTGTTTACCATGGCGTCACGGGAATTCTTGAAAACCCTTGGACTTCGAAGATTAAGTTCTTGCCTGGCTTCGAAGTTTTAGCGGCCAATAAGCATTGTGAAGTAGTGCGATGCGACTCTTGTGCCTATGGGTCTATACACCTCAAATCTTTCCTGTTTCTTTGCGCCTGGGCAGATGTTGCTCCTATATCCAAGAGATGTGACGGTTCCCATGTTCATGTCCAGGTGCAAGGGCAGTACACCAAAAAGTCAGCTACGTATGTGGATGACCTTGCAGCGGCCTTAGCTGAAGTCTGTGCAATTGGAATTAGGCGCCTTATGGATTTTGAGAGTGAAGCCTGTGTTCAAAATGCTGACGGTTTGGAAAGTCAGCTCATCAACGAGCTGAGCTCTTCTCTGCCTTGGGAGCTTGATTCGGTTTGGACTTTCAGAGTGACGGCTCATATCAACTTGTTGGAGCTGTCTTCTGTTGTACGCTTGGCTTCGAGACTTGTCAGAACAGGCCGTCCCATTCGCATTGTTGTCCTGGTGGATTCGAATGTTGTTAAATGCGCTGCTGCAAAGGGCAGGTCTTCTTCTAGACTTCTTTGTCGCATTTTATGTAGATTTGCGGCAATATGTGTCGTGGCTGGCATTTATATGGTCTTTGGCTATGTTCCCACTAGGCTCAACCCTGCCGATGATCCCACACGGGATGTGCCAGTTCGGGTTCCTACTCCGGGCCTTGGAATTTCCGGCTGGGAGTCGCTTGACATTTTCCGTCTGTCATCCCTCCCTAAGTGTCGTCGTTGGCTGTCGAATTGGATGCGTCTGGTGCTCCTTATTTCAGGTCCTCCATGTCTGCAGTATTCATGTCGTTCTGATTTTCGCTGTCCTCGCTTTCCCTATGGACTTTCTGACGGTGGCTCTTCCATGTCTTTTTCTTCTGTCCAGGCCAGAACTTGCCATCATTCCTCTATGGACTTTGACTCTACCTTGGGCTTTCCTGGTGAGGGTCCTCCTGTGGGTCTCGGTTGCCTTAATTTGTACCCCCAAATAATTTTGGTTTGGATTTGGGCCGCGCTCGCGCCCGTGTGCCATGGCGTACTGGCTCCAAGAAACCCTGGAGATCTGCACAGACAAGCTGTTCGACAGGGCAGACCGCCCTTAGTTGAAGGTCGCCCTGTCTTAGGTGTCACAAATCAAGCTCGACAAGGATATCTGAGTCAGTTCGAACAATGGTTGCAGAATTTAGGTATCTCACTGGATGATTTGCTGGAGAATCATATCTGGAGGATTGATGACTTAAACAAGTTGCTGGTCAGGTATGGTCGAAACCTTTATGCAGTTGGCCGCCCTTACAACCATTATGCGGAAACTATAAACGCGTTGTCGTCTAAAAAACCTGCTGTCAAGCGACAAATGCAAGAGGCCTGGAACTTAGCATTTGCTTGGGTCCGCGATGAACCTCCTGTACATCATGTTGCGATGCCTTGGCAGATTTTATTGGCAGCTCTGACAGTGTGTTTTTCTTGGGGTTGGCTGGATATGGCAGGAATGCTAGCACTAATGTGGGGTGCTTTGCTACGAGTTGGCGAATTTACTCAGGCAATGAGGTCAGACTTGCTTTTGCCTGTTGATACAGGGTTCACAAATCAGTTTGCCTTATTATCACTGCAGGAACCGAAAACTCGTTTTACAACTGCTAGACACCAGACGGCGAAGTTAGACATTCCCGATTTACTGCATGTAGTTCATTTAGCCTTTTCACGGCTAAAGCCAACGCAGAAACTTTGGCCGCGTTCTGGACAGACTCTGAGGAACAGATTCAAAGCAATCCTTCAAGAGTTGGGTATTACGCCACAGGTCCGCCTCAATGGTAAGGGAATGGATTTAGCTTCATTGAGACCCGGAGGTGCGACCTGGTTGCTCCAGACAACTGAAAATGGTGAACTAACACGAAGAAGAGGACGGTGGATAAATCAAAGGGTCATGGATATTTATATCCAGGAAGTTTCCAGCTTCCAGTTCCTGGCAATTTTGACGGAGCCTTCTCGCGCAAAGATTCTGCAACTCTGTTCAGCGTTTCCAGCCATGTTACAATTTGCAGAAAACATGTGGGAAGCCAATGTTCCGTTTTCTGCCTGGTATGTGGTGATGAAGCACAAGTTACAAGGAAATAGTGGGCAAGGTGGGTCTTCCTAGCTCTCACCATGGACCAGTGACATTCTGGTTCGAGCTTTGGAATGTGTATACATGCTACGCAAAGCCCGTGGAAGTGAAAAGAAGGGCGATCTTGAGTCCTTATATATATCATATAATTATAGTTCAGTATATATATATATATACACACCCAATACACCATTCTTTTTCTTTGCCTTGACTGGTGAAACATGGTGAAAAACACTATGAATTCTTGCAGGAAGATTTGAGGATTTCAGCCTAGACATTGTCACTGATCCAGGTGGCCTTCCGACCAATGAGGACGGTCAAGGTGCCACGTCATCAGCGGAAGGTGTGGTGGAAGCCCGCCAAAGTACTGCGGAGAGCTTGGAGGAGGACGATCGTTGATGTTGATGGTCAAACTTTTGAAACACATCAAGTATATTGTGCAGGCAAGACAGTGCAAGACTCATGAGTGACTCAATGTGGAGTGGCAGGATGTTTTCACTCAGAGCCGAACGGAGACTGCGGAGACTGCGGAGACTGCTACTGTTTTAATACCAACAGTCAGGAGCCCAGTGATGTCGTTTCGAGTTCACACAGCGAAAGTTCCAAGTTCCAAGGTCTTGGCCAACGATGATGAGAGACGGTGCATTCAAAAGGAAGAGAGAAGACTACAGCGCAGGCATCCATAGTATCATAATATATCATAATAGAGTTTGATGGTAAACTACATTGAACATCATTGAACTACGGGAAACTGAGCAACACCTAGATTCAAACTGTTCTCCCGTAAGGCCATCGAAGCGATTTCCCGAGAGAAACTCACTACTGTCGTGCCTTTTCCTCTACTTGAAGCATATCACATTGTGCGTGCAAATTTGCAGCATATGATGAGACGGTCAACATCCCCCGAAAAGCAGGCAACGACTAGCGCAAATTCTTGCAGAGGACACTGGAAACTGGTGGGGTCAGATTCTCTTCTTCTTTGCGGAGGTTGCAGCATTGACACGCGTTGACTCTAAGCTGACCAGCTAGAGATTCCTGTTAAGATATGTTGGTAGGACCTTTGATCCGCTTCCAGCAAAAAGACCAGATCTTTGGAACTTCATCTTGTGAGTTGTTGCTTGTCAGGAGCTTTCCTCAGTGGCAAAAGCCTGAAGCACTTGGAGTCTCAGTTTGCATCAAATTCAGGGGCAAGCCCCTGCAGAGATTTGTGGTCGCACATCTGCATCATGCAATGGCGTTTTCAGCTGAATCTCTATTTTTTCCTTGTCTACAGCATCCGCTTGGGTCATTTTTAGATATTTTCAGCAATTCAAGGCTTTCTTTGTATTTTTTTTTACAGTGGTGCGGAGATGTGCCCAATGTTTTGTGTGTGTAGTGTCACGTAGACCACTCCTGACCGTCTGCTTTTTCGCTTGAACGCGAAACTCCGGGCAGCAAAATGTTGCTCATGGTATGAGCTTGGCATTGCATCCTTCAGATTTATCATGCTCCTTCTCCAAGTGACATCAAACACCGATGTTGGCAACAAACAAATTTGCTGCACAGCACAGTTCGCGTCGTGGCACTCTCATGGTTCCACAGCTAATTCGACTCATGAACAACCAACATCGAGTAAATTTTTCAAAATGTCAATATACTAACAGTCACTTCAAGATTTTCATAAATTTTCCATGGGATTTTCCACAGCTTTTGGGGGAATTCTGGCCCCGTCCCCATCCTCCCCGTCGGTCGTCGTTTGGCGAAGCCATGGCGCACTTCGGCGCCGGGATGCCGAAGGCCGGCAGCTCCACGGGGTCCACGTCCTCCATCAAGCTCCGCGGTCGCAGGGACGGCTGGGGAAAAAAACATGTGGTATATCCATTAGATATCTATAGATATCTATATATGAATGGTTAATGTCTTTAGATATCTAAGGGATATATCTATAGTATATGAAATTCCATAGATATAGTACTATATAGTATGTGAATATCTATAGACATCTATAGTATATGAATGGTTACCAATGATTTATGAATGATTATACCATTGGGTAATGATATTGTATATATACATGATATTTGTGGTATTTGCTTTTTAGTTCTACTCTAATATATTGAAATTTTAGAGGTATTTTATGGAGGATTAAGGATGATGTTGTATGGTTAAATTGGGGAATAATAAGAACTCAATGGCGTTTTGGACGATGATAAATGGTTGCTGAGAGTTTATGTGGTGGTTTTTCATATTTTTTGAATATTGACAGGATTATTTTATGATCTTTCTGTAATTTTGATGGGAGGCATGATGCGTCCATGATGGATGTTGAGCTTTCAACTTTCTGCTGAGCTGCTGAATGTTGGTGGATCCTTGTGGGGATATCCCTAAGGCGCATCCAAAGAGAACTCAAGGAGATCTGTGAATCTCCATCGCGACACTGGACTGGGCGAGATGTAGTGGGAGCAACAGAAACAAACAACTCAAAATTATCAAAGTCCCATATAGATGTGTGAGTATATGTAGTCACATGCGACTAAAATCGACTAAATATGACCACAGCAATCACAGCACTTGTTGTCCCTTTCCATTCTCTTTTTGAACCATGCCATACCCAACTGAAACCAAGCTGTGAGGACTGCGGGACCAGCAACTGATGACCTCTTTGAGTGGATCGCATGGACCTCAACAGTTGCAAGCTGGAACGTGTCATACTCCAGATGAGTCAAGGGTTATGTACCTGACAAACCGATACCTCAACAGAAATGGGCCAAGTTTGTGTGGGTTGATTGAACTCCCAATTTGACCCATACCGATCGTTGTGGAACTAAGTTTGCCGTTCGCGGACCACCTGAAACGGATTTTGAAGGAGGCGCGGACCCGGAATCGCAGCGTCCAAGTCGTGTCGCCGGCTTCCCTTTAGTGTCGCTTTTGAGGTATTTACACTGGCAAGATTGTGCTTCCGGTCCTCTACCCAGATACACGCCTTGGTTGAGTCAAAATCAAAAGGGTGTGTCTGAAAATAGGGTATACGGTATACTCCCCAAATGGCCAATCAATAAGGAGAATATGGGAGAATGATGATTAAACATGGGATTTTGGGGTACCCTATTTTCAGAGAAACCAAATCTAGGACTCGAAGATACTTGAAGTACAGCTTCAAGAGGTTCAGATTGACATTTGATGAATTTGATGGGTCTTCCATTTGCCCAGCATTTTGCCCACCTTGCGACATCTTGCGACACCTTGGTGTCTGAGGTGAATTACCCCTTGGCGCCACCATCCATCACGCTACTGACGCCTAGTGGTCGATGGGAGGTGGGAAAGAAGATTTGCCTCAGCAACACCAGCCCCTTGGACCGAAATGGCCATTTTTCAATGAAAAACAGCCAGCATTGGAAATAGGACCCGGACGAAAATGGATTGTTTATGATTGTTTTCCTTTTGATACACCCAAATAACCGTGAGTCCATGAATGGACTCACTCTTGAAATCTTTTGAAGCCATGCCGATTTCGGTTCCAAGCCATGTTTTTTTTCAACGGTCCTTTTCGTTATCTTTGCATCTGAGATTATCATCCTGACCTATGGCAACCAGCGTGGGGAATCCGAACCATGATGGAGGCTGGTTGGCGCCCCGGCTGCCCCTTGTGGTGCCCCAGTCGCGGTGCCCCATGTCGCCAGGCGCTACGCAGTCATTTTCCGGTGGCCGGGGATGGAGCCATTGGTGTCTCCGGCCCAACTTTGCGGCAGCGAGTGCTGCATTCTTCATCCCCAACATGGTTATGTTTAAAGAATGGGTTTACCCCAAAATTGCAAGTTTGAATGGGGAAAGCACTGATACATACTGATACTATATAGGAATTGGGTGTACACCAGTTTCAAGCAAATTCGCATGATAGAAACAAGAGTTGGTTGCGATCTTTCTTGTGGAGTACTTCTCGCTGTTTTGATGATGATTCCAGCAGTTCTCAGATGGGTTGTTTTCAACCATTGCGTCGCTAGGGGCGCTCGACTGGCCCAGTGATATGCGGAAGCGCTTGGCACAGGACCGTTTCAGATTTAGTCTCAGGTGCTAAGGTAGCTGGGTCCACCTTTGTTTGGAAGCTTGGCCACTTAGTAAACTGGTTGTTTCTTGCCATGACAAAGGGAAAATATGGAGACTAGCCAGCTAAACAAGAAATGTGTTCTGGCCGAGTATCTGAAATTTGCCATGTAGTTCAGATGCCGGATTAGTTTTCATCCAAGCAGAATCCCAGGAGTCTTTGGACTTTGTGACACTACCTGGAAGTTCAGGTTCCTGGTCCAAAAAGTCGGGGCAGCCCAGAGCACTTATCGAGCTGCACCAGCTCACTCTGCCGATGGGCAGGTAAATATCGGGCCAGAATGGGGGTGGACTGGGCTTCATCGTGGCCTGTGTTTGTGTTGCAGGAACAGAGAGCTGTTGCCAGAACTCGCCCCCGAAGAATTGAAAGAGGCGCAAGATTTGGTGGCCGTCAATCGTTTCTGCTAGATGCGAGCCCACGTCTTTTTCAGGTGTAGCGACTGCAGATTGCATTGCGTTGCACCTTCGGTGCCTTGTATTTTTGGCTCGAGCTGCATAATTCGGGATGCTCGCAATGCCAGGATGAGTTGTTCCTGGTCGAAAAAGGGACCTATGAATGTGTTGACAGTCTCTGAGAATCAGCTAAGTTGGAGGTGAAAGTTTAAGTCGTCAGAGAAAATTGCTAGTAACTGCTACTGTTTCAATGATCAGATTGTCGTGATGCCCCCAAGTAGTTCACCATGGGCAATTTGGTCAAACTTCACAGCGTCCAGGTTTGACAAGGGCTGCTGCCATGCTTTGGGCCCTGTGTGACTGGCCCGAATTGGAAGTGGGTGGATGATTTTGGAGTATCCAAAGTCGTCATGTTCTCATGATTGGCCCTGACATTGCTTGTTGTCAACAGAGTCATTGGCTTAGCTTTGGGAAGCATTTGCTAAGGTACTTTTGCATTACTTCTAGAAGGCCACAATCTGATCACGTGGCGTGAGTAGCATGCAACATTGTGGTACTTCGTGGATGGGTGATTTCAGTTTTACTGGACCCAGATTGACTTGCCCTGAGCCAGTGTTCCAGTGCGTTCCAGTGCAATTAGAAGCCAACAATCAGATTTAATGAAACTCTGGTTCAGTCCAGTGACCTTGTTTTTCTATAGAAAGTCCCTGTTGCACAAACAAGCCATCATCAATCATTGCTCAAACTCGTGTAACCAAGAAATGACATGGCCTATTACTGGACATGACATGGCGGAGATCAGTCGTTCCGCTCGTCAATTGCAATCTGTATGGTCGAATCGCAAGGTTTACTGGTGATTTACCCCCATTTTAGATGGTTAATTCATGTTAAATATCATGTTAAATCATTTTAAATCATTCTAAATTATGTAGTTAAATCATGTGAATTCCTACATTTTTGCGATCCATCATGTTCTTTTGGCAGGTTCATGCAGCGGAAACCTCAGTGTGAACCTCACCGCCAACCTCACCGCAAACCGCAGCACGAACAACTCGCGTGAGGTTTCGGAGACGGAGGTGCTTAATTTTTTCAGGGAATCGGTGGGCTGCTGTTGTTTCCTTAAACCACTGGTTGGATCTGGTTGGTGGTTTCAAAATCAGAAAACATGTGGTTTCTACATGATGAAGACATGTTTGGTGTTGTTTTAATGTGACCTGGCATGAGGCGTTCTTTTTGTTGGTGGATGGTCCCACTTGGCTTTGGTTGAAGTGACACCAGCTGATCTGGAGGCGTTGGCCGCTGGCTTCTGTGCAGCTTGGCTAACCTTTGGTTGCCCATTGGGTCGCCTAAAATTGCTGACTTAAGGAGATGCAGTGCAAGAAGGCCAATCCTGATCAACCTTGTATTTTCGATCAGAACTGTCCCGACCTTGGCTGGGAGCTTAGAAGCTTAAACTCCCAACTGATTCATTCTAGGCATCGAGTGCAGTGCTGTGTTCCAACTGTCGAAGTGCTTTCTAAGGAAATGTCATCATTTAGTTGATTTAGTTTGAACCATATCCAAGATGCTACGGCCCTTTCCAAGGTTGCAACGCCTTGGGATTCTCGCCGCTTGCCATGGAGAGTAGCACTTTAGAAGTGTTCTGGGGGTCCACACATCTCTGGTTCGCCGGTTCTAACTTCAGCCAATTAAGTACTAAGTAATAGGTCGCAAGTATAAAAAGACCCAAAATGGGCAGGTGGAGATCCGACCCATGGAGATGTGGGAATATGGTTGAATGTCAAGCGCAGCTGTTGGGTGAAGGCAGCTTGGTGCAAGCTAAGGCAATGCCGATACTGCGGATTTGGCGCATATGTGGCTTGTTACAAACATTTTTAGTTGCTGAAAAGACACATTTTTGTTGCATTGTCTCATCATTTTCTACTCAACAAGAACGTGGAGATGGGGGAGAATGGATCAGTATCGGGACAGTCCAAACCATTGGGTAAAACGGTCCATTTTTCGGTTGCTCACTTGGGTATGGATCTTACGTCGTTGCTGCGCAGAGGATGTGAATTTTCCGCTATGGCGCAGAGGTCAGCGTGCCATGCCGCGGTGGACCACGGCCCCCTCCAATTTCTACCTGCAGTCCTCTTGGAACCTTCAAATGCGGCCGCTCGTTTTGCATGATGGAAGTCAGCTTCGGATTTATGTGCCGATTTATTTGCTGTGGCCATGCTTCGGATTTTTGAACGTTGAAATATTGGCATTTTCTCCAACTGTGTCATCCAAGATAGCACCTGCTTCCGAGATGCCGCAGGAGCAGGGTGGGGCGTGGCTTGGCGGGGCGTGGGGTGACCTTGGCCCTGGCAGGACCAGAGATCAATGTGATCTCCCAGAAACCTGGAGATCATTACTTTGCGTGCTTCAGCTGCACTGGGATTTGTATGGATTTGTGATATTTGTATATATATATATGATCTCCATCTTCGAATGTTTGGCCTTTTGACATCTCAAGATCTGCATGCTGTGGTTGGAGCGGGTGCTTGGAATTGTTGGGGTGTTTCGGGACGTTTCTTTTTCGTTGGCCTGTCCCTTTCACTGTGGCGGCAGCGCACTTCCAGTGTTTGGTTTTGGTTTTGCAACTGGCCTGCTTTGTGGACTGTTTGTTGCTTTTTACCTTTTCCACACTTTTGTGCATTCATTGACTGCGCCTTCCAAAGCCCCGGCTCCTGAAGTTTTCGCTTCTGTCATCCCGAAGCGGAGATCTCGTGTGGCGGGATACTTGCATGAGTGATCAGGATCTCAATAGGTTGATCGGTGCCATTGAACGATTGACCTTGTCAACTGATAGCCTGAGACAAGCCTTCCGAGACTCCTTGCCTGGGAGCGATTCTGCCACGGCATCCTCTGTTCCCGCTCTGGAGAGCGTTGCATCAGGGTCCCTAGTCAGAGATAACACACTTGTAATCCAAATCGAGGAATTGAGCCGCCTGCCATTTCCTGCTCAGTTTTCGGATTTTTGCGTGTACAATCGTTTCAGTGGCCCAGAAGAAGGACCTAGCCCAGTGCCAGCTTTTGTTTGGGAACATTGTCGTGAACGACTCTCGACAAAGCCTCCAGGTATTAGCACTAGGGTTGAATCAGCTTTTAGGGCGGGTTTTTGGTCCCGAGTTGCCATTGATACAGAGACCACCTATAGGCCACGTGAACCCCTGCCGTTCACAACCAAAAGGCACTGGGTAGTTCTCAGGAGTTCGTTTGAAGACTCATTTCGTACCATCACTTGGCGTGACGTGGGGAGGATTTGTGACCCTGAAGATCCCAAAGTGATTGTGGAAGCGTTTGAATCCTTTGCTGAGGTTGAAGTGTATTGTCTCGGGGCTGCCAGCCCCATCCCCTCGCTGAGGTCATGCTCAAGAACCAGCTCAAGTGCATAGGCGATGGTGAGGACAGTCACCTTTGTGTCCTTTCCTTACCTCCTGAATTAGTGAATGAGGATATGCCCGTTTCATGCATGGCCATTCCTGTGCTGCTTCGTGAAGAAGGCGTTCTTCTGGCAATCCCTAGTGATTTTGTGTCTGCCCATAACTTGCTTGAAGCGCAATCTGCAGATGATTTTTCCATGCTGGGACCTTCCAAACTCCTCCAAGCGGCCTTGCTTGAAGAGGATGAATCAGGAGTTGAACGGCGGCTTGATGACATTTGTAGATGTCTGTTGCTGGATGTTTCAAATGATTGCCTTCCTTTTTTGCGTGAGTATGATGTAATCCAGGACCCTGGGGAGACCATCCAACCCTTTTCTGTTGACAGACCAGCTGCCATAGTTGATGTCAAAGCTATCATGGACCAGGTGTTTGCTTGGCTTGAAGGTGTAGGAGGTGCCCAGCGTGTCCATTTTTACAGCGCTCGAGAAGAGCCGCCAAAGGCTGCCCCGGCAGCCCTCAAAGCAGGAAAGAAAGCGGCTGCCCCAAAGAAGGTCACCACCGCAGTTTTGTCTCAGCAAGTGGACGCTCTGACGATTCAGATGCAACTGCTAGCCTCCCAACACGAAGAGTTGATGAAGATTCATTTGAAAAGCTCTGCCACTCCTGCCGTCGATCCTGGGGCCGCAGTTGGAACTGCGGCGAAGCTTCCCGCAGTATCCGCTGGGTTGTCTATGACACCAGCTGGTGTTCCCAAGACCGCGAGGCTGATTGGTCCACCTCCCAAGGCAAAACAGCCTGGCAAGGAGCTGGGCACGGGCGCTGGGGGTACAGACACCGGAGAAGCGCTCGAGGATATGGTGAATGTGGGCCCAGATCAGATGACCCATGCCATAATGCAGCAGAGTGCCGCGCTCACCTCATTGGTTGCACATTTGACCACTGGAGATGCGATGGCAGATTTGTCAACTCCCTCAGGACAAGGGCAAAGTCTGAGTACCAAAGGCGTGGCGAGGCGAGAAAAGATGCAGCAGGATCTTTCCTCTGGGAACAGCAATTATTTCCTTCAGATGCAGCAACAACTGTACAAACGGATGTGCCCAACCAGGCAGATACCGAAGACAGAGGAAGAGCTTGTTGGGTCCGGGGTCAGTATGATTGGTTATTTGGAGCGCTTTGGCGGTTTTCGAAACAAGCCAGAGGCGGCTATGCTCATGTGGCTGCTGGCTCACTGTGTGGACGCTGCGGCAAGCGGAGACATGCATCTCGTCAAGGAGTACCTGGCTCTTACGGTCACCAGTGTGGACCAGAGCTGCCTAGATGGGAATTGGTCGATTGCATTTCTCATCAGCCTCTTGGAAGAGCCTCCTGCCCAGGTTTACATGGAAAAGACCAGCAGCGTATCATCGTTAGGCCGACCTTTCTCCCCTCTGATTCCAGCGAGCTGGGCCGCCGTTGCCCTCGCATACCTGAAGGAGATGGAGTTGCTGAACAGCAAGAAGAGCGAAGCCCGGGGCAAGGCATCGTCCCCCAAAGCTGCGGGCTCAGACCAGCAGCCTCCCTCTCCACCTCCGAAGAGACCGAAGTTTCCGAAGAAGCCAAAAGGGGGAGGGGACCCTCCTCCCAAGGCAGACGGAACCTAGATGCACCAAGAAGCAGCCAGCAATGTTTGGGCGAGGGTTTGTTCCCGGAAGGAAGTCACTTTGATAATTTTTCTTCCTGTAAAGATGGTTATCGGGTTGTTGCACAGCAGGACAATGAGCTTGTTGCTAATCAGCTGCCTGATGCCTGCCCTGACCGGCCTGAGTGTTGCGATGCTGCGTTTCCCCCTTGCTCTCAAAGTGAGGAACATATGCATGATAGTTCCTGTAGGGTCGCTGAATGTAACATACCGTCTTCTGATTCCACAGGGACAACCAGTCCCCCCAGGGGAAGTAATTTGCATTTTAATGCCGAGAAGCCTCCTTTTAGTTTTCATGGCCTCATGAATACATCCTTGTCATATCCCAAGTGGTGTGCCAGGCTCGTGGATCTGATCCTGAAGACTAGAACCCCTTTTGCAAGTTATTTGTCGAGAACCATCCAAATGTCCCGGACTTCTCCTAGTGGGGAGCCGGCCCCGACTTTTTTCCCTGTGCCTATTCCAGCCTTTGGAGTGTTTCGCAGGATGACTCGAGGTTGTTCCTCCGGTGCCAAGCATGCCAGGTATGTTTCCCAAGCGGTTCATGTTGCTGTCATGGCTCTTAACTATTGGTATTCTGGCGGCAGATATGGCGAGGTAGAGCAACTTCGAAGGGAACCCTCTCGACACCACCGTGTCTTGTATGACCGGATTCGGTTCCTCATATTGTCGGATGGCCCAGCAGAAATCACAAGCATGCCTGCTGCTGGCAGACGCTGCCCTGAATTAATGGCCAGGTTGAGTGAGTTGAGTAATGCCCTAACAAAGCTTGGGGCTTTTGCCAATCCATATGACCAGACGTTTTCTGGTTTTGAGCTCCCAAAGGATGACACGCCTGACCAGATTCTCCAGCCATTCCATGATCTGGATCCTTCCAAGATTAAATTACATGGTAGGGGGGCTTGGGACGCTACTAGTTTTTTAGATGATGACCTTTGCATGGCCTTCCGTGATCCCAGGGTCTTGATTTGTCCGTCAGCAGAGCCTGAGGTTGTTAGGATCAGAGATACACCGGAAGTCGCCGCGGAGCTTGCCAGAAAATGGGATCAGTTGGATCTTTTGTACGTGCATGATGTGCCTATACATCCCCTTAGCTTGGTGAGGGCTTTTGGTGCCTTCAAAGACAGCTCGACACATAGACAGATTGGTGATCGTAGAGCTCAAAACTCTTTGGAATGCAAGGTTTGTGGTCCAAGCAAGGAGCTTCCTGCGGGAGCTGATTTTTCCGAGCTTTTTGTGGATCCCAGTACTTCTAAAGTGCATATTTCCATTACAGACCGGAAGGATTTTTATCACCAATTTCTTGTGTCAGATGAGAAGGCAAAGTTGAACACCATTGGCCCCCCTGTTCCTAGGCGCTTAGTGGAAGATACCAAAGGCTTTCAAACTTTTTTGACCCGCAGCAGCCGGAGGAAGTTTGACAGGTTGAGACAGGGTGATAGGCTAAAAGGCAAATCACCTTCCTTGCTTGTTGCTCCACCTTCAGACCATGTGTGGCTGTCTTTTCACTCGATTTTACAGGGCGATCATACCGGAGTGGAAATTGCAACCCAGGCTCACATGAACCTCCTGCGGAGCGTTGGGGCTCTGGATGATGCTAGTACTATGAAAGCAAATCGCCCCCTGCAGTCGGGGAGCCTTGCTGAAGGCTTGGTCATCGATGACTATTTCTGTGTGACTGTTGATGACCTCCATGTTCAGCCCTCTCAGTCCAAGGCTTTTGACAGGTACAACGTGGCTCAATCGGCATATGAAGCCCATGGGCTTTTGGGGTCACCACACAAGGACCTCGTCTGTGCGGAAGAAGGTAAAGTAATTGGGGCCTATATTAATGGGAGTTCCCGAGCCCGTAACCTAGGCTTAGTCACCCTGGGAGCCCCCGCACAAAAGAGGATTGCTTTAGCCTATTTGACCCTCCTTTCCTGCCAGATGCGTCACACTTCTGATAGCCTGCATTTGTGTTTGATTGGTGGTTGGGTTTCAGTCATGGGGTTTAGGCGCCCTGTCATGTCTGTCCTGCAAGAGAGCTTTACGGTTGTGTCCATGCCTGAATATAATCGTGAGTTGCCAAAAGTAGTGCCCCTTCCACGGAAAGTTGCGGATGAGCTCACCCTGCTCTGTGCTTTGATGCCCCTTATGGTTACGGAGTTGAATGCTCCTTTTCATGATAGGGTTTATTGCACTGATGCTTCCCTGGATAAAGGTGCAGTTTTGGAGGCTGACATTTCTCCGAAGCTTAGCCAGGTGTTGTGGAAAGCCTCTAGGAGCAAGGGTGCATATTCCCGTCTTCTATCGCCGGTAGAGGTGGTGCTTAAAAGATTGGGTGCGCTTGAGGAAAGCACTCCCCTCCGTGCCAGTTCACAACCGGAGAAGCCCATTGCCTTCTCCTTTGAATTCCTTGAGGTCTTTGCCGGAGCTGCCAAGATATCTAAAGCGATTGAAGCCCGGGGGATAACTCCAGGTCCTCCTCTGGATATCGATGTCAGTCCTGAGTTTGATCTGAAACTGGTCCGGGTAATCGAATGGCTCACATTCTTGGTGGCTGAACAGCGTTTGCTGGGATTTTTCCTAGGACCACCTTGCACCACTTTTTCAATCATGCGTAGGCCAAGATTGAGGGACAGAGAGAAGCCTTTTGGTTTTGAGCCTCAGGAAGAAGGAACCCAGACAGGAAACGTACTTGCCGCCCGTTCGGCGCAACTAATGTACGTAGGTGCCCAGAACTCTTCCTCCGGAATTTTGGAGACACCATACAGTTCCTATATGAAGCACTTGCCTCAGTGGGGTATCATTCGCCGGCTCCCTGAAACCAGCGAGACCAGATGTGATTCATGTAGGTTTGGTAGCCCCCATTTGAAGAGTTTTAGATTTCTTGGCCTGAGGGTTGACCTTACTAGGGTTTCTCTGAGATGTCAATGTCGTGCACGTCACCTTCTTGTGGAAGGGAAATATACTAAGGATTCAGCCACCTACACTGACCAACTTGCATGTGCACTTGCCAACGTGTTGGCGGATGCAATTTGGGCCTCAAAGGAAGCCATCCGTAGCGTGAGTGAGCCTTCAGTCAAAGGGCTTGAGTGCCAGCTCACAAATGAGATCATGAAGACCTCAAACTGGAAGCCTGTTAACGTTTGGTCGTTTAGGAAACGTAGCCATATTAACCTTTTGGAAGAAGCCTCCCTTCTGCGACTTTGTCAGAAGCTTGCTAGGCACCATTCAGCACTGAGGGTGGTTGCGATGCTTGATTCCAATGTTTGTAGGTGTGCCACAGCCAAGGGGCGTTCTTCTTCACGGGGGCTTAGCCAAGTCCTCCGAAAGGTAAGTGCTATTTGTTTTGCAGCTGGCTTATACTTATGTGTTCCTTTCTGCCCAACCCGTCTCAATGTTGCGGATGATCCAACTCGGGACCAGATCGTCCGGGCTGCCTTACCTGGTTTGGACTTGGACGCTTGGGACAATGAGGCATTGTTTAAACTTGCTGCTTTACCTAAGATGAAACGATGGGCCTCTAATTGGACTGTGTTGGTCTTAAAGGTTTTGGGGAGTAGATGCCTTTTCCTGTCTGACCGTAGTGTATTCAGAAGAGGTGCTCTCTGCAACCGAGCTGCCCAGGCCATGCCTTTCATCAAAATGGAATTTGACGCAACGCTTGGCTTCCCTGGTGAAGGTCCAATGGATTTTCCTCCAATATCTTGGCTTTCCTCGTTTTTCAAATTTGCAGGTTTTTCCTCCAAACCCTGTCGCTGGACTTCTCATACAGGGTCGCCTTGTCTTTCTTTGCGCCCCCGTCTGTTTTGTCCTGCTTCTTGCGGCTGTCTGCGGGTGCTGCTGCTCTCCCTTTTTTGGGTGCATTTCTTCGCGGTACCAGCCATGGCGATGCCTATTCATGCTGGCACGGCGGGTGAACTGAGACGAGCACAGATTCGTGGCTCACGAGGGCCTCTGGCTTTGGGTCGCCCTGTGACTCAGGCGACCACTGCAGCTAGGGAAAGGTACTGGGATTTTTTCTTAAGCTGGTTGGCGGAGATTGGCATCGAATGTGACCGATTACTTGAATTTCCCCAACAGTCGGTGGAAGAGATAAACCTTGTTCTCACCAGGTTTGGCCGAGAGCTCTATTCTTCAGGTAAAAGCTACAACCAATATGCTGAGACGATTAATGCCCTAAGTTCGAGGCGGCCGAGCATCAGACGTATGTTGCAACAAGCCTGGGACCTTGCATACGCTTGGGCCCGAAATGAGCCTAGCCACCATCATGTGGCCATGCCCATCCCTATCATAATCTCCATGGTTACTGTTGCGTTGATGTGGGGCTGGACTAGGGTTGCAGGTTGCTTAGCACTTGGCTACAATGCTTTACTCAGACCTGGAGAAATTACTGGAGCCCTACGGCGAGATCTCCTACTTCCTTCTGATTTGGGAGGATCAATTCACTATGCTCTTCTCAGTATCCGTGAGCCCAAGAGCCGTTTTTCTTATGCCAGGCATCAGACAGCAAAAGCAGATAGTGAGGATTTCCTTCAAGTTTTAGAGCTTGCGTTTGGGTCGCTTGCTGACGGTGAGAGACTTTGGCCTTTCAGTCCTCAAACTCTCCGAAATAGATTTAGATCCCTGTTAAATGCTTTACAACTTCCTGTCGATAGCGAACATGGAATGCGTTGTTTGGATTTGGGCTCCCTTAGGAGCGGTGGCGCTACATTCATCATTACAATGACTGAGAACTCGGAGCTCTGCAGACGCAGGGGGCGCTGGGCATCTTTTAAGATGATGGATATATATATTCAGGAGACGATGGCGTTACAATATATGAGACTCATACCTGTCCAAACACGTGACCGCATTTTACAAGTGGCTTCCTCCTTTTCGGAAGTACTACTGAAGGCCCAAGCCTTATCTAAGGCGAGAATCCCTTTGTCAAGCTGGTTTCTCCTCTTTAGCCGGTGAAAGATGATCGATGGTCAAAAGTGGGTAAGATGGGCATTGAGTTTTGTGTTGGAGCAATGCATGTCAGGCATTTGATTTCTCTGCTGCTTCTACAGGAACACAGGTTCAACAGCAGCGACTCCAATTGCCTCATGCAACTGCACCAACCGTGTGGATGAACCTTAAACTTTGGATGGAAAAAGAGGCCGTGCTTGAGTTGATGATCTCCATCTTCGAATGTTTGGCCTTTTGACATCTCAAGATCTGCCCTCCTCTTCAGCCTTCAGCCCACTCCCATCACCGGCATTGAGTTTTGTGTTGGAGCAATGCATGTCAGGCATTTGATTTCTCTGCTGCTTCTACAGGAACACAGGTTCAACAGCAGCGACTCCAATTGCCTCATGCAACTGCACCAACCGTGTGGATGAACCTTAAACTTTGGATGGAAAAAGAGGCCGTGCTTGAGTTGATATATATATATATATATATATTTGTGAGGTTGACACAAGTTGACATGACAACCCAGTAAGTTGTAGGTGTAGGTCCAGGCTCAAGACTTTGAGTGATATGTGTGATTTTTGCGTAGTTTCAGCCGGTTGATTCCTGCGTTCCGTCGTGGAAGTGCTTGAACACTTGGCCGAATTGGCCCAGAAGAAACACATATTCACTAACGACTGTGTGTCTGAGGAATCACATCTCTGCAAATGGCTTTCAAGAGCAGCTTCAATGCTCAAAACTGAATGGCATTGGCGGAGCGAACACCTACAGCTGTGTCACAGCCATGCGACGAGAGACCCGCCTGAGGCGCCAATTGGATGGCCCTTTAATGCCCTTTACAAAAAGAGAAGGGTGTGGTCGGTGTGGTTCACCATGAATCCATCTGCATATCAACTCTTTGCGTGTCTTCAGTATCAGTGGTGTCCAGTATCAATGAATGGCATGAGAATGACTTGAAGACGACCCAGAATCCTTTGACATTATTGGACACTTTCCCTGATTCGATTTGTTTGGGTTGATGCTGCGGCACTGGGCAGGACAGCTCATTTCCTTCAACAACTGACTTTCAGCGCTGATTGCAAGTTTTTCGTGAAGAAAGTGTGGCGTATGTCCCCACAACCGGTGGCGACCTGCACTGTACGATGTCCCATTGTTTAAAGGTAAAGCGAAATCTGCTGCCTTTTTTTGTTGTACCCTGCTCATCCTGCTCGAGCAGGAATATTTTCAACCTGTCCTCCCACTCCGGGAGTTTGGGCCTTGCATGTTTTATGGAGCTGCGGCTTCCTTTGGTCTCTACAGAGTCCATTAATCTGCTGGCCGAACCCTTGACCCGGGCACAGCGCAGCACCGATCACGTGAACTCGACTAGCACAAGGGCACGCCTCGGTGCTTGCGCATAGCCCTGCTTTGCATTTTGAGGGTTAAGGGATAGCCATTTTTGGTCCACAGCTGGTGGAAAGCTAATTTTCAGTTGCCAATTTGGTGGACCCTAATTCATGAAATGCTTGACGTCAAATCAAGGCTGACAGCACACTCCTAAGGAACCCTGAAGCACTTCTGACTGTGCCAGGTTTCTTTTGGCAAGAGCTCCAAGAGGGCTTATAGAGTCACTCCCTCATGAGACTGAAACAGGTACATCGGCAGGTAGAATCGAATGAGAAAGTCTAGTCCCAAACCAAAATGTTTTGACTGGTTTCAGGTTATTGGGAGTAGCGTGGCATCGGAGCAGACGAGTGGCTCCTGCAAGCTGCGAATTGTATAGAGGTAAGAATAAATCTAGGCTAGAAAATGCCTTGGGCAAAGCAACCAGGTGCATTGGAGTCAGTGAAACACATCCATTTTCTCGCTGTCCGTCAGAGTGAAAGTTGATGTAGTTGATGTGGTCGATGTGGGAGCTTCCGAGAATGGGGCCTACGGCCGCAAAAACTGCCATTTCAATGGGAGAAATCGATGATAACTGATGATACGCCATGGGATACACCATCCCCTGGCACAGGAGCTGCCAGAGGCTCCGCGACTTACCACGGTGCCGTGGCTGAGAACTGCAGGGTTTCATGATGAATCGAAGATGTGAACATAGAGACTGAAATGATATTGCCTCCGGTAGATTTGAGATGTGAGAATAGAATAGAAGAGAATATAAAATAATATAGTCTATAGTATAATAATTATATATATATAATAGAATGGAATACATGAAAGAGTCATGGTCTTCAAATCTTGGACAGAGCAAAATCTGGATGTTTGTGAGTTTGAAGCTTTGATGGTGCCGACCAATCACTCATTGCCACGTCAGAATAGGTGCGCTTTCAGAGCCACCGAGGCCGAATCTGGGGAGCTTCCTCCAGCCGATGAGAAGAAGGAATCACAGGTAGGTGATCACCTACCATCACAGCTGGTGTGTCTTTCATGGATGGTTCCGCAAAGTCAGTGGAGTCATTGGCATTGCGTATTGCAGTCCAATTCCTTTTTCGTCCCAACACACCTGACAGGTTTCAGAGACTCCACAGGTGCAAGCAGGCCCCCATAAGATTTTGCCACGTCAAGCATATGACTGTTGTGACTGTTTGGGATTTGAGGAAAACGAGGCTCCCTCTTTGAAGTTTGAAGTCGAAACATGGAATGTGTTCCAGACATGGGCACTGCGGCACTGCAGCCTTGTTATCATTACATATTATTATATATTTCATAATTATTTCATTCTATATTTGCATCTTATATCATCTTATATATTATCATTATATTATCCATTGTATTTCCACAGAGATGGGCCTGGCGAGGCCCTGCTCCTGGGCCCACCCCTGCGCCTGCGAACAGTGGCACCTCAGGACGTTTGTGGCATACAGAAGAGAGGTGAAACATGGTGAAACCTTTTTTTTTCTGATTCGAAACTTCTAAAACGATATTTTTTCATGATATTTCATGCATATTATGATCAACTGTGTAGCCTTTTTCACAATTTATCCATTATTTTTGATGGAAGCGCTTGCATGTTTCAGAGTTTGGGTATTTCTGAACTTTTGAGTACAAGTAGCACTGGTGTGGTTTTTCGAGTTGGGATTCGCTAATTCTTGCAGACACTTCTTTTTGGCTGGCTGCACATCATCTTTACGGTCGATACGCATCTTGAGGATCTGAAGATCCTGGATGCGACAGATACTCCATGATGCTCTTTCAGTTTGTGGGGTCTTGAATGGTCTAGAATTTTTGTTGGTTGTGATGGTTTCAGAACCTTTTTTTCATTTGATTTGTTTCAATCCGATGGTCTCAATCACATTCGGAATCGTTTGTGAATTATCCATTTGTATCCATTAAATCCGTCTCGTAGGTCAACAACCCTCCCAGCAGCAGTCAAATCCTATGATACGTAGTAGATCGTAGTAGTAAATTTCACTTTTTGCTACATCGGATTGGAGATTAGTATATGTTTGTTGGTTCAATCAACCCTATATTGGTTCACCCAACGATGACATCTGTCTCAGGAGCTCCCAAGGCAGCACCCCGTCGGCGCAGAGAAGGCTGGGTTTCTTGGATTTTTTGTGATTTAATATCACCCAGACTGTGACATATGACACATGACATATAATATGGCATATTATGACATATGATATGGCATATGACATATGAATACATATGGAAGATGATATCACATATTATATATATGATATAATATATATATATAATATCATATCATATCAGACATGGTTTCTGCTGTTTCAACAAGATAGAGCACTTTTCATTAAACACATCGGTTTTTTTAGGCGAGCGCCAACGCCGAAGTCAGCAGAACCTCTTGGTCCAACTCTTCAAGCCGCCATCGACTGGGCACCACGGCTTGATCACCGACAGAAACAGGTCCATGTTGGAACATGGGGGAATACTCCTGGGAAAACATGGGAAAAGTTTCTGGGGATATCATCGGGAAATGGACAGAAGGTACGTAACCAACAAGATATGACTAGGGTTTGCCATGGTTTGCCCGAAAATGGTGATTTACCCACCAGTTTCTGGCAATTTTAGTGAGGAAAGTGATGAGAAAGCAGCAAAAGGGTACCATATTTCAGACAAAGCCATAGGGCCCCAGGTTCACCGATGTACACTGAAATAGACTAATTGACTGTTGGCTCCACTGAGGCGTGGTCGCCTGTTGATGTCGTTGAATTTGCTCATCGTATGCGTGCTGGTCTTGCTGACACCGTTTTCACATTACATGACGCTTTAAACAGTAGAAAGGCCAGCAAAAAGGTCGAGGAATGTTGAAAGATGAAAGAATTGGGGTGTCTGCTTTCAAACTCTTTAAGCAATGTATTTACTGTAAACTGTGGATGAGGCCCCAACAGACATGCGAGTCTAACCAATAGACAAACAGGAACAGCCTCAATGAGACAGCAACCCCGGATTGACCTGAGCCAGGTCTCATTCTGTGTGGTGTTGATGGATGTCATAAGGAGATCCATGTTGCATGGCGCGGAGCATCATACAGTGCTCGATGATCTTCAGTTCGAATCAGCCTCTGATGGTGGTGGATGTTTGGGGCGAAGTCGAATGCTTGATACCTCTTGGAAAGCGGGGGAGTGGAAATCCCTGCGTCAGGAATCCTCCAACGCTCTTGAACCCACCGCCGGATCCAAAGGTGCCGTCTGTTTCACAGGGATGTCGCTGGACCGGTCATTTGATGGGCCAGTTGGTACCCCCAATTTGGATATACCATTTGTACCATCAATTTACCATGTCTGCCAATGGTGATACTGAAGCGAGCAGTTGAAGTGTACACTATTTTAACAAATCGGTGCCACCAAGATCCAGCAGTTGCATTAGGCGAAGGAGCAGAAACCCTAGCAGCGCGCACCTTAGTCTGGAACGACATGTGTAGACGATTCACTGCAGAATGCTTTGACTTCCTTGTGGCCGAAAGGGCCAAGTCTACATTCAAAAGAACATGTGACTATGGGCTAAGAACCTAGAAATCAGGTTCCTAAATTTTGGGGCATGAGCATTCATCTATCAACTATGTTGATGCCAGTGTACATGGCTTTTGATATAGATTCCATAGCCACGAAAGTCTCTCTGTCTGAGGTGCAGACGTGCTGCGAGCTTCGCTGGTGCCGTCAGCAAAGACTTTGGCGCAAAAGACCTGGCGCCGGCGCCAAAATGGGACAGCAGCTGTACTTGGGTCATGTTTCGGCTCAGCATATTTCAGCATCAGTTTGTTGGGTCCATCTCTGCTTCATTGATGCTTTGGCTCAGACAGAAAACTAGAAAACTGGTGAGCTAGAAGTAAAAGGATCCTGGAATTTAAGAGAACCCGTGCAGTACTGGTGTCACCAAGAGAGAAGTAACATCAAGCACAACACACAACACACATTCTGTTGGCTGTCAGCTCAAAGGCCCCAGTTGAATCCTGCATCAAGATCAAATGATCACATTCCTGGTTGCCACTGGAACACACAATGCCATGATGATCGTAATGCTTTTGTCTTGAGCACGTTGCTCATCTCCTGATTTCCCCCTGCGCTTTTAATGTCACAAAGAGATGCCTATGCTGCTTGGCAGAACTTGGCAGAACTTGGCATCGTTTTGCGCCGGTACCGGATGTGCGAGGCTATCCTGGGCATCTCACGTGCATCTGGACCAGATGAGATCAAGAAGGCATATCGAGCAAAGGCCCTGAAGTGGCTCGGTGTTGTGCTTTTATTGGTGCACTGCTGGAAGGTTGCAGTTCTTCCTGGGATATGGCCATCTAAAAGCGAACCATCTTCCTTCTGATTTGGTTGACGTCGACTGGTTCACTTCCATCGCCAAGAAAACTGTGCAACGCCAAGGTATCATCCGGACAAGGTTGGCCGGAGCAAGCGCAACACGCTTTTGAACACCGCAGTTTTTGGTGAGGAAGTGGCAACATGTGGCAACCATGCTCATATGTGTCTATCCAGTCTATCTGAAAATAGGGCACCCAAAAAATCTCAGTAGTTTATAGTTAAAGATAGTTAAAATATGTTAAAATCCTCATTTTCCACCCAAAATTGGACCCGACTTCAGTCCCTTTTTATGCTTCATTTTGGCCATCTGGCTCAGGTGCCGGATGAAGATCGTGGTGAAGCCACAGCGCGATTTCAGGAGCAATTGGGCCCCGGCCCTGGAAGCATCCACGAATAGGGATCTACTATATGATTTATACTTCTACTGATTTATACAGATTATATAACACATCAACTTTGAACTTCGTTGAGGTGGAAATTGTTGGCTCGCTTGTGAGGAGATCCAGTCAGCTTTTGAACAGATTTGCAAAGGAGATCGAAGGCACACGGTCTGCAGCTTGGAAGATCTAGAAGACCTCAGTGCTTGCCGTGGGTCATATGGATGAATTCTTGGCAGGTTGAATTGGGTGGCAGCCTAAGTGCTTGGCAGCTCTGGGGGAGGGCTATGCCACGGTTGCGCGAGTAACATGCTTGCAGATGAGGGAGATGAGAACATGTGAAGTGCTTCTAAAGCTCTGCCTGTCGGGATTGAGGCAAACAAAAATATCGAACTGGTAAATTCATGTAAATTCCACCTATTTAACAAGTCAAAACCAATGAGTTTAATTGAGTTGATGGGTCCTCACAGGTAGTGTTTTGTTCGATTCGCCCCAGGACCTGGGTCCCATTTCCAAAAGCGAGCTGGTCCGTGCCTGTGAAGGCGCCATTCATCACGGTGCCATCACGGTGCAACCGTGGCAAGCTGTGGCAAGCTGTGGGGATCGGTCCCTGGCAGGTGGTGATTTCAGTACCGTGAAGATTTTGTTGGAGGAATCCGTTGATCTCAATGGCACCGATTCGACTGGCCGTACTCCTCTGATGTTTGCATCTGGATCGGGGCATCTCGAGGCCGATGTTGGAGTGAAGGACACAACGCTAGGCCATGGAACATCTACCATTCATTGACGTGGTTTTGCCATTTATATCCATTTATGTAAATGGTAACCGGATGGGAATTCCCATCATTTCCCATTGCCATGTTTGATTGAGGGTAAGTAGATTTTTTCACGAACCAGATGTGTGGAAAGGATTGGAAAGGCACTTCTGTGATCTTCTGTGGGGATCAGGTCATCAGACTTCTCTTGGAACATCAAGCGGATGTGATGATGCGAAACTGTGCGGGGCACACGTGCGTGACCTGTCGGAAGTGGTTTTTTGTGTTCTTTTCCGGCTCTCAACTGTCTCAATCCCCATGTGTTGAATACCCTCTGGTTATGTCAAAATAGCTATTGAAAATGGCCATAGAAATAGTGAGTTTTCCCATTAAAAGTGGTGATTTTCCATAGCTATGTTAGTTTACCAGAGGGTAAACCTTGAGGCTTGAAGTTGTTCAGGATCCGCGTTTTTCTCTTCCTCGGGAGGTGATCATTCTGAAATCCACAGGGCGATCTTTTTTTGGGGGGCTGGGGATGGTGGCAGGTGACAAGGCAATCCTGACCATTTCCTGCAACTTCTCAGGTGATGTTTGCAGTTGGTGGTGCGCTCAAGGCACCTTTGCAGAGGTTGCATGAGCTGAACGAAACTTGCCCAAGTGGTGAGGAAGGTTGAGCAGCTTGATCCACCTAGAAACCTCAAGGAATGCTAATCTTGAAACAGTAGACTTCTGCAGGCCAGCAACCTGCAGAATGCCCAGACTGACCGTACTGAGCAGTATCTTCAAGCAGTTCGAGTGCTCCTGGACAAAGGCATGGCTTTGTCATCCGGAGCTTAGTTGATAGTATTTCTCGATTCGCTTCTAGACATGTCAAGGGGTTCCATGGCCCAACTGATCTGATTCTTCTTTTTGGCTCGCAAATGAAGGACCAACAGAGTTAGTGTTCGCAGAGGCCATTTGCCATGGCACAGAAGCTGCATCTGTCAGGTGCTCCAGTGAATGGCGTCACAGCCTATGGCCTGTCCGCTTTGATGCTTGCAAGTACCTCAGGCACCAAATCCGGTGACGATGGTGACTGTGTGCCCTTCATCTCCTGGAGAGGTTTTGTTATGATATGTTATAATTTATGTTATAATTTATGTTATTTAATTTATGTTATATATATATACACATACACATACATATCATTATGTAAATACATATCTATATTTGGAAAGATGATCTTTATACAGTATCATACAATATAGACAATTCACTGACTCATGTTATCATGCTGTAAGTTGAAGTTTGGCAGAGAGCTGCACTTTCTTTCGGAGGACGAGTGGAGATGGTGGAACTGTTATTGCAGCGTGAGGCTGACGTAGCGTTGGCTTCAGAACCTTGGATGCAAATGAGACGTGTGACACGTGGCTGTCAAACCCGCACCATTTCCCAAAGGGTTTTTTATTAGGCCACCAAAAATGCAACGGGCTCTACCAGAATTTTGACTTCTTTCTGGAAATTTAGGGGAGTTCTGCTAGAAACAGAGTCTGTGATGGTTTTATTTTGCGGTGATCCAGGACATCGGTTTGACGGCGCTGGTGATGGCTTCGGACAAAGGCGATAAGCCGCCTCCGCCAGAATGGGAATTCGCTGACACCATGCATGAAACCTTAATGAGAAGTCTTGCAGCAACAGAGAAGCAATACATGCTTTGAAAATCATTGGACCAAACTGGTTCCACATGAACTTATGGTCCCAAAAAGCTCCGCTTTCTTTTCCTTGACACACTCATATTCTCTTGCCGAAGATATTGAACATTTCAGCATATTTCAGCTTAGTCTTGTCAAGCGCGCATCGTTTTCAGAACTTGTGCCAGGCCACGTCACGACAGTGAGGCTCTTGTTGGAGAAGATGGCTGATGCGAACTCGAGACATGGGAGTCCTGGCATGGGGGTTCGGATGTGATCAAGGCTGTGCCAGCTGTGTCGCTGCATCTAAGTTGTTCAGGAATGGCAAAACTCCACTGATGTCTGCCGCAGCACAAGCGTGTCTTGGCCCGAATTCTGAAAGCGTCATTTGGTTGTCATGGGTACCGAGGTCCTTCCAATTTGAGAACACAACAGCTTGACGTCATTTTACAGTTCTGTCCTGCTTCTAAGCATTTGCCGCAAACCTGATAACCTTTCTGCCATGGGCTCTTCTTCTGTGGCACATGTGGTAAAATGCAGTGTATTTTGGTGCATATTTGATATATAGTAGTGTATACGTACATATATATATATATATATATACATAAAATTACTGTATATAGTCTATGGCAGGATTGCAGCATTCTGCAAGCTGATCACTCTCAGTTACACAGAAGTTGTCAGCGAGCTCTTGAAGCACTCCGCTGATGTGAATGCGCAAGCAGAGAATGGCTACACCGCACTTCTGCAGCGTGGCAATGAGTTGGGATTGCCGACTGCACCCTCTGGTTAACTAACATAGCTATGGAAAATCCCCACTTTATAGACAAATCAACAAGAAATGGCAATTTTCAATAGCTATGTTAAATTACCAGAGGGTAGATTGCCTATGTTTCAACGGCTTTGTTTTGGCTTTATCTCTGGTAAAGCTTTGGTTTATCACCTCCGTGGTCGCTGGTTGGCACCTAGGTATGCAGTTGAGACCCAGCTGAAGGAGACGTCCTCCGCATACAATCAACACCTGGCCTAAATGAATGCATCTCCAAAGAAAGTTCATGTCATGGGATAGAATTCAAAGATATTCAAAGTATATCACAGTTGCAACAGCCTTTAAAAGTCATAGTTTGACAATTGTTTCATCTTGGATTGACATTTTGAGACATGCATCAGGACGGTCTGGTGTGTCCAATTGAGGGTTCCTTGGAGAAGCCTGGATTGGAGGATACCCTCCGGATCCTGCTGGATGCAGTGCCTTTGACATCAACATTTTGCCACAGATTGGATCCGTGGCAGATTTCAGCGCCAAGGCAGCCGATGTGAATCTGATGGGTCCAAGGCCGCGGCGATTCGTTCCGCAGAGGAATCATTTGGCAGTCTTCAAGATGGGTTCCTCTGAAAATAGGATCCCCATGGATCCCCCAAATCCAGTTGTTCGTCAATGTAAAAATCATAATTTTCCTGGATAAAATGGGAATTCATTTCCTGGTTCAAATTGCAATTGGTGGGTCCATCATGTCCATCCCCCATTGCTGGGCAAACCCATGCGAGGCAGAGGCAGACGGCCCTGGATGTGCTGGAAGCATCTGGGAACCTTGAGATGCTGCAGCGACTGAGGGTGACTGGCCGGCAGTGTCCGGAATGGAAGACTTCTGCGACATTGGTTGTCATGAAATCCATTCAAGCACTCAGTTCACCCCTGGTGGTATAATTATACTGATTTTAAGATGTAAAGGGGATAAATGATGATATATGAGTCATGAATTGAACCTAGATGGCAACCCACGCCGTAAAGTAGATGCATTTGCTGGTCGAAAAGCCACCCCTTCGCCAGCTTTGCGCCAATTTTTGGATGGAGACCCACCCCGTTCCAACCTCATTGTGGGCAGATTCTCAGGAACGACAGAGCGATCGTCAATCTAGCAGCAAGAGCTCCAGAGGCTGAGCAAGTTGAGACAGCATGGCGAGTTTTCTTGATATTCAAATGGATGTTCCTTTGCTGGTTACACAATTCCATCAATTTCCAATTCCGTTAGCGCAGTTGCAAGCCTAGTGAATGGATCATAGCTCCACTTCGTACTTGTGATTTGGCTCGCCAGGCGAAGATCAGCGACAGCTGGAGACACAGAAGAATAGCCGTGAGATTCAATCAAGAGTCCAAACCAAGATAACCACAATATACTATATAACATGGTATCAGAATGGTATCATGGTTTGCTTTGTGTTTTGGAAGGTCTTCTCAGCTTTGCTGCTTCCTTGTTCTTTCTCAGCCACTGGTGCAGATGCCATCTTCTTCCTCGCCGAGGTGGTTTGGGTTGAGATGCCTTCGCCCAGCAGCTTGGGTATTGCACGGTGTATGGTATTGGGTGGAAGGCAACAAGACTTGGATGATCAAAGAGCCAGACCACAGGGACACTCAGACCGGGTTTGTACCAACCTCGGACAAACGGATTGACATGATTGACGACCCAACCAGGTTGCATTCTGCTGGTCCTGGTGCTGCTAGTGGGGCTTGCACCGGATGTTCAAAAAGATCCGTATGCAGAGAGAAGCAGTTGCTGTTTAGCCTTGTGCCCAACAGAATACAGCGTGTGGGGTAAGATCTGTAAGTGTCTTGTACTTGGAACGTAAGTTCACATTTTTTGGCCTTGTAAACCTGGCTTCAAAGGGTTGAAACCATTGCCTGACTTGGACCTTGTTGGCGCGCTGTGTCTCCAAGACTCAAAGACCACGGAAAGAGAGGAGGGAAACTATGACACATGATGCACATGTTTGAAACTTCTTCCATTTACTGTTTTTATGTGCGAAAGGATGGGCCGAGAGCGGGCTGAAGTCAAACTCTTGGGATGTGCATTGCAGATGCTCCTTGGTGTGAAGCTCCATCATGTGACTTCTTTCCGCCAACTTGGTACCGGTCTTGGCTCACAGCCTTGGGTGGTAGCACCCGAGAGATGAGCCCTGTTTGAATAGGACAACAATAAAACTGATTATTGTCCTCAAGAGATCATAGCACGGGCCCTTGTAGTGGGCCCTTAAATTCCATTCCTTATGTATGCCTTACATAGCCTTTTAACCCCCTTATATAATCTTATATTTATTTGGCCTTCTATATTCCTTATACATTTTTTTTACATATTTGGTTTGCCTCATCAATCTGCATTAGTTTCCTTGTCCCAAGTTTGTCGGTCAGCAATTGTTTTAATTTCTTGCCCTTGCCCAACCGCAACTTTCCCAGAAAAGAACATGAACGGCATTTCAGAATTGATATTCTGTTTTTTAATCTCCAAATAGTGGTCGATATAATATATGGTGTTGTCAAACCCTAGCTGGCCCCCGCACATAGATGTCTTAGGGCCCCGAATGGGTCCCAAAATTAGGGGCCCACTAGATGAACTGCAAACTATTCTGGCTTCATTTGGTGGGCCCCTAATTTTGGGACCCTACCCACTAGAAGGATACCCTAGGGTAAGAAAATTTCAGATTTCAGACACTAAACCCAAACTGAATAAAAGGATATCTGTCGCCTTCATATGGTAAACCTTTAGACTGAGGCAAGTTCCACATTTTGGCAGGGTGAAACTTCTAGGCACTGAAGAAGAGGGCACTATACTAGACATCTTGATTTGGGCTGTAAAGCAGCGGGGGCCCAGGACCAATCAACCCCAACATTTCCACAAAAACAGCAAAATAAGGGCCCATCACAGGGGCCCATGCCAAAACCTGTAGATGTCCTCAAAATTCAACACTGAAGCCAGAATCAACACGCATAGAGCATGCCAGACAGCCCAACTTTGACAGCTTTGAAACAGATTTCCAAAGGGTTGCAGTGACTGCGCCGCTTGCCCTGATGGAGGCCCTGGATCATCAACTTCTAGGAATGCCAACATGTCTAGTTTTGCCATGTTTTGCTGTTTGGCTTGGAATTGTGAAGCTTTAATTTGCACTGCAGCATTACATCCCCAGGGGACCATGGGCAACGTCGCTGTGGCGCAGATTTTGCGCTCAAGGTGGGGCAACCTCCGAAGCACAGAATTGCGTAGAGTTGCGACAATTTCTTCATCTAACCCCGCCCTGCTCGAAACGGGACAATCAACAGCGACCTCATCAAGAATGAGAAAGACAGCGGCAAGAAATCACGACAGCAAAAAGAGGAGCAACTAACACAACGAAGAAGAACGCAGCGACACCAAGAACGAAAGCGACAAGCACAAGCACAACAGACGACAACAGACAGCAGACAAGAATAAACAGTAACAGACAGCAACAGAAAACAACACACAACAACAGACAGCGACAACAGCAAACAACAGCAGACAGGCAGCGAAATGACACAATTGCAGTTAATGGACAAGACCACATGGTAAGCCTACCTGAAGTAGCATTTTCGAAAGTTGAGTGATTGAAAGACTTGGAGTGCAAAGAAGTATCGTGAAATGGCTTTGTTTTGTTTTGTGGTTTAGAGATGTTTAGAGTAGTTTTAGGCGGATGAGATGGGATCTCACGACATGAAAAGAGAAAGAGGAGGATATAGGATGAGACAACATCAGATTGGATCTTTTTGAGGCGAGAAGAAAAGAGATGAGAGAGGCCCTCATTAAGACGAGGTCTCTTGATTTGAGATGAGACAAGAGACCAACAGAGATGACATCAAATGGTCTTTTAGTAATTTTTATTATATCACAATGCCATTACATTACATGACATGAGAATGGCAAAAAACATTGCATGACGCCGCGTGACATGACATGAACGGATGGCGAAGCTGGTGTGCACAGAGTGACGGGGGCCGGGGATGCCATGACGAGGCTTGGGCTTAGAGTTGCTTCAGCGGTTCTCCCGACAACTGATTCTTGGTTTCACTAGGGGGAAGTCAGGGTTTCCAGTGTTTGCCCGCTTGCAAGCCTGAGCGGTTCGCAAAACGACGTTGTCCAATCTACCGTCCCTTTGCCGTGGGACAGGGAGGCCTCGCGTGTCTGTCACGTTGGTTCGTTTTGCTTGCGTGTCATTTGATTTCTCAAAACATACGTTCGTTCCGCCATGAAACGAGTTGACAAATTTCCTCTTCTTTTAAATACGATATCAACGATTTCAATATCTTTGACGATGGTGCAGTGCTGTTGATGTCCGAGGAAGGCACACTCTGACAGAAGCGGGCTAAAGGCTTTGCCTGCGCTACACAAGGCGGTTAATTTTGGAAGGAACAGTTCCCGATGGCATCTCTAACCGCGTGTCGCTTTCTGTAAGGCTAGATGTTGCTGCCCAGCTTTGTTTCGCGATGGACTTGGAGGCGCGTGATGCAACTTGCCACACACCAATGCACAATGGACGTAGAAAGGGCATCAGTTTGATTCGTTTCTTCTTGGAGGGGCACGTTCGTAGACTTGCTGTACTGAAGCTCCGACCGCGAGGCTAATGACATCATGAAACCCGTTCGCTGGCCCAACCATGTTGCTTTTTCAGTGAAACTTATTCGTTTTTTTTGCCAAGCAGCCGGATTTCTTATGCATCTTCAGTGATATCGCTGAATTCATTGAGCCTGCACATCCTTGAAACCTGAGGTTTCGCATACCAGCGAGCCGGGCAGCTTTTGCCGGATGTCGATTTGTAGCAAGTGCTGCTCAGAAGGGATACCTCCACTTGCGCCATGGGGTGGCCACTTGAAGAAAAGCTTGCATTGCTCATTGTTGGACAATTTGATTTGAACTTGGGGGTTGGTGTCGGCCTCGTTCGCCATTCACCGTTTTCAGTCTTCAGTCTCTTGATCCCAAGTGCAGCCACCTTGTTGAATTTCTTGCAGCGAACTCGACAGTGGCCAGTTTGCTGAGAAGCCATGAACGATGTTAAGATGCAAGGGAACGTTTCAAGACGCCAAACCATTCACTCGTTGAAAGCACTTTCACGCATTTCAAATGTTCAATCAGGCTGAACTATGTGGTGTGACGGTGTGACCGATGTACGTTTTGACACTTGCCTCTGTGGGGCTACATTTTTTCCATTCCCATGAAGGCAAGGCCTTCCAGCCACCAACAGGTTCTTTGCTTAGGCGTAACGAAGCTGCACTCAAATTGCCTGGGCCTAGTCCCAGATCGTTTCATCATGTTTCATCCATCATGATCATCATGATTACAAACAAAATTAAGCCTGGGATGAATGCAATCTCACCTTTCAAGCGTGTTGAGAACACCCTTCCAACTTCGTGGCTTGTGGCCCATGGGCTCAACAGAGAAAGGAGTCACGACGAAAACGCTGATTTCAGCTTGCTTGCTGCCTTTGCCTTTTCGGCAAAGGGCAAAGCTGCTCATTCTCCGTGTCCCACGACCATTGGATGCGTCAGGGGGTTTCTGTTTAGATTTCATATCGGAATTACAGGCCCAATGTCTATCAAGAGTGACCGCAGGATTTTCTCCGTTTGTCCAGAGTGTGCTTCCACACTCCTCTCCGGCCCTGGAAGGCTTATTATAACGTTATTTGATGGTTTGTTTTCAAGACCGTTTTTGAAGCTCGCTTAAGAATGAAAAGAAAGGTGGGGTGCCTTGTCACTTTGCTTGCTAAAAAGACATTTTCCATCTGCCAGTGATGAATTGCCAGTGAGAGGTCAGCTGCTTGTAGCAGACCATGCAGCCAGGACGCCCAGCACGCAATCGTGGCTATTTCACGAGGACTTCGCTTCCTTTTGGAAAGTGACTGCTGAGACTCAGTTGGGCCGCATTCAGCACACCATAAAGAATTAACGACTGCAACCTGATGAGAGTGGCAAGCAAAACTCCACAAGGGCAGCCCGGAAGCGCTATCTGAGTCAAGTTAAGAGGGGGAAGTCAGAATGTGTGGGTGAAGACATTCGCGGCCTGATTTCACTTCTGATGCTGCTGGACGAAGGTTGAAATTTTCAAAGTTTCTGCAGCTTTGGTTCCCATGATTCCCCAGGGAATTATAAGTATAGCCTGCACGAGGAGTTGCCGACAATGCAGATCAACACCCCACTGGTACTTTCCAAAGATTTTTCCCAAGACAGCACTGGAAGCCCATCCGATCGGCTGTCTGGAAATAACGATGCTATTTGGTTAGACATGTTCGAATGCCTGTGGGTCTGTGCTGTTCCAGCACGGCCAGTGGTGTTCTGAGGGCAAACCTAGCGAACAGGCCTTCGCGACAATCTGGACACTGATGGTGTGAAGCAAATGGAACGACCCAAGCTGCTTCGATGATCCTTTCGCCCCTTTTTGAACAAACTCTTGGGAGCCTTTGGGCCAGGCTTTTTGGGCCCTATGCTGGGTAGATGAACCTGCCTCAGGGCGCGCTCAGGGCGCGGGTTGTACTTCGATCCACAAGAGTATGAGAGACCAAGTCAAAGAACACACTGGAGGATTTGAGAAGCGAAACATGTTTCAGTTCCAAGATTTGCCCTTCTTCACTTGGTCTTGACGAGCAAAGACTTCAGCAAGGGTCTACGATGAAGTTATACCAGCCAGAGGCCCTCGTGATTCTTCTCACTTCCCATCCCTTGCGATTCCGGTTGCTGTCTCCTGGACCCA